TTTAATGGTCATAAAATTGGTGTTCCTCTACTCGGATCGGGCTGTCAATTTTTTTCTACACTTTTAGGTGTATTTTGTGCAAGAAATTGCAATAAAATAGTCTGCCTAAGAAAAATTGAATATTTTTGAAAATTTTTTTTGACGAAAATCGCTTTAATGGTCATAAAATTGGTGTTCCTCTACTCGGATCGGGCTGTCAATTTTTTTCTACACTTTTAGGTGTATTTTGTGCAAGAAATTGCAATAAAATAGTCTGCCTAAGAAAAATTGAATATTTTTGAAAATTTTTTTTGACGAAAATCGCTTTAATGGTCATAAAATTGGTGTTCCTCTACTCGGATCGGGCTGTCAATTTTTTTCTACACTTTTAGGTGTATTTTGTGCAAGAAATTGCAATAAAATAGTCTGCCTAAGAAAAATTGAATTTTTTTCAAAATTTTTTTTGACGAAAATCGCTTTAATGGTCATAAAATTGGTGTTCCTCTACTCGGATCGGGCTGTCAATTTTTTTCTACACTTTTAGGTGTATTTTGTGCAAGAAATTGCAATAAAATAGTCTGCCTAAGAAAAATTGAATATTTTTGAAAATTTTTTTTGACGAAAATCGCTTTAATGGTCATAAAATTGGTGTTCCTCTACTCGGATCGGGCTGTCAATTTTTTTCTACACTTTTAGGTGTATTTTGTGCAAGAAATTGCAATAAAATAGTCTGCCTAAGAAAAATTGAATTTTTTTCAAAATTTTTTTTGACGAAAATCGCTTTAATGGTCATAAAATTGGTGTTCCTCTACTCGGATCGGGCTGTCAATTTTTTTCTACACTTTTAGGTGTATTTTGTGCAAGAAATTGCAATAAAATAGTCTGCCTAAGAAAAATTGAATTTTTTTCAAAATTTTTTTTGACGAAAATCGCTTTAATGGTCATAAAATTGGTGTTCCTCTACTCGGATCGGGCTGTCAATTTTTTTCTACACTTTTAGGTGTATTTTGTGCAAGAAATTGCAATAAAATAGTCTGCCTAAGAAAAATTGAATTTTTTTCAAAATTTTTTTTGACGAAAATCGCTTTAATGGTCATAAAATTGGTGTTCCTCTACTCGGATCGGGCTGTCAATTTTTTTCTACACTTTTAGGTGTATTTTGTGCAAGAAATTGCAATAAAATAGTCTGCCTAAGAAAAATTGACTATTTTTGAAAATTTTTTTTGACGAAAATCGCTTTAATGGTCATAAAATTGGTGTTCCTCTACTCGGATCGGGCTGTCAATTTTTTTCTACACTTTTAGGTGTATTTTGTGCAAGAAATTGCAATAAAATAGTCTGCCTAAGAAAAATTGAATATTTTTGAAAATTTTTTTTGACGAAAATCGCTTTAATGGTCATAAAATTGGTGTTCCTCTACTCGGATCGGGCTGTCAATTTTTTTCTACACTTTTAGGTGTATTTTGTGCAAGAAATTGCAATAAAATAGTCTGCCTAAGAAAAATTGAATTTTTTTCAAAATTTTTTTTGACGAAAATCGCTTTAATGGTCATAAAATTGGTGTTCCTCTACTCGGATCGGGCTGTCAATTTTTTTCTACACTTTTAGGTGTATTTTGTGCAAGAAATTGCAATAAAATAGTCTGCCTAAGAAAAATTGACTATTTTTGAAAATTTTTTTTGACGAAAATCGCTTTAATGGTCATAAAATTGGTGTTCCTCTACTCGGATCGGGCTGTCAATTTTTTTCTACACTTTTAGGTGTATTTTGTGGAAGAAATTGCAATAAAATAGTGTGTCTAAGAAAAATTGAATTTTTTTGAAAATTTTTTTACGATTTTGGATTTATGGCTTGGATGACTTTTAGGTGGTAAAAGGGGTCTTCCTCTACTCGGATCGGGCGGTTAATTTTTTTCTACACATTTAGGTTTATTTTGTACCAGAAATTGCATTAAAATAGTCTGCCTAAGAAAAATTAAATTTTTTTGGAAAGTTTTTTATGTCGAAAAGTGCTTTAAAGGTGGTAATAAGGGTCTTCCTCTACTCGGATCGAGTTCCAATATAATTGTGTATGTAATGAAATTTCAATTTTTTTTTCAAAAATGTCAGTGTAGAGGATTATATTAGGGGTGTTTGTCTAATGAATTGAGCGTTGAACTTAATTTTTTTTGTTATAGGTATAATGTATCTTGGTTTTTAAAATTTTGATGATCGCAATCGATGTGAACTTTACCGTCCTTTAATACGATTAAAAAAGAATTTAATTTAAATTATGTAAATATTTTTCACTTCCATCGCGAAAAAGAAATTATTTTTTAATAAAAACTAGATGTAAAAATTAAATACTAAAATAATTGTTTATAACTTTCAAAAAATTAACAAACAAATTTGCAAACTTCATCACTGACAGTAGAAATTTTCAAAATTGTAATTCCTATAAAAATCATTAATTAGAATTTTTATTTTAAAGTATTTCATAAGAAATAATTATTTTTTAGGCGAATTTTCATTTTTCGAATTAAAATTTTAGATTTTTTTTAATACAAATTTTTATTTATAACAAAATTTGTAATTTTGGACAAATTAAAATTCTTTGAGTTGAAATTTCTGTCATTTAAAAATTCGAATCACACAAAATTCGATTGAATCAGAATTTTGTTTAATTAAAATTCGATTAAATAAAAGTCTTGTAAATTAAATGACTATAAAATAAAAATTCGGTAACTAAAAATTTTTTTAAGTAAAAATTCGTATAAAAAGAGAATCTTTAAAATGAATATTCTAATTAATGATTTTTATGGGATAATCATGGCCCCTAATAAACTTGTGAAATTATAACAAGCGCAAATTATCGATTATCAATAAATGTAAAAGAGTACCATATGATTATTATGATGGTGGAAAATTGATGGCTAAGTTAAATCAAAAGCTCTCTCTTGGGCATATATATTATTGGTTCAAGAATTAAATAATTTATAAAAAGTATAATTAATTTACTTAAAATTGGAAAATTAACGAAATGAATTCTTTTATATCCAAAGTTAAAAATGCTAGATGTAAAAGTTAAGAAATATCAATAATAATAATATTTTTCAAAAATTAAAAAAAAATTTTGTGAATATAAATTAGTCGAGATTTCTCTAACTAATTCTTTATTAATTACCCCTTTTAGTGAAGGTAAGTTAAAGTCAAACGAAACTTGGGAAACGTTTGGTTGGGAGAATTCGACCAGGTCATGAACATGAAAGTTGGAGAATATCATAAAGTTTCAAAGGAAATTATGCGAAGGTTTTCGCAATTCTAATAGTCAAGGGGGTCACGACATATCCTCGAGGAAGCACTAATAACTCAACGATTTGCACCATCTGTCAACTGAAATTACACAAAATTATCGACTTCTTAAGGATTTCACCACCTGACACCAGATTGAGTTCCGTGAATATTCTCCATTTTATATATATATATATGTATATATATATAGAGAGAGAGAGAGAAGAAGAAATTTCAATAAGATCAACTTTCATTGTTTTCGCAGTATTGACTGAATAAAATATCGATATTTTATGCATTGGAAGAAACATATTTTGCTTACAGATGACATTATACAATTGTTCGCAAACAGATACAATTACTTTCGATGTAATTTATTACATTCTCATTCAATTTTTTTTTATACTTTCGTTTTTTTTTTTAGTAACAGCAGTATAAAATAATTTTCTCGATATACGATAATTTATAGACCAATTATTGATGAAACAGATAAACAAATAGAAAAGGCATTTAATAATTAACTGTCAATATTTGGTAAAAAAAAAAAAAAAAAATTAATTAAACCTATCGCATTGATTAAAAGTCTTATTAATTGCAGTAGCAATTATTAGATTGGCAATTACATTTAATCAAAATTGTTGTTTGGAAATTAGTATTCGATTGAAGCTTTCATATTTTAGAGAACGTTTATTGTGTTTGAATCTACCATTGTTTCGAGCAACCACTGTTTAATGGACCAATTGGATCATTAATTAAAAATATTTCATTTCCAAAACTATTTATAGAACTATCATATATATATATGCCATTTATTTTTCAATTTGGCTTTTTTTATTAACCAAATATAATTTTTTTTTAAATTAAATAAAAATATATTTATCTAACTAAATAAAAATTGTTGTTTGTCATAATCATTTGAACCAAAATAAATATTAACTGAGAGACAAATATATATTTTTTATCTACTAATAATATAAAGAGATAATTGAAAGTAAACACAATTTTTCTATTTTTACTTTGACAATTCATTCAGATATTTTAAAAAGAGAGGTTTGTGCTTTTACTTATTCATTGTGGACTGTCGCGCGCGGTCTTTAAAGCAATTACACTCAAAAACGTGTATATTTAAATTCTTCCCATGAGCTTTTTACAGTCTCTTGAGAAATAATTATCTTTTCAGTTTATCTTGTTAATTTTTCCAACACGACACTTGACAAAAAAAAAAAAAGAAATGCAATTAATGATAAATGAACTTTTAACGAAATATTATTTCAAGTTTTATCAACGAATTTCAATTTTACAACGTGAAATACTTTTTTTTTAATTATAATGCGGTAAACGTTATTTTATATATTTCCTTCCTTCAGCGCAAGTTTAACTATATTGACCAAATAAATGCATTGATCCATGTAGCCGGAATTTTTATTTTTATAATTCCCTGACTAATTTTTGAATGAATAATTTATATTTATTTTAATCCTTGCTATTAAATTTTAATTCCAAATATCGTAGATAAAACATTAATTAATTTTTAATTAATAAAAACAAAATAATTAAATTTTATATATATTTTTTTGAGATGAATTTTCGAAAAAAAAACTAATATTCTGTTAAAAATGATATTTTCGATATAGATGTCTCTGCAAAACGATTTCAGCTCTCTTTAAAGTTCGAGTCAAAAATAGAAAGCACCGAAAGCAAGTTAAATACGTTTGTGAAAGTGTGAAAGAGAAAGAATATGAGAGACGGCGCATCAAGCTACAAGACTAGAATTATAAGAATAGTTGCAAAAGCTGCTGGATGATAGTTTCTCGTTTCCTGTGCCAGCTTAAACCAAACTTTTATCACTCTTTGATAAGTCGTTGATTTCCTACCAATTTCACGAGAGATTTCTTCCTTTTTTTTTTTTTTTTATTATTAAAAAAAAGTGTAATTTTAGAAAACAAAATAAATATCTCTACAATGTTTTCGTAGCAAAAAAAAAAAAAATTGCTATAAATCATCCTAGTTCAACAATACGTGAGTATTAAAAATTGAAACAAAAAATTTATAATAATTATTTTTCAAGATATGAATGTTAAATTATGTATCTGTCTTGCTAATAATTGAAAACACTTCAAAAATTAATAATGAGGTTTCAAAACGACTTAATTAATGCACCACTCTTTGGACCTCTCAAAACATCAAATCGCTTGTTGGACCAAAGCTTTAATTAATCCCCAGAAAACCACAGGTTTGTAAACCTGGCGGAAAATACATTCAAATTTCGACATTATGAATTCAATGTTCTAAAGTTCATACACGTTGTTCATTTGGAATTAGACATTGCAATATTGGAAAAAAATTTTAAAAACTGTCACTGATTATATAAATTTATAATTAAAATGAAGAAATTACAATAATACAAGATTAAAACATCTATCGATTAGTATTTTTTATAAGATTATTATCAACGAACAAAACATCAAATTACCATTAATTTGGGTGAATACTATTTGGAACTATACTATATATATCGACAAACAAAACATCAATTGAAATTACCATTAATTTGCGGAAGACAATTACATTGAACCACTATCATTTAGTTCCCTACCATCGATTAAAACAATTAACGAAAGAAATTGTATTTTATTTTTATAAAATCAAAATTCAAATATTCGAATAAAACAAATTTCATCTACGTAATAAAGTTTGAAATAGAATTATATCAATTTTTTTGTATGAAAATTTTCTTCATAAAATATAATTTAATTAAATTTTTTTTTTTTTTTTGTCAAGAAAATATTGTTTCCTCGTCTGTGAAAAAGTAGCTTACATTATTTCTGCAATGTAGAGATGTTTTAAAAAAAAGGGGTGTTCTCGCAGAGTTCATGAAATACAGAAAATGGACCTGTCTACTTGAATATTTCTATTATTCATCTCTACCGTATAATAATTTCAGGAAAATGGAGCATCTAGATCCATTTTATAGAACGCTCTGTTCTTCGGAGACTTTGCGTTCGAGTTCAAAAGGATTTTTCTCCGAATTTAGTGAAACTGTAATGGAACATGCGGGTGAAACGTGGATCCAAAAGATTTTTGGTAAACTTGAAAATGACGATGACAGAATTTCAGCATTATTCACTGACACAAAGGTGAAAAATATTGTTCATGACACTTTAAAGAGAATAATTCAGTTTTATCGTGATAAAGATGCCACAATATCAAAAGACAAAAGACTTGAAGGATTACGATTGTATGCTTTGGATGAACACGAGAAAGCTCTTTTGCTATTGAGTCAAGCAGTTCTCAGAGCGCCAACAACAGGTCAATAAATAATTATATATTTCAGTTTACTAATTTTTAAATTATTAATAAATTTACAATAAATAGTTAATATTATTATTATTATTTTTATAATAAATAAAATTAGAATCAAAAATTCTTTCTTTTAATATTGTCAATGTACCAAATTAAGCCATCAAGTAACCCATAACTTTCATAATAACGAAATAAAACTTTTTTCATTAAAAATTTAATTAACTCATTTTTGCGCGCTTTGTTTTTCATAAATAAGGTAAAAACCCAACGATCGATGAAGGATTCAGTTTACCTTTGGCATTTATTGCAAGAGCCGATATTCTTTTAACTCTTGGAGAATATGATTTGGCTCTTGAGGACTTACAAATGGCTGACGAGCAACCTCTTAATAAAACAATAAAGTGAGTTGATTTACATATTATCTTTCAATTAACCACGCGTATTATTCAGTGCTTTGATTCTAATTTTCAATTTGAAATTTTAAAAAAATATACCCCATTATAATGCTAATTTAATAACTAACATTATTTTTTTTTTTATGCTATTTTAAAATAATAATATTAATAATAATATAATAATTTTTGCTCTCCACAGACATCTTTGAAGATAATCTTTTTAATTATTTTCCATATAATTCTAATTAACATCCGAAAAATGAATTTCAAAAGCTTTACCTATTAAAAGCGATAAAGTAAGTCTAGTGTAAATTCTTGGGAATAAGAGAAGATTTCAACCTCGTTTATATATGATGCATAAATCAAAGAAACTAATTCTAACTTTATGTTGAAATTTCGAAAATTTAAATTCATCTTACAAATTAGTTCTATCTCTCTTTTTTCTAATCAAGATTTTTTTTTCATCCATTTTTAAGGAAAACACGAGTAGAGAACATTTTTTTTTATTCTCATCTTGAGATTGGAGGATTAACTAAACGTCAAACTAACAACAGTAAAATTTTGTATCTTAAGAAATAATGAACTAAACTTAATCCCTATTTTTCAATAAAAAAAAAAAAAAAAAAAAAAAAATTATCTAAATTTTTTGTCTTGTGTGTGAATTTTTACACTTTTATAGAGAAAAATGCCAACAAAAAAGAGAGGAATATCAAAACCATTTAGAGAAATTGAAGGAATCTCTTGTTCAACCGAAAAATAAAAGAGAGAGCAAAACTGGAGAGCGTAAGTAATGATCAATCTTGAAAGAATTTTCCATCGTAACTTCAAATTGTTTACGCCTGAATAATCCAATTTGTATAGAATGTAAAATAAAAGCATTTTTTCAAATTCACTAAATTATTAAATGAAATAGTATAAAAAAGTTCAAGTATATTAAATTACAATAGAGAAAAATTCTTTTGATTGAAAACACATTTTTTTTTTTTGGTTCGTTATCGATCATTAACGATTGAAAAAGAGAAGAAAAAAATTAATTCCAACAATTAAGCGAAGATTGCGAATGGGGAAAACTATTTAGTTGCATTTACTCTGTTAATTCATTTGATTAACTCGATTCTCTGCAAAGAGCTTCCTGAGTATCAGCATTTCAATTTACAAAATTCCTCGTACCATAGAGTAGACTACTAATTAAGGGAAATTAATTCAAGCTATTCTCTCCAATTAGAATTCGAGAAATTTTCAATTTACAAAAGGCAATGCAAATTGTTTCAAACCGGGGGGAAAAATGTCATCATTAACATTTGTATAATATGTAAAAAAACAAAAAAACACACAAAAATATATATTTTAGTTCCAGATTTGACTGCTGGCGAAAATCCAATTCTTTCGGGAGCATCAAATCTTTTAGAAATTCAAGAAAGTACTTTTGCTGGTCGTCAAGCAGTAGCAGCAATGGAAATTAATCCGGGTGATACATTAGCGGTAGAGTCACCCTTAGCTTACTGTTTATTACCAGAATTTTATGGAACACATTGCCAAAATTGTTTTTCAAGGTAAAAAAAATTATGATTTAAAATAATCAAAGCCGAATACTTTTTTATACTAATTGAGTAAAAAGAAAGAAAAATTAAATCGTTGTTTCTCCCTCAAATTTACGACGAAAATATAATTATAGTTCATTAAAATTAACAAATAATTTGGTTATAGACAAAATTCACTCATTAAATAAAAATATGTTTAAAAAAAAAAATAATGCAACTTACATTCTATCAAATAATCTCCATTATTTTCATGACTTCCAGAAATTTTTATCATTTTTGTTATCCAATTATTTTTTTAAAGTTAATTCAACTCTCTTTCATTATTCACAAATTTTTTTCAAGGCTTTAATTTCCAGATTAATGGACCAATGTCAAATATTGCCTTTATACTAAGCAATATAAGTTTTTAATGAACTCTCATCAGAAAGTTTTTTAACTCGTAGGTTAAGAGCTCCAGTAGGATGCCCTGACTGCAGCAGTGTGGCTTTCTGTGGACGAAAATGCAGGGACCAAGCACTTTCGACTTATCACAAATACGAATGTAAAGTTCTTGCTCTTTTAATAGGTGGGTAATTGTTCATAATGTATTCAAATTTAATAAGAAAAACTTTTTTTTTTTTAATTTTAATTTATAAGTCTTCTTAACTTTTTCCTTTGATTAAAATGCTCCGTGTTCTGAAATAAATATAAACACATTAAAATTATAATAATTTTAAAATACAAATTTTTAAATATTCAAATTAAAAAATTTGAAAAACTTATCTTTCTTAATCAGCTTTCTGCATGTGAACAAAACTCTAAGCATTTGAATGTAACTAAAACTTAATAGAAAACAATATTAAATTGGGAAATTAAAAAATTTTCAAAGCAAAATCAAAATTAATCAAAACAATAATAAATAAAAAACAGAAAATTTCTACATCTAGCAGCAAAACAGAAAATTTTCAAAAGTTATGAAATGTCAAAACATTACATTTTTTAAATTTTGATTAAAATCATAATTTTATCAAATATTAAAAAAGTAAATTCAAATCATAATTATTAATTCTGATTTTACTAAAAGTAGAAAAATTCTTTGTATGTATATACATTTGTCAACAATAATATCAATAGCAAAAAAAGTATATCAAATAAAATGCAACAAATAAAAAATATCACTTAATATTAAAAAAAATGTCAAATATTTGCCTAAAAGAATACAAGATTAGTGTAAAAAAAGAAAAAAATCATTTCTCACCACGTTGACTACTGAAATAAATAATTAATTAAACATACACATAAATGAAATGCAAAAATCAGAGAAATATAATATTTAAACTGTTGTATTTTTTAAAAAAGAAACTCTACACTATGTACAGTGTCTTTTTTTAAAAAATAGATACAGTAATTGTGCAATATAGTAACGCAGAAAATTAAAAAAAAAATTCAATTTTTTCATTCATTCAGAACCTAATTGTAACCTACATGTTCCTACCTACAGTGTTTATTAAAACTGCCTCATTCCTACCAACGAAAAACCTCTCTATTTAAAAAAAAAAAAAAATCCGAAACTAATTCACACCAACCTTTCGAAGGTCTACTCACATACCGCCCAGGTGCAAAATACCTAAACTAGGGATTACGTCCCGGGACGTATCCGTCACCTGAGCTTAAAATTATGCAAAGTCAAACCACACATTTATATAATATATCCTTGAAGTTCTGAATATTAAAATACATAGTAAATAGTAATTTTATATTTTATAAAATGTTAATATTAATTATATTAAAAAATATTAGAATAAAGAAAAATTAGTAAACAAATTAAATTAAATTTATATTAAAATGTATTAACAAGTAACATCATTTTTTACATGTTGCAAAAAATAATGTATATAACTACAAAAATAAAAACAATTATTCAGAACTTCAAAGCCGCGTTACTATATTGCTAATTAAAAAACGACTCACCAATCGCTGACTCCCACGTTGCAATTAATCTCCGCATGCCTTCTCCTGGGACAGATCCTGCGTATCTCTGCGTTGACCAAGAACAATAGTTGGGACCCCATTTCTCAGCATCCTCCTTCCGATTCTCTCCTTCAGTTGTATCAGATTTGTCGGAAATAATACTGAAAAATAAAATTATTTATTTATATAATAAATGTTTAATTTATTTTTTTATATTTCATTACAATCTATTAATTTTTTAAAATATTTCGACACAAAAAGAAACATTTTGTTGATTTGAACGTTGAAAATTTCAAAAAAAAAATGTAATAATTTAACTGAATTATTTATAATATATGATAAATTAATTGTATTATTATTAAACAATACTAATTTAACTATCGCTTAATATATTTTCTTTAAATGTAGAGAAATTTACTACTTTTAATCTGTACGAAAGAAAAAGTCTGACCGAGTAACTGTTTTTCCTGTTCGTACTACTGTTTTATATACCGGGTGTTCAAAAAGTTCGTAGTCCATCGAAAAAGATTTTTAAAAACTTTTTGTCTTGATGTGAATATGTTTTTTGGATATATAAACTACTATATTTATAATAATAATATTTAAAAATTATTTTTGTTAAAAAAATATTTAAATTTTATTCCAATATTCTATTTATTTTATCATTTAATTGGAAATATATAAATAATTTATAATGATAATTGTTTACCGCAGGGAAGTCGCGAACGGAAAATATGAGTTGAAAAAGGCTAACAGTTAATAACGAAAAATGCGCGGGAATGCAAATAAGCATTCCCGCGCATTTTCCGTTGGCGGTCGCCGTGCTATTTTATTCAGCTTTGGTTTATATTTTGGCCTTTTCTAACGTATTAGTTCGAAAAGAATAACAGTCAATAATAACAAAAAATGCGCGGGAGTGCGTACTTGCATTCCCGCGCAATTTCCGTTGGCGGTTGCCATGCTATTTCATTCAGCTTTGGTCTATATTTTTTCTATAACGAAAAAAGCGCGGGAATGCATACTTGTATTCCCGCGCGATTTCCGTTGGCGGTAGCCGTGTTATTTTATTCTGCTTTGGCCTAGGTATAATGAAAAAAAAATAATAAAAAAAAAAAGTTACTAACATTGGACTGCGACTCAGCAATGCCCGACTCCTCCAGGAGCTGCTCTGGAACTAACGCTTTTTTTATCCAGGAAACATAAACACACACAAATTTAACAAACACATCACTTTTTTTTACGAAACGCAAGCACTGATTTAAGAAACTAAGACTTTCTTTCTTTTCCAAGAAACACACACTCGAGTATTTTAAAAAAAATACTTTTTACTTCTTTCCACAGAACGCGAACACTGATTTTAGAGACTAAAAGACGGAAATCGGCACTTTAGAATAACTATTAATAAAATAATTGTTTACTTTTTATATTAAATTCACTTCTTGAAACAGAACAAACAATTTTTACTGATGAACATCGTTGAAAATAAAGACCGATAAACTTTTGTTAATTTTATATCACGGAACGCGTTACTACACGGAAAAAAAGAAAAAGTAACTTTTACTACTTTAAAAGTAAAATTGGACCTGTCCGAAGTTTCTGCGCATCTCTGGCAACTTTTACTCCAAAAATAGTAAAATTTACTTCAGAAATAGTAAAAATTACTACGGAAACAGTAAAATTTACTACAGAAATAGTCAATTTTACTATTTTTCGAGTAAAAGTTGCCAGAGATGCGCAGAAACTTCGGACAGGTCCAATTTTACTTTTAAAGTAGTAAAAGTTACTTTATTCGTTTTTCCATTTTTCTCCGTGTAGAAAAAATATGATGAATTTTACGAATCGAAATTATATTCGCAATCAACCACTGAGAACTGAAAACACGAAATCCCATTTACTTTAAACATCGGAAAAATATTTATAAAAACTTAGTTTCGTTAAATTACGCTAAAACACTATTCACTATAACACTGCACTAATATCATTTAATTAGAGAAATACTAGAAGCTGGTATTAAAAAACTTTACTATGAAGTAGGAGGGGAGGGAAAATGGAAAAAAAACAAAAAAATTGACCTAACTGACAAAGGTTCACCTTACCAAGTTACCCCTACGGCGACTAAAGGCCGACTGGCGCTCCGCTACGTTAGGCCTTCCCCCTCTCCTTGCCCCACTGCTACTGGTGAGTCCCAACGATCCTATTGGCTCGCGCGGACCAATGGATGAACTCATTGCAGATCACGTGATAAGTAGGGGTATTATAGAAGCGCGCTCTCGCGGTTGTTTCATGAACTACAAAAATATTCGATTATAATCGATTATTCTATATCGATTAAAATCGATTATTGTAATATCGATATATAAATTTCTTGTATTTTTAGGTTAATTATTTCTTTTAAAAGCAATTTAGGTTAATTATTGTTAATTATTTCATTTAAAAGTAACTTCTAATTAAAAATTATTACTAAAAAAACTGTAAATTGTGATTATTTAGCTTTAAATTAAATCTTTTTTTGCAACTAAATCGAAAAATATTCTTAAATGAGAACAAAAACAAATCAACTTCATTTGTTTTTTCATCAGCATTTGCAAAATGTAGGTATATATTTTCTCAACAATAGATTTTAATTTCAATAACAATTTAATAACAAATTTGGAATTAATTTGAAAAGTAATTTAGTATTGTGATTATTTTTTCATCATTATAAAAAGGAACCAAGACAATTAAACTTTTTCAATTGTAATTATTTATGCACATTAATATACACTGGTCCTTTTATAAATGAACCTTTCTTTGTAATTAGCACATATATAAATACATTTCCATATTATATAATAACAGGTAAACATATAATTCTGGGTTCTGTGATTGAAGATACGTGACCATACTAGCAATCTAAATATTAATTTCCTTTGAAATGTGCAATGTCCCCTTGTACTCTGTGACATCAATTAATTCATATTTAATATTTTTTTTTCTATTTTTCAGTAAATGGAAAATTAATTATTAATTTTTTCTATATTTTAAAATATTGAATATAATAGTGGAAATTGATATAATTAATATTAATTGATTACTTTTTTTTAAATGTAATTTTTTTATTAATTCTGTATTAAAAAAATTATTTTTTTTTTTTTGAAATAGGGTCTGGAATGAGTGTACTTAGTACTCTCGCTTTTAGAATGGTGTCTCAAGAAGGTTTGGAGAAATGTTTGAAGATGCACGATAAAATAAATAAAAGAAACGCCGAAAACATTTCAACAGTCAACGTCGAGGAATTCACAAAAATGAGTAAATCTGCAAAACGACGACTTCGAAAAAAGAAATTAAAAGAATTTACTCAAAATACATTAGAAGATGATTCAATTGCATCAAATGAAAATGAAGAAAATTTATTGGACATCAGAGCTTACGATCTGGTAACACTTTCATCTAAACGAACAGCTCAAGATTTTTTAGAAAGAACAATAATGGCTTCATTTTTACTAAAATGCTTACAATGCGTTGGTTTTTTTAAAAACAATTCTAAACCAAATGGTAAATAGTATTTTAAATAAAAAATAATATAGTTTATTAAACGTTTGAAATTTATGTAATTTAACATAAAATATATTATTATATTATATACCTGGATTTTACATATAAAAAAAGTGTCTTTTATTTTCTTTAGTTATACAGTGTATAAAAGAGAATAAAACGTTTCGGATTTTATGAAGTGAAACTGGACGAGACAAGAATCTCTTTTATTCTATAAAATGTAAAAGAGAATAGTAAATTGCAACTTTACGTTCTTGTTTCAGAGCCTCCAAGCAATGAAGAAACCAAAGTAGGATCGTTGCTCCTGAAAAACCTTCAAGTTCTTCAATTTAATGCTCACGAGGTTTACGAAACACGTCTAGGTAACCAGCATCGCTTTCGGGGAAGTAAACCTGTTTACATTGGAGTTGCTATTTACCCAACAGTAGCTCGATTCAATCACGAATGTTATGGGGCAGTTACAAGGTAAAATGAACAATTAAATTACGATTATTGCTTTGTACTTTTTCTCTTCTAAATAACGAAAAAAAAAATTTTTTTGAATACTACAAAAAAATTTATTTTTTGAAATATTTAAAAAAAGAGGTATTATTTTTAAATCAAATGTAAATTTATTTTTTCATGGTAGAATAAAATATACTTTTTGAAACGTTTATTTGATGTTATTGTGTATATGTATATAAAAAAAAAAAGTTCAAAATTCTGATGTATTTACAGGTATTTTGTTGGTCGGAATATTGTGATAAAAGCATTGAGAACTCTAAAGCCCGGTGAAGTTGTGGCAGAAAACTATGGACCAATATTTACAAAGAGAAACCTCATCGACAGACAAAGGACTCTTGGTGGCAGATATTGGTTTCAATGCTCGTGTATTGCATGCAGAGAAAACTGGCCAACATTTGAAAATATGACATCTGATTCAGTTAGACTAAAGTAATTTATATTTCAAAAAAAGTAAAATAAAAACAATTTCTAAAATAACATAATATTTTTAAAAAATATAAATTTTGAAAAAAATAGAAAATTCTTTTTAAATCTTAAAAAAAACTTATTTCTTCAGGTGTCCAACGTTGAATTGCAATAAATTATTGGGACAACCACGTGAAAAAAATAAATTAATCAAATGTTTGGGTTGTCAGAAGAAAGTGAATCTCGATGGACAATTGGATGAATTGACAAATTGTTTAACACTTTATACAGAAGGTTTAGATTTAATGGAATTAGAAAAACCCAAAGATGCTGTAAATAAATTTAAAAAGGCACTAAAGATTTTTCATAAAATTGCATCACCTCCACATAGAATGACACATTTAGCAGAAATTGCCATGGCAACTTGTATGGCCGACGCTGGAAATACTTGGAGACCGAGGTAAAAGCTCTTGTGCTCGAACAACTGGGGATTTACTGTAAAGTTGTTACTCTGCATAAACTAGAGAAACTAAAGGGAGTTTGTATAGATAGTTCCCAATCGATTATATAATTATATATCTAAACAACTCTGAGCCCGACAATACACAAAAAGAAATTCATAAATCAATAACAAAAAAAAAAGCATGAAATTAATAATTTTAATATTATAATATACAAATATTTTTTTCAATTTCATAATAAATAATTTATTAAGAAATTTTTTTTATTTTCAGCATTATTAATGTATGACAAGTTGGGAACGAAAACAGAAAATTACCAAGTGAAATGTTTTACAAAAAACTTCGATTCTTTTTATTAATTAAAATAAATGATATTTAAATTCAAACAAATAATTGAGTCTACTAAATCCGATTTTAAATTAAATATTGCAATACAGATTTGTTAATCACACTTCAAAAAAAAAAAAAAAATAACGTTATATGAAACGAAAATTAAGAAAAAAAGAAAAAATTTGTAAGGCAAGCTTAATATCTGCTTCATTATGAGAGGGAGATGAATTATTTAATGTGAAATCCTTCATTTAAAATCTCTTTGAATTCACGAACAATAGAAAACCCTATACGGTGGTCGAACATATATTTCAGAGCATTATTTTATTATCAACAAACTTATAAATTCAAAAACCAGTGTATAGAACATGTATTGTATTTTAAAATAAATAAAAATAAGTTTAAAAAAATATTTCTATATGAGAAGAAAAATTTCGTATGTATTTAAAAATTTTAATCAAATGTTTTTTTTTTTAATTTCTTTCAAATTAAATTGTTAAATATTATTTGTTCTCAAATATAAAATTCTGAACAAAAAGAAATTGTCAAAAATAGAAAAAAAAAATTCTACTAAATTGTAACCGTAATGAAGAGGTCATTAAATAAAAAAAACTCAAAATTATAGTTTACAATTTTTTCGATTTTTTTTCTTTATTTTTTTTTATAATGCACATGTTTCGTGAAAAAATTAAATTCCATATATGAAATTAGTATTTAGAGCTCCAAGTTTCGGTACAAAATTCACTGGGCACTTCCAACAAAATTCAGTCGAAAGATATTTTGTTCGAAAAATGAACGTCTCCCTGAAGGATTCTGTTTTATTTTTTTTTTTTTATATTTTTTTTATTTTTCTATCGTTCCCCTTTTTATTTTCTCTTTCACCCCTCCCAACTTTCTATTCTTTGTTTTTTTTATTCTTTTAAGTTTTCTTTTTCTTTTTTTTTTTTTAGTACCTAGTCTCAAGTATCGGCATCGGTGGAAATTAATTAATTCAATTAATCGACCTAATTGACAATCGCGATCTTCACGTGAGTGTTATAATTATTTTTCTGCAATGGATATTCGGAAGCTTTACAAAAAAAATTTTGTAAGCTGAGATGTGAATTTTTATTTTTTTTGCTTTTTATTCTCTAACTCCATCTCTCTTTTTCTCTCATGAGAATATTGGAAAGAAGCCGGAAGAGAAAATGCCGAGATGATAAAGTATCTTTTCTGTGATCTACTATTGCCAAAGAAACGACAAGAGAGACTTCCGGTTTTAAAAATAATAGATTTTTCACAGAAAAATATACATTTTTACAAAACTTATTTCTCTTCGACATTCTAAGTTTTTTTTTTTTTTTTTCATAGGAAAAAATTACGAAAAGATTTGAAGTTTTTGTTTTTTTTTTCAAAAAGATGGTGCGTGCTTTGATATTTTTACTGTTTTTTTTTTGTCTTCTATTTATACTTAAATTATTTTTTCTTGCAAACACCACGCGTTGACTTCGACACACTGGCTAACTAATGCGGCAAAGGAACGATTATAATATTCTTTTTTTTTTTATCTGAAAATCCCCAAAATACGTTTTCACGAGGATTCTATGGTAATTAGCCAATTTCTCCCCTGACATTATTGATTATTCCCCTCTTTAAAAAGGTCTAGATTTCAGTCGACATATGCATTGTATACTTTTTTGCAATTACTTTCCCTTCTTGCTTGTATATTTCCTCGTTTTTTTTTTCTTCCTATCGGAAATTCTTTCACGAGATCTGCGCTCTATTATAATCAGCTACAATGCTCCGTAGTGGTTACATTAGTGTAATATAAAAATCAGCATAATGTTAATTACCCTTCCGAGGTATTCGACCATCATTGAAAAAAAAAAAATTCTAATTTAAATTGTCTTTTCATCTAATGTTAATTAACTTTCAAACTTATTGGTCACTTACATATTTCATCTCGGAAGATCGTATTAAGGATATCACGAGGTGTTCTGCTTCAAATGCAATCTAAATTTTCTTCTTGTAAATTCTTCAATTTTACATAGTGAATTATTAATTTTTACATTTGAATTTATCATTGAAAACAAATTTAATTATTAAATCAAGTAAAATTACGATTACATTTTTCGAAAACCAGAACATCTCGATAAACCCCAAAAAAGTATTTCGTAACCACACGTTTTTTTTTTTTTTTTTTTTTTTCTAAGATAGTATCGCTGATACAAGTCTCATTGATTACTTTCACATACAATGATATTATGCACATCACAAGGGCTCAACACGAGGTAAGTATCTCAATTTTTTCCGATTAAAATAAACGCAAAAATTTTGTTTGCTTTTTTTTTGTCACAAACAAATGCGAGTACTTTTTTTTCAGTGAAAAAATTTTCCCAGCGAGGATATGAAAAAAGAAAAAAATCTATAAAATTAATTGTATAAATGTAAAATTTTGATAAACTTGTGTAGAAAGAAAACTTGTAAATTTTATTTCCTGAGGTTTGTGCTACAAACTAAAATTTTAAAAAGAGCATCATGCAAAGTTTTGTAAATATTGTAAATATATGTGTACATATATATATATATATAATAAATATATATATACATACGTCTCTCTCTCTCTCTCTCATTTCTCTCTCTCTCTCCTCTCATGACAAATCACACATGTGTTTGTCACTCGAGTATTTTTTAAATGATCTATAACAAGAAACTCGAAGAAAATAATTAATTAAATATAATAAATATTGACAAAATATTCTTTATAATTATTTAACAATTTTCTTCGAGTTTCAAGTTTAGTACTGATTGTTTTTTTTTTTTTTTCATTATTGTCAAAATAAAAATGACAAAATTCCAATCAATAATAATTGTTCAAAAATACAATTTTTTCGCCCATTTCTTTTTTCTTTGTTTTTAGAAAAAAAAAAATCGAAGGACAAATTTTTTCAATGTCGAACAGATTATTTCATTAATGACGACAAAAAAAGTTGATTATTTCAAGAATTTTAAATTCAATTTTTCTTTTATAAATAATTAAACGCACATTAATTGTGCAACTGTAAAAAAATTCAATCAATTCACAAAAACGCGTATTAAAAACCTAAATTAGTTCATTTAGTATATTATATATAAATATTATTCGATAATTTTTAATTTTACGAGAAAAAAAAAAATTATAATAGAATATTATAAATTAGAAACGCACAACTTTTCGATGGAAACCTAATTAAACATTTTTTTTTTAGAAATAACTTAAGAAATGTATGGGTGAAAAACAATTTTAAATTAATAATAATAATAAAAAAATTCCATTCATTTTTTTTGTTACCTTCATTTCAAGATGTTTGGTTATTTCGTTTCAAAATTAATTTGACTCTCCACATTCAATTTTTTTTGTTTTTTTTTGTTTTCTTTAAACACATTTGCTTCTATCTTCAACTTTAGTTGTTTCCTCGATCAACAATAATTTACACGTTACAATTTATTTTTGATATGACCAGCAAAATAAAAATCGTAACGTTTCATTCTGATTTTTTCTTCTTTTCTTTTCTTTCACAAGTAAACAAATAATTAATATATTAATTGGATCGTGATAAACAGAACCTTGAGTTGAGCCTTGATAGATTATTTTCCAAGGTGGTTACTTAGCGTTATTAGGTTATTTAAACGTAAAAAAAGGAAAGATAAAGCATTTCACAAAAACCATCAGTAGGGTTTTCTCTATCGCAATAACTTTTTTTTTTTTTTTTGTTCCGATTTTCACCACTATCCGTTTAACCTTCAAATGTGTTGACATGCCGCACAATTTTGATTAACTTTCGTGGGGAGAGTGTGAAGTAGCGTTTGCTGTTACTTCATTTCCTTTCTTTTTTTTCTTCTTTTTCTTATTCTTCTTTTTTTTTTTTTTGATTTTTTATAATTGTTATAGAATTTGTTGTTGCTGCTTTGTTGCTGTTGCTGCTATTTGCAGATATTTACGCTGCTGATGTCTTGCTGTTATTTCGGTGTATAACGGGTATTGGTGTTATTAAAAGAGTGTTTACATCATAGTGGTACCAATTGCTGGTTAAGCGGTGCTTTCAGTAGTGGTATTCTGCAGCGGTTGGCTCTCCTGTGACAAGAGAGAAAAATACCAATTAAAATACCTATATACTATTTAAAGTAATTAAGAATCAATAAAAATTTATTTTTTCCTAAATTTTCTATTTTACAAAGAAAAACCTTAGGAAAGAATAAAATAATTATCTTACACTTTCTTTTTAATTCGTCTTATTCTAATTAGCAACGAAAAATATATTTAAAATGAAAAAAAGCAAAAATTTGCAAATGCAGAAAAAGCGCAGAATAGTGTATAAAGTGTAAATATAAATAGAAAAAAAAAATCTATTTTACCTGAGGAGCAAAATTACCAGTTGGTGCACCTTTATAAGCATTCGAATACTTCTCGAACTGAAAAGAGCAAAAAAAAGCAAAAAAAAAAATATGTGTAAAAAGTGTATGTGCTCAAGGTCTAATAATTGACAACTTCCAAGTATGTTTTAACGAAAATTAAATTTTCAGTTTAAGAAATTAATTATTATTTAATTCAGAAAAGCAATTTTAGAGACAAAATTGTGTTTAATTTGGATATAACAATAAAATTAAAATAAAAAGAGAAAAAATATATATATAAATGTAATTTAGATAACACTTAAAAAGTTTTACTAGGAAGAAAAGTAGAGAAGGAAGATGGAAGCAAGAGTGAAATAAACTGAGTATATACCGATTCCCCAGCAACACGGGTCGTGTTCCAAAAGTTGTGGCATCACTAAATTTGAGCACAGACAACTTTCTTCAAATAAAGATAACTATACTAAGAACATTCACAAAACAAAAGCAAACAAGAAACTACTAAGAAACGAAGCGAGCAAGAGAAAGAGAAGAAAGCACACGTATAGAATTAAATTTCAAGTTTAAAATTGCTGACGTATTTTCAGCTATATATGATTGTATCCACATTTTCCATTGATAATAATTTTGAAAAGAAAATCATTAACGTTAGTAAATTTTATAATTAAGTTTTATCAGTTTAATAGTTACTTAAAAATGTTTTTTTTAAATTTAAAACTTGATTCGCGAATAAATAATACCTGAATATTTTGATCGACAGTTTTAACTGCAATTGACTGATGGGTTTCAATACTATTATTCCCAGAGGGTTGGACATTTTCTTTATTTGCACTTCGTTTATTATTACGATTTTGACGGGGAACACTTCTTCTATGACGAGGATGTTGAATTCTTTGGGTAAACCCATTTTCACCACCCTCACAAGAACATTCTTCCTCCTCACTCACCTTGAGAGAGAGATCGGGTCGAAAATTTTCGTAACGTTTATTAATTATTAAATTCAGCAGCAGCAATTTATAATTTGTTTACTATTACAATTTAATTAAACAAGAAAAAAAAAGAAGCCATTCACCTACTATCATGCATTTAGTGACTGTACTTTAGGAGTTAAAAATGTGAAAAAACCTAAAAGCCACCTTTTTATGAGAAATTGTTTCTTTACCTGTCCATCCTGGCTACGAGGACGTCTAGAAGGACCACCACCTCTACCACCGCGGAAATTGCGACGGAAAAAGCGACGTGATGGACCGCCTCGTCCACGTCCACCGCCACGGGGTGCAACGTCGCCAGTTCCTTCACCTCCTTGCTCTCCACCCTCGGTCCCATTTTCACCTTGTTGTTGAGATGGACCTGAACGACGTCCTCCTCTTTGATAATATCCATCGTAATGACGTCTTGGTCTATAACGACGCACTTGAGGTCCACCTTCACCAGCGTTAGCTTCTCCTTCCTGTTTGCCATCACCTACAAAAATTAAAATTTATTAAATTATTCTAATTCAATGTTTTACAGCTATTTAGCAAGAAAATTCAATTTACTAACCAGACGCTTGACCTTCTTGTCCTTCACGTGGTCTTCGTTGAGGTCTGGCGTTTGCGCGTCTTGGATAGAACCATTGGCGATATCCACGGCGTTTATCAGCGGCGTAGGGCGATCCCTTAACTGCTTCCCCTTCGGGTCCAGTGACATTAGCCGCCTCATTTCCCTTCTCGCCAATTACCACGTCGAATTCGACGACTTCTCCGTCACCTACACTACGTACGACCTTTTTCGGGTTGTTTTTAACAATCGCCGACTGCAAGCGACAAAAAAAACTTCATTATTATCAATAAAAAAAAATTATAACTCTTGAAATTGTATTCTTTTTTTAATTTTTTTAATACAAAATAAAAATCTCACCTGATGGACAAACACATCCTCCTTGGTGTCATTTCTGAAAAAAACAAAAAGAAAAAAATTTAACGAGTGAAAAATTAATTATTATTCTAAGAATAATACCTGTTTTAAAAAAATGTAACAATTATTATTTTCTATATTGAAGCATTTCAATTGACACTATAATATTGTCAACTGAGCGCGCATATTTTGCTTAATTGAATTAACTGTGTTAACTGAAGCATACTAAATTAATGTTGTTCTTCCTTCCGTATTCTCACTGTAAGTAAGACTATTATCAGTGGCTTCGAAACTCTACTAGTGCAAAATTTATCCATTATTCAAATCAACTGAAATTCGCCATTTCCGACCCAAAAAAAAAAAAGATGAACAGAATATATGATTACGATTGATAATGCAAGTGATTTCATTCACGCTAAGAGCTTTTTTAAAACCTCAATTCAATTCTAAATTGTTCGTATAGCCTTTATAAAAGATTCAATTTTTTTTTTAGGAAAAAAGAGGAGGGAAATTTAATAGGAAAGAAATTTTCTCAAAATTTGAACCTAAATTTATTTTTACTTAAAATATAAAGGAGTGTGATTCTCAAGATGAAAAAAAACATGTCAATTTTCACGAGAAAATTAAGTTTAAATCTCAAACTCTGTTTACATCAAAAAAGTTAATTTTTTTTTCATTTCTTTATATAGGTGAGAACGAGTGTGTGTGTACATCACTGTACATCAGAGATTTTCCCTTCCCCCTATATATATCTACTTTATAGATTCGTCGAGATGTACAGATATAGCTGGAGCTTGTGAAGCTGTAGAGCAAAGCATGGAGTTGAAAGGTCATTGAACTAGTGCGCGTCGTCCTCTCCCGGAACAGATAGAAAAGCACACATACAAACCAAAACTCACACAAAACATAGTAGCTACTACGCGAGGGGTTCTATATACTCTTCTCTCGTTCTCCCTTTTCTTTCTCTCTTTCATTCTCTCAAAAACCCAAGCAGCACCATAAAGAAATGTCTTTTGCTCGCGATTCAAAAGCTATCAACTATACGATTTTCGTTTTCCATTCAATTCTCTGACTTTTCTTATATAGACTATTTTTCCAAAGGGCTCTCTCTCTCTCTCTCTCTCTCTCTCTCTCTCTCTCTCTCTCTCTCTCTTTATCAGTTCTCAACTTTCTCGCACCAACGAATTTTCCATGAAACCAATAAGACAAGCACATCTCTTTCCAATATCTGACCATTTCACCTGAAAAAGCACGGGACTATAATATTTTTTTTGTTCTCAATAAGAAAAATTCTTTTCTATAATTATCAGTTGTTGAAAATTTTGTTACTAGAAAATTCCGATTGAATTATGCAAATATTTATTATTAGAGTAATTTTTTTGAAATTAATTAAAAACAAAATTTTTTTAAATTGGAAATAATTTTTATTGTGTACGTCACGTAATTTTAACCAACGCCATGAAAAAAACGACGAGGTCTAATGGGTCGAGACGAATTTTTCTGCCATTTTGAATTTTTTAAAAATAGTCAATTTTGTTTTATTCGAAACTAACTATCTGGTAATAAATGGCTTTGATTGAAGAAAATGAAATAAAAAATAATATTTAAAATACGCGTGAGAAAAAAAAGATAAATTTTTTTTTCAGAAAATTACGCTGATAACAAAATATATTGCATAAGACTATGGAAAACAGGGCGTTCTTAATAGTTACTGAGGCAAATTAAAAGGTTTCCCATTGCTGAGTTATTTCAGAACTCAACCCTAGGGCTTCCTCTTTTGTGGACTCATGATTTTATCAACAATTTCTACAGTCAAATGTTTTTGTATTAAAGCTAACTGATTATTTGAAATAATCCAATTCTAATTTTTACAATTCGAAAACTAAGAATCCAATTCACTCCTTACAAACAAATAATTAAGTAATTTAAACAAATTTTGTAATTACAATTAAATCTAAATTTAAAATAATAATTAGATAAAAAGAGTTTCTTTTTTTACTTTACAAAAAAAATAATATCAAGTTAGATACAAAAGTTGATAAATAAAAGGACGATAAAAATAAATAAAAAACTAAATCTATTAGAAATTTATGAGAACTCATAAAAAAAGAGAATTACATGGATAGGAAAAAGATGACAAATATATATATAACTTGAAATAGCCAAGCTGGCGTTTTATCAAATAAAACTATAACCGATATTTATGAATTTTGTATCGATGTGAACAAGTGTGCACAACGAGTAGACAGAAGTGCAATTTAAATCGGTCGACATTTGTAAAATACTTTTTCTCTTAAAGTCAAGATCAATAAACAAAAATTATATTTTCCTATGACTTGATATACTACTTTGAAAAACCAGGAAGTAATATAATATAAATAAAATTGAGAATTAAACATTAAAATCAATTATAAAAATTACAATATTTATGTAATCAGAATTAATTTTACTGTTAATTAAAATGATAATTAATGTTAGCATTTACATTAATTTCATTTAGCAATTCAATTAATAGAAACTACCGTTATTTTGAATTTAAACAAAAAAAAAATTTATTTTATCATAAAATATTTGAATAATAAAATTATAAACGTCAAATTAAATAATTATTTTATCACATAGAAGAATTTTATTTTTAATCTCTTGTTTTTCGTAAAAAAAAAACAATTTTATTTTTAATCTCTTGTTTTTCGTAAAATTTAGAACGAAAATCTAAGTGCGATATCAGTAAAAATGAATGAGAAATAGGAAAATTTTCAAATCATGACAATCAATTGTACCTATTGGCTTGGAAATATCGCTTTCAATGTGGAAGGTCTTTTGGCGAAATGCCAAATTACTACATAGACAAATTTAGAAATAGCATCACAGGAAAAACGAAATTCCATTTTCGCAAGTTGTTGAAGTTTATGAATAATAAAGAAGAAAAAAAAAGCGTTTCTCCAATGCAAAAATATTCAAATGATGAGCACTTGAAAAATTCAAGGAATAACTAAACATTATTTTGTGTGCTATACAATTTAATAGAAATTAAGCTCACCTGTTGATGAACCCGTAGCCACTCTTCACGTTGAACCATTTAACGGTTCCGGTGACTTTGGTAGCTATAACATAAAAAATATCAATTAGCCATTATTATAAAATTAATATTTATTCTCAAGTGACGACTAATAAAAAAAAAATTTTTAATTACTTTCTTATTAAATATAAGAATTTTATAAATAAAATACGAGCGAAAAGTTAAAAATTACAGAATGCAAAATTCAAACTGAACTGGAATCGAATTTCTCAAACAAAAATCACAAAACATTTTCGAAAGCACTTACAAATAATATTTAAAAAAAAAATTGAAGTGAAACAATCCCTAAGGCTGTAACAGAATTTTTTTTTTTTTATATATACGCTGAAAGCATTTTACTGATATGTTTTTAACATATCGATAACATTTTATCAGACTTCAGGCATTAAAAAACAGAACAGTTTTGAAAAAATAATCTAAAATATAAAAATACAACAAAATATTTAAAAAAATTAAATTAAAAAAAAAAATTAAATTAAAACATAAAAATTTTGAAAAAATAAATATAAAGATAGAATTTATTAAAACATTTTGTTTTGAGAAAGTGACATAGTTGTGAGCATTGCATGCATTAGAAGAGGGCGTGTTGTTAAAAAATGTTAAGGCGGAGATTGTGCAAGTAACAAGTTCTCAGAAATGGAAAGATTGATGCATTTAATGTTATAAACGTTCGTGTGAACAAAATTTTCAATTAAACTATTCTTTTCATGATAAAAAAATAAATATTTTTTTAATTAACTTGGTTTACTAAAAAAAATTTTTTATTTAAAAACAAATTATATATTGACAATTGGCAAATTATGTTGATAAAAAAGGAAATTTTTATTGTAAATAAAAATTGATTGTATCTTTTCATGAACAGATCAATGAAAAGTTACGTGAATGTGGTCAAGGTTATTCTTACTGTAAACCTTAGAAGAAAAACTATTTTGTTATTTTTTTCAAATTAATATTTTACTAATAAATAATCTAAAAAAGTTTTTAAAAATTTTTAAATATTATTTAAAAATTAAAAAAAAATCTCTATTGTTAATTTAAATAAATATACTTTTAGCATATCTAATCTGTTAATTGAACTTATATTTATACTTAAAACTACTTTGTTTTATAATCATCCTGAAATACGAAACTAAAACTCGTAATTAAGACAAAAGAATAAGGAAAACATTCATACAAGTTCAATTTCTTTTTGAAGATATTAAATTTCCTATTCTGTTACAAATACAATAAAAAATCAAAATAAACAATACTGATAAATAAAAATAAATAAAAATAAAAAAAAATTGCAACAAATTAAAAGAATTATATAAAAATAAAATTATTATAAATAATAGAAATATATTAATTTTTGACTAATAAAGAAATTAAATTAATTATTCAAGAATACAATATAAGAGATAAAAAATTGAAAATCGCATTTTTAAATTGATTATTTCGTGACACTAAATATGAATATTCTTACGCATTCACCGTTGCATATGACCCTTTATTATCCAGGTCATGAAGTTTAAGAATCGATTTTCCTTACAAAGGAAAGAAATTTGTTAATTTTTTTTTTAAATGTAAAAATAAATTAAAAAATAGATTTTGTTGTAAAGGATGATAACTTGCGTTGTAATTCAAGGATTTCTGATTAAAAGAAAAAAAGATAATTTAATTGATATCTTACAACATGTGATGCAACTACTGATTATAAATAAATGAAAAAAATTTTTCGCGATTAACTGTAATACAAATTAGATGTAAATTCATCGTTTTGCAAACGTTTCATTGTATATATATAAAAAAAAGTGAATATCAGTTTCAATAAAAATTCTAAATTGTCAAATGTCAACAAACATTTGTATTTTGGAATTCAATTCAATCAAAATTTGAACACAATTTCAATTTATTTTAATTAAATTCAAATATAATTAATTATTATTAACTTTGGTTAATTAATAAAAATTTATATTAATTTTAATCATGATTTGAAAATTTTTTTTATAATTATTAATTCTACAAACTATTTAAAAACGAGCCAATATCCCCCAAGGCGTAAAAGCGTCAAGAATAAAATAGATATTACATAATACGTCTTCTCCCAGGAAACAAAGATAAACTCATTACAAGACGTGCATAAATAAAATAAATTTCATTTCTCAAGGAAAAAAAAACAAATGCTTCTAGTTTGCAATTTTCAACTGACTTTTCCAAATTTCAAAAGAAATCAAGCTTTTCTTGAGATTATCTCACGAGGCTTTAGGGTTATGGAATCCTCGAGGTAGCTTGATGCCATAAAAGGCGTCGAGCCTTATCTAGAAATCGATCTCGGAATTTCAAATTCACCGAAATAATTTTCAATTTGTTTTATATATATTCAAAATAGCAAAAAAACAAAAAAATATGGAATTTTCGAAATGTCATTTATTAATGGGAGCAATGGATGGTTATAGATAAATGATGATTTTAGAAAAAAAAGATCAATTTAGAATATTTGTGCGCCGGCCACATGGTCTCAAGTGCAGCGGACGCGGGCGCCATTACACGAAAACGCGGTTCTACCTCGAGGGCGATGTTGTCGATGATTTTCCGGGATGGTGAAAAAAGATAGCAGAAAAAAGTAATTATGAAATTTTCTTTTCTTACCAATGATTGTTTTTTTTTGCACAGCCGCGGGTTGTTCGGGCTGTTTTTCCGGGTCAGCCATGGTGGTGATGTTAAGATGTTAGACACGCCGCTGCCGTACCTAGATGTTACCGTCCTTCTGGTTGTACTGTTAGTTTCCTTCTAACGATCTCAAGATGGCCGCATCATGCTAGGCGACCGGTCAAACATCATTCCCTTGTATCCATTTCTCCTATTGGTTCTATTCACAAACTTATTATTTTATATGCGTCTGTATTCACACTGTATTAATATAAATAAACAAAATTTTTAACAAAGAAAAAAACATATTTATTTATTATATTGCATCAGTTTCTTGCAATAATTTTTGATAACAAGAAATTTTTTCATATAATAACAAAAAGAATAAAGAAGCGGGAATCTTAATTCTGGTCGTAATTAATTTGGATTATAAATTACTTATTATTTTCAAACAAATATATTGTACATTTAAAATAAGTAAATAGTTTTTAAATAAATTATGTTATTTACAAATTGTTATTGTTTACTAAAGTTATTGAAATTTAAATATCAATAAAACCGGAAAAGACAATATTAGTTCCTGTCATTTAAGAACCGGCCAATCAGAATTAATGTTTAGACTAGTTTTTTCCAATGTTTCCAACTTATTTCTAGAAAAACTAACCTCTATTTAAGGCTAGTGATTTTTCAGATTTGACAAATGAATAAATATTGGAATTTGATTCATATATTTAATTTAATGAAAAACTGGTGTGAATATATTTTATGAGTGCTGATGATTTTCAGTACTTTTTAATTATATATTACGATTGTGCTTAAGATTTACATGGTTAATTACGTCAGGGAATTAAATATTTTGAAGGTTACGTTTTGACATTTTTTGACAGACAAGAATATGCGAGCATCGCATTTTAGATCATAATTATCTAGAAAAAAGTGGTAGTATCCTGTTTTGCAAGAAATAATTCATTCTTTGCTTTAAATAGTTGATTATTTCATGAAAAGTGTTTTATGAATAAAATTTTTGTTATTTTATAATCAACTATTGAAAGGTGTGTCATGTTAGCTCATCTCTTGTAGTTCTTTATTTATTGTATATATGACAACAATTTAGAGGTTAGAAAGAAGTGACGATTGTTCATTTAATTAGAAAAAAAAGGACAAATTATAGAAATTGTCAAACGAATCTTTATAAACAATGGCAGCGGGAACAACTTTACAGGTAAGAAATTGAAAAAATTCATCACTTAATTAGATTTTTTGTATGATTGATACTTTTAATTAACTGTCTAATTGCTCTTATCACAGAAAGCCATCGATTTAGTCACTAAAGCTACTGAGGAAGATAAAAAGAAGAATTACGAAGAGGCTCTCAGGCTTTATGAACATGCTGTAGAATATTTTCTTCATTCTCTTAAATGTTGGTATTTATGTAATAGAATAAGCAATTGAAATACCAAAACAATGATTTCATTCCTTAGAAATTTTACAATGATGATAATTGTTTCCGTTTTTTTTTTTTATAGATGAAGCACAAGGTGATAGAGCAAAGGAGAGCATCCGATCAAAATGTAATCAGTATTTAGATCGTGCTGAGAAATTAAAGGCACATTTGAAAAAGGGAAAGAAAAAACCTGTTAAGGCTGGTGAAGATGATTCAAAAAGTGAAGATAAAAAAAGTGACAGTGGCGATAGTGATACAGACAGCGATCCAGAGAAAAAGAAATTACAAACCAAACTAGAAGGCGCTATAATAATGGAAAAACCAAATATTAAATGGAGCGATGTTGCTGGTCTTGATTTAGCTAAAGAAGCATTAAAGGAAGCTGTTATCTTGCCTATTCGATTTCCTCATTTGTTCACGGGGAAACGAGTTCCCTGGAAGGGAATATTACTATTTGGGGTAAATCAAAATAATATCCACAATTTGAAAAATTAATTATCTAATATATATATATATTTATTTTTTAGCCTCCAGGTACTGGTAAATCATATTTAGCAAAAGCAGTAGCCACAGAAGCTGATAATTCGACATTCTTTTCTGTTTCTTCGTCTGATTTGGTGAGCAAATGGCTTGGAGAATCTGAAAAACTTGTGAAAAATTTATTTGAATTGGCTCGACATCACAAACCTAGTATCATTTTTATCGACGAAGTTGATTCTCTTTGTTCGTCACGATCCGATAACGAATCCGAATCGGCACGACGAATAAAAACTGAATTTCTAGTACAAATGCAAGGTAGGAAATTTATTTATTACTAAAAAGAAATGAGGTATTTAAAAAAAATGTTTAAATCATTTTTCAGGCGTGGGAAATGACAATGACGGTATTCTAGTCCTTGGAGCGACCAATATTCCTTGGGTTTTGGATTCGGCTATTCGAAGAAGATTCGAAAAGAGGATTTACATTCCTCTACCGGAATTACAAGCGCGAGCAATAATGTTTAAATTACATTTGGGAAATACGTCACATTGTTTGAGTGATGAACATTTTAAAGAACTTGCAGGCGCCACTGAAGGATATTCAGGAGCTGACATAAGTATCATCGTTAGGGATGCTTTAATGCAACCGGTTCGACAAGTACAGACTGCGACTCATTTTAAAAAAGTTCGTGGTCCATCGCCTAAAGATCCGTCCACAATTGTCAATGATCTTCTCACTCCATGTTCGCCTGGCGATCCTGATGCTATTGAAATGAATTGGATGGACGTGGAAGGGGACAAATTATATGAACCTCCAGTTACAATGGTCAGTATTTTTAAATTTAAATATTTAAATTAATTATTAAATTTAAAATCATAATGTTTTTTTTTTTAATTTTTAGAGAGATATGATGAAATCGTTGTCGACAACTCGACCAACAGTCAACGAGGAGGATATGGCGAAATTAGAAAAGTTCAAGGAAGACTTTGGCCAAGAAGGTTGATATTATTGGTATTTGGCGAGAGAACAAGAGTTTTCAGGCACACGAATACTTGAGTTGATCACGCTTGCCTTATTCCCTTCCTGGACATCACTCTTTCTCACGACAATTGAATCGTCGTACCATCTAGAAAGTATATCTCTTTGTCTCTTACAATTTTACAGCAAGAGATTTAATTGCTAAATACCACTTGTACATTATCTTTATAGTTTTCTTTTCCTCCTCCTCCTTTCTCTCTCTCAGGTCGAAAACTCGTCGACACATAATAAATAAGAAAGATACTATTTTTTGAGATAAACGAACTTCGGACCTTTTAAATGTCTTCTTTTTTTAATCGCTGTACACTGTGTAGTGGAATTAAAAAAATAAATAAATGTACGAAGGACTGGAGAAATTCGAAAAAATGGATTATGCATGATATATATATAAAGGTACAGATTAGATAGGAATTTTAAGATAAAGTTGATAATAGAAGAAAGTAGAATGTAAAACTGATAGATTCAATGCTAATGCATATTAATCATATTTAACATTTTATTACAAATTTTGTTACGCATTTTTACTTTGCAGTTTATCAGATGGACTGAGAAAAATTTTTTGCTAAAGATCGCTTTTGAAATGAAAGACAAAAAAAAAAAAGAGTTATTTGATCCACTTAAAAACTCTTATACACCGATGTAAATGTATGTGTGTTATAAATAATCAGGACACTTGTTCTTATGTAAATTATTTTTATTGTTAACTAAATAAATAACAACTTAGACATACAGCAATCGAATTAAATTGGATTTACAAGTTTTATTTTATTTTATTTTATTTTTTTAACAGGATTAAAAGTATCAAAGATGGTCAGTCTTTCATAGACTCTGGCTTATAAAATTTGAATCTAAATACACTATCGTTATTGTGATGTCGTCGCGGAAAACTCGCACAACTTCACTTGGAAGTGTTAAGTACTGTGATAATTTTCCATGATCGATACCAAATTCAGTACCACCAAGGGCATTTCTTAAAAGATGAGTAGCTGCATTACCATCGAGTGGTTTCATTTTTAAACCCTCTTTTCTTTGTAATAATTTTTTATTAATCTCAGCTAAATTCACATCTTTTCGTGGTAATTTTAATGGTGTAAGTGTTACTTTACCTCGCATATGTTCACCAACGAGTTTCACTGCTTGCAATGGTGTCATTAAATCCCATAAACCATCACTGCCGAGAATTAAAAATTTATCACATGGTCTTAATCGATGATATTTAATTTCTGGTTTTGCTGTCAGGTACGGTGGTGTATGATAATTTGGTGGTATGGCATTTTCACCGAGAAATGGCACAACTTTGGTTTCCAAAATTTCCTTACTCCATTTATATCTAAAATCGCCGAGTGCTCGCAATGGAGCTAATTGACCAAGAAGTCGTTCCATTTTTATAACTGTCGTCTTTTCATTAATTGGATGTTCAGCAAGAATTCTCGATACTTCCGTTTGATTATCAGAATTATGCTCCACGGTCAATGCTTTTGCTGTCCATGTGTTGTCCTCTAAAAAAAAAAAAAAGTGAAAATTTCTATAAAAATTACAAGAAAATTTTCTTCTTAATTTATACCTGAAAGAACTCCAAGAATTGCTTGACAATCACCAACACCAGCAACATGAATATGTGGTCCTTTAATATGAGCGACAACAGCAACCGATCCTGACATTGCAACTGATAATGTTCTCGCTGAATTTCGTCTATTCATTTCATTTAATGCTTCATTTGATAAATCATTATCCAATCGAAGAAATGCCTTTTCAATTGCATCCTCTATTAAAAATTCATTTCCAAATTGTGTCTCAGACAATTCTCTCGTAAATGATAAAAAACTTGACCGATATAAATCACGGATCTCTGTGACAAATTCCACACTATCTTCATAAGTTTCAATTAATTCTAATTCATTTTGACTGTTGACTGATTGCAAATATTGTTGCAAAAGATCCTGAGGCAATAAACAAGCCGAAATATATTGAAATAAACGTTTTGAAACAACTTGAGCACATGCTCCACCACCATGGCCATCAAAAACACCAAAAAGAATTCCTATAATGATAAATACCTGTTAATAAACGTTAATTTGATATAAATTCACATCAATTACCTCCGGTTAATAAACATTTTGCTTCAGATCTTGTATCCTCAATGGGATTATTAGATGCCAATTGATTTGATTCATAATATTTAACAATATTTGTCGAATTTATTTCCTTATTAAATTCATTAGTTTGTAAAATGTCAGTAACCTAAAATTAAATGTGAAATAATTTTTTAAATATATCTTCAATATATATAATTATCTAATGAATAAAATAATAATAACATCAAATAGAAATAACCCTAAGAAATATAAGTGTTTCAAAAGAATGTTTATACTTGCAAAAGAACTCTTTTGACTTTTATATTACAATAGCAATTAATTAATTTAAATATATAAATGATGCATGATTAATAATTTAAATTACCTCCTGTGGTGTGAGACGTGGTAAAGCAACGTAGAATCGTAAAAAATTGTCACCTGTATTGCGTTTCGCATAATTTGTACATAAATTAGTGCACTTTTCAATCAAACGACAAAAACGAAAATGCATGACCATCCTCTCATCAAAAATCCTGCTTTCTATTTTAAATTCTTTAGCAAATTTCTCTCTCAATTCCTTTGCTTTTATTACACATTTTCATGATTTTCAATTAATTTATAGGTTAAGTTCAAATATTTTTTTTCCGGAATTAAGCAAATTCTTTGCGTTTTTTGTTATGGTAAACTTGAACACTTAATAATGTTTAGATTTTATTTGTAATTCAACATTTTTTAAAAAACTTGAATGACTCGGTATTGAATGAAAATAAGAAGAAATTTTAAATATTTTTTTTTTAAACTAACATACAGAGCTTGATTCGTCCAAAAATCTGAATCACTTCTGACTTCTGTTTGTTTCTGTTCTAAAAAAAAAAAAAAAATTAAATTACGCCGTATTAAAAAGAATTATGAATTTAAGAATGTAAACATTCATTTTTTTAAACGTTTGCGGTATTTATAAATATTTATAAAACACACAATAGAGAATATAAAACATCAATTGAAAAACAGCCTAAAAATTAAAAATTTTTTAAATATGTTTGTATCAGCTAATAAATTTTAAAATTTCTTTTTCATTGTAAATTTAAAAACACTTTTTTTTCATTCTACACTTGTAATTAATTAATTGATTAATGAAATTTTTTAATTTTTAAAAATAATTTTAATTTTCCCGCAACGCACGCGCAGAAAGACAATTAAAGTTACGCCATCTAACGATCAATTTAGAAACTAACGATTTAAATTACAATCCACTTTTGATTTTGTCATGTCTCCAACGGTCCGGCGTGCTTGGTTTAGCTTGTTTAAGTGTTGTTTAGAATTACGTTAATTATTTTGTGAATTACGTGCAAAATAATATTGTTATTGCATTGAAAAACACAACAAATTGATTTTATTAAGCCATAAAGAAGGGTAAGTCACAAAAATATAAAGATAATCACAATAACATCCGTTTATTTACAATAGCGTTACCTGTCAGTTTGTTAAAAGAGCTTGTTTTATCGTTTTGTCCTTTTTTATTCTTAAAGATAATAATTTCTTGAATATTTCACATGTTAGAATTTATAATTATTTATTAAGAAACTTTCATAAGTGTCAAAATTAATATTTTTATAATTAAAGGGAAAAATTTTTGTTGGTTATAAAAACATGTTTTTGTTAATAAATATTTAATTAAAATAAATTAATTAATATCTATATTTTTATATTTTTACATATTAGTTAAGAATAAATGTAAATAAAAATTTATAGTTTCTATATAAATTACTTTAACAGAACTTGATTTTAAAGTTCGTATAATTGTAATTATTTTTTAATTAATCGTTAAAATATTTTACCATTATGTTTAGTAATATGTATTTATTGAATATTTCACAAAAAATTGAGTGAAGCTAACAATTTTCATTCAAGTTTTCTTATTTTTCTTATGGCATTGCTGGCAGTTACTCAAGAGAAACTTTCTTATAAATTGAATTTTTTTTTAATGGAATAAATTATAAATAGTAAAATAAATACAATTTCGAAATCTTATTTTATTTATATTGTAAATTATGACTGGAATAAATAATTACAAGGCCCAGTCTTAGTTTATTAAAAAAAAAAATTAATTCACAATATTATTAAATAGAAAATTGAAATATTTAATTTTTACAGGGCACATGAATCATCATGGTGTTCAATAAAAAAGACTTGGCAAAAGCCTTTTCTCCCAATAAAGCAAAAAAATTCGTGAAAAAAAGATTATCAGGCACAACAAAACCTAGTACAAGTGGCAGCACAATGAGAAAAGATACAAGTGCCGAAACGAGTATCAAAGTAATTGTTCGTTGTAGACCTCCAAATGATCGTGAAAATCAAGAAAATTATCGAACAGTTATAAAACTTGTTGATGATAAAATGTTAATTTTCGATCCAAAAGAAGAAGAAAATCCATTTTTCTATCGTGGTGTTGTACAAAAAGGTCGTGATTTATTGAAAAAACAAAATAAAGAATTGAATTTTATTTTTGACAAAGTTTTTGGCATGGATTCATCAAATGATGATATATTTCAAGGTAGCACAAAAGAATTAATTATCAATTTACTTGATGGTTATAATTGTTCTGTATTTGCTTATGGTGCAACTGGTGCTGGAAAAACACATACAATGCTTGGAAAGGAAGGTGATCCTGGAATTACATATCGTACAATGTCGGAATTATTTAATCAAATTAATTTACAAAGAGAACATCGTGACTTTGATTTGGGTGTAACTTATTTAGAAGTATATAATGAAAATGTTCAAGATTTATTACACAAAAGTGGACCACTTCATCTTCGTGAAGATGGACGATGCGGAATAATTGTGGCTGGACTTAAAATTATAACAATTCATAGTCCAGACGAATTGCTTTCGCTTCTGGCAAGGGGAAATAAGAATCGTACTCAACATCCAACTGACGCAAATGAAGAGAGTAGCAGAAGTCATGCTGTATTTCAAGTTTATGTTAATATTACAAGTAAATTAGATGGTCAGGTAAAACAAGTGAAATTATCAATGATCGATCTTGCTGGATCTGAAAGAGCCTCGGCCACTGGATGTAAAGGTGCAAGATTTAAAGAAGGAGCAAATATCAATAAATCTCTATTGGCACTTGGCAATTGTATTAATAATTTAGCAGATGGCATTAAACATATTCCATATCGAGAATCAAAATTGACACGATTATTGAAAGATTCTTTAGGTGGTAATTGTCAAACGGTGATGATTGCTAATGTTAGTCCATCGAGTATGAGTTATGAGGATACATGTAATACACTGAGATATGCAAATCGTGCGAAAAAAATTAAGACAAGTATTAAGAAAAATATTGTTGATTGTCAAATGCATGTGACAACTTATATTAAAATGGTCGACGAACAAAAGAGAGAAATTGCATTGCTCAAGCAGCAAATTCAAGCATTGGAAAATGGTGGTAAAATTATTTCTTCGACGCCAAGAGACACGAAAACAGAGGAAAATAATAAATTACTCGCTGATTTTGGCAATAAACTCGAGGAATTGTATCGAAAGAAAAGAAATTTAAATGAAAAAATCATGTCTCTTGAAAGTACCGATAAAGTTTTGTGCTGCAGGATTCAGTACAAAAAAGCTGCCGATAATAGACTTCACAATTTGACAACATCAGTGGATGCATTATCACCAGAAGAGATAAATGCCAGCGGTAAATCGAGGCTCAACAAATCTCTCCAACATTTCAAACGTCAACGGGATGGCATTCAAAATCAAATGAATCTCGTCTGGAAAGAATTGTCCAAGGTTTGTTGAAAATTAATTTTCTTTTTAAAAACAAATTTTCTTACACTAAAACTAAATTAATTTTATTTCAGGTTGAAGGGGAATTGCAAGCACTTGAAAATCAGATTAAATCCAAAGATCTAACTGAGAAATTAAGGGAGAAAACATTATTGTTAAAAACTGAAATTGAAAAATCAAGATTACAACAACAATGCGAACATGGTAAACGTATCAACAGTCTTGAACAATGTGAAATGCATTCTGACTTGACAATAATCAAAATGTTGAGTTCAACAGTTCAAACTTATTACAATATGATGAGGGGTTACGGAACCGTGAATGAAAGCATGAAAAGTGAATTTAAACAGCTCATTAAATCATTAGAAGGTGTACGTAATATCAAATGGTCCGATATGGAATTAACAACAACAGAAGAAGATTTTTACAGTATGACAATTCTCGATGTTCTCGATAATCCGCTAACCAATGAGATGCCAATTTTCCAACCAGTTGCACTCAATGAACAAAATGAATCTCCAAAATCACTCAACGCCACACCAACTGGAATTGCAACAACAATGGATCCTCACAATTTAACTGTTACTTTAGATGAATTCTCCACAATTAATACTGACACATTAGAAACAGAAGCCGAGGCCAGCAATAGAACCATTGACATCAGTAATAAAACAATAGACATCAGTAATAAAGCCATTGATACCAGTAAACTAAATGGTACCATCAATTTACAAGAATCAAAATTCCGTAAACGTATTCTTCATGACAAAAATAATGGTCCAGGACGAACGCCACCGAAATTTATTAAAAAAATTTCACCTAAAAATAAAGTCATTCAAAATACCACCGGTAAGGAGAATAATAAGGAAGCGCCAAAACATCAATTATTCATGAGCGCAAAAAGTATTGCTATTTTAAATAAATTGAAAAGTGATAAATTAAAACAATTACCACCACCACCGCCGAGCAGTAATTTTACCATCAATAATGAACAATCGGATACAACACTCAAGGTCGTCAGAGGAAAGGAGAGGCGAGCTCTTACTTCTTCACATCATCCTTACCAGAAACAAGTCGTCAAACCAAAGTAAGTTAAATATTTTGCTGAATTTTATGTCAGGCTTAGCAAAAGAAGAAAAAGGGAATTTTTTGTAAACTCTGTAAAAGCTAATTTACAGTTGATTTGTTAACAGATCTACTACACCAGCTTTACCTTCGTCTAGGGTTCCCTGGTAGTTTGAGCGAGTCTAATGAATTTTTGTTTTTAATTTCAAAATATAGTATTCTTTTATTATTGTGTACAAGATAAGATGTATTGTATATATTTTTTAAAAATCAAAACACGAACGCAGTATGAGAAATAAAATATACTCTAATAGCTGCAACAATTTTCTCAAGTTGATTTAGCAATACACTTGTCATATTCTCATTGCTGATTTATTTTGAAGAAACAAAATCCAAAAAATACTTATAAAATCACTACAAAAAATAACGATCAATAAAAATAAAATTTTTCATTAAGAATATCAATTGTCAAAAATAAAATTTACGGTACCAAAGAATATCTATTTTTTTTTTTTTTAAAGAACAAATTCAAAATAAATCACGAATGAGTTTTATTTTACTTTTTTTTTTTAGAAAGCAATCACGAGAGACAGCACAAATATTTTTCTAAAATAATGACGAAGAAAAAATATTTAGAAAAATTTTTATTATATTTTTTATGTAACGATTTCTAGTTTTTTTTTTTTTTATTTTAGTTTTATATCACAACTTAACATCATATATTTATTCAGAAATTGAATTGAAACGCACGAATTGACTGAAAAAATTTGATTGTCTTTGAATTTTTAAATAATAATTATTATTGTTATTTTATATCTAAAAAAAAAAAATGTGAAATAATAATAATTTATCGTAAGTTGAAATACATTGATTTGAAATCGATGTCCGGTGATTAATGTTTTTCACTGCAATTTACTGACACTCTCACTTAATGAGTTGTTTGAATTTTATTCCAGTATTTTTTTAAAAAAATTTAATAAATTGCAAATATTACGCTTATAAATAAAAGAAAATATATATTACGATCGCATGATAATTAATTTTAGGCGTTCATATTAAGCGTAAAATAAGCAATAATTTGATATTAATGTTTTGTAATAATATTTTTAGTACATTAATAAAATATTTATACTTACAATAATGTTTTATTCCATTATATACTATTGTATTATTATACATTTTAGTATATATTTTACATATTATTAACATAATTATTATAATATTTAAAATAATTTAAAATTCGATGTTACAATTTTCTTAGAATGTAAATAATTTTCAGTTGTTTGATTATAATTTCGAAAATTTGCTTTATTGCTTTTTCGTTGTTGTTTCTTCTCTTCCATCAAGTAAATTATTTTCCAATGCTGACTGCAAATTCAAAAAGAAAAAAAAAAACTTTTATTAAAAATTTTTTTTAGAAATTCGCAATGATGAAAAATTGCTGACAAATTTTGAATAATCAGAGATAATTGTATTTTTTAAAATTTTAGGAATAAAACTGAAAAAAATTCCCATTTTTATAAAATTGCTCTGATTAAATAGTAAATTAACAAAAATTTCCGTACATATTCATTAAGTGCTCGCATTACACGTTCCTCAACGTCCTTATCAACTTCTGCTGATGATTGTCTTCTGCTGCTGACAATTGTTGGAATAATTGATCTTGATCTGTCGAATAATGAAGCAAATGATTGCAATAAAAAAGCTAAGAATGCAAGTGAGGCGAGCACGCTAATTGGATCAAAAGTTCTGAAAAAAGTTGAACTTTAAAAACTATTAATTAGAAACTAATTACGTTTTAATGATCGCAACTTTTTCTTTTATAAACGAATTATTGGATTTTAAAATATAAGAAAATTTTTTTTTGATTTTTCGTTAATAAAGAAACATTGCGAAATTAAAATACAAAAAAAATAATTGGTTTAATATTACTTACGGATAAAAAGCTGGAGCTGCAGGTGCTCCATGTCCATATGAACCATAATAACTTCTTGCTTGTCGATTTGTTGGTTTATTAATTAAATAATCTGACGATAAAATAGGACTGTTTGTAATTGGAGAAATATTTTTAAATCGATTTACTAATTTACAAAGATACGGCTGATTGAGAAAATTTGGATTATTGCAATTTGGAACAATTGGCGTGTTAATTGGATGTAATCTCGTATTTTTCGACAAATCCGACAAATATAAATTGGGTGGCGTTTTTCCGAAAATCTTCTCAATCCTATAATCCATTAGTACAATTGTCCAAAATATGATTTTCTAAATAAAAAATTACTTTTATAAATAAAAAAAAGGACAATTTTTTTTTTAATAAGAAATACTTACAATAGAAATAATTTTACAGATATCGATCATTCTCCAAAAAATATAAAATAAAATTTATGTCCATTGTATGGAAAAGAAACAAAAAAAACTCGCGAAAATAAATAACGCACTGTGGTTCGTCTTCAAAATTTCATTTGCTTTTATACTTTATATATGATACTTAAATCGCGTGCACGTGATTTATTGTCAATGCTCCAGTAAGTTTCGTCACGGATTCGAATTCAAAATTACTTTTGAATTTATCATCATTTGCGTGCTTTCATTGTAACGAAAAATTTGTCCTAGTAAAAAAATAAATAATATTTAAATTCATCGTCAATTCAATTCACCATTAATCTCATTTATTACGGTTTTCGTAATACCGTTTTATAATTTTTTTTGTTGCTTTTTGAAAAAAATGAATTTAAAAATAAAATTTTACATAACTTATTTTTATTTTTAAACTTATTTTAAGTTGAATAAATTTTTTACAGCTTCTTTGTATTTATTTACAGAATAATCGTCTTCTCCATTATTTATAAGATCTGAAACTGCAATTTTGTATTCTTCAGCATGAGGAATAGATTGATAGTCAATATCTTTTGGTGGTTCAGGCCAACAGAAAATGGTAATTAAATTCTCTCGACTTTTATTTCTATCCCAATCGTAATATTCCATATCGGCTTCACATTTTTCAGCTTCCCAAGGTTCTACTTTCTGTAAAATAAAAAAGAAATTTTGAAAATTCAAATGCAATTCTATAAAAATGAAAGAAATGAAAACTCACCCAAGATTCATGATATAAAGCTGTAATAAGATAATGAGCATAATCCATATTTTGTTGTTTTAATGGACATCGATCTGTTGTGATTGTGATATAATCGGTCACTGGATCATATTTATCTTTAATTAATCTAAGAAATTTATCTTTAGCATGTGCATCTAAAGTGAGACTTGACAATTTTATTCTTAAGCTCACAATTCTTGCCAAAGGTTCTCGTATTGTGGGTGATGAATAAACATAATCACTTGTAATTACTTCGAGGGGAAAGTGTTCAGTACATTTTTCTTCAGTTTCTAAACCAACTGGCCAATTAGTGCAAAATTTTTTAATTGCTTCACAATGTCTTCGTATTGCTGGCGGTGTAAGATGTAAAAAATTGGGAATTTTCATTAATTCCGTATTACCATATTTAGCAGGTGGTGCTTCATTATTTAAAGGATATCCTTGTCTAATGGGAAGTGGTACAGATGCTGGATGAAAAGTTCTTGGTCCAGGCCAAACTGACGGCCAATCTTGATCAACTTTCATTTCTAATTCTCTTGGTGGTAAGACTCTTTTTTTATGTTCTGACTTTTCCTTTTTTTCAAATTTTTCTGGTTTTAGCATTAAAATTCGAAACCCCTCTACAATAAATAAAAATAAACTTGAAATCTAAATCATATATTGTTTAAGTAATATAATTTCAGAACAATATTATGTTCAATTAAAAGAAATATTATAAATTTTCTATTTATTATTGTAAATTAAATAATAATTATTTTGTGATAATTAATTTTTATTTATAAAATATTGGAGTTACTTACCGGAATCTTTTTTACCAGTAACTCGAGGTGCATTTGATTCTGCAACATATGTGGCACAAAGTGATGGAGTTTTTTTTATTGTGGAGAAAATGTTTTTTTCACACAGACGTACAAAAACTGACATTTTTAAATAATTTTTGTTAATCACTTTTTTATAAACAAAACTTTTGTAAATACTTTAATCCTAACCTATAAAAATCGCATGTTCATTTCACTGTTCCATGAATTCAAATCCACTGTTCCGTGTGGTATTATTCAAAATTTGAAATAATAAAAAGAATTTTATAAAAATATTTAAAATAAAATAATATCGCTTTGGTTTTTTTTACAAATTTTGTTTAAAAAACTATTTATCTTTATTTAAAATCTTTAAAATATTTTTTGAATTTTTGTTTCTTTGAAAAGTGGTTCAATTTCAACGTTTCATATTTCAACAAATCATCAGGAGTGTAACAATTGATTTTTCAAATGTCAACAAGAAAAAGTTAGTTTATTATTTAAAAAAGAAACGTTTTAAATATGAAGAAATTATTTTCTTATACGACAAAATTGGTTTATTGAAAGATATGAAAAATTATAATTTTTATAAAGTTGCAAAACTGTCTTAACCTAAAATGTGTTTATTCTCGACGATGACGTTCATTCAATGTCTGTGTTGATGATGACATTCCTTCATTTCCCATACAAATAAAAATAATCATGGCTTCTCCTCGTCCAAAATCACCTCGTCCACCTATTTCGGCAAAAAAAGATGAAAAAGAAGAAAGTTTTTGGGATAAAATTGGCACACTTGGTCGCAAGAAACGTATCAAAGAAGGTATGTAGTTATAAACAATTTTTATATTATTTTTTGTTTTTAATTTTTCATTATTTACAAAAGTTTCGTGGGTGTTATGGAATCAGATGATTTCCTTTTAAGGAATCAACCCAATTGTGATGAAAATTATAATAATAATATAATATTAGATTTATTTTTAGTTTTAATCAAATTATTTTTTATTTCAATTAATTTTTGTTCCGTTATGTTTGTATGTTTCATTTTTTATACAGTTATTTATTATTTATACAGTTCAAGAGGTACAGGAAGAGGGAAAATATGCCATCGATTCACCAGGATGTGCAGCAAATCCTGAATTACCACCTGAAGAATATAATCTTGAAGAAAATGAAGAACGTTCAATGATTGAACCAAAATCATTAGAAGATTCAAAAGTACTTGAACTCGTTACAATTTTAATTGATTGGATTAACGATGAATTAGCTAATCAGAGAATTATTGTGAAAAATATTGCTGAAGATTTATATGATGGTCAAGTTCTTCAAAAACTTTTAGGTAATTTTTTTTTTCAATTTTTTGAGAAACTTTTGCCTTTGTAAAAACGAATATTTGATTTATAAAAAAAATTTATTATAAAATTGAAGATATTTAACGAAAATTTTGTTTTCTAGAAAAATTAACGGGACGAAAACTTGATGTGCCGGAAGTAACACAATCCGAGGAGGGTCAAAAGCAAAAATTGGAAGTTGTACTTCACGCTGCTAATCATGTTCTGGGACGTTATCCACCATATAAATGGAGCGTTGAGTCTGTGCATTCCAAGAATATTGTCTCTATTTTACATTTGTTGGTTGGATTAGCACGACAATTTCGAGCGCCTATTAGACTACCGGAACGAGTTGTTGTTTATGTTGTTGTTGTAAAAAAGAAGGATGGACAATTAACTCATAGAACCGTGAAAGAAGAGATTACGTCCACATACGACGATGTGGGAATGCGTTGCGAGAGAGATGCTTTTGATACTTTATTCGATCAGGCTCCAGAAAAATTGGCCGTTGTTAAAAGGGTCAGTATTTTGTATTTTTAATTCATAATTCAAAATTTAATAAATTTGTCTTTTCTTTACAGTCTTTAGTAACATTTGTAAATAAACATCTAAGTAAAGTTCATTTAGAAGTAACAGACTTGGATTCTCAATTTCATGACGGAGTATTTCTCACTTTACTATTAGGACTTCTTGAAGGATTTTTCGTACCCCTGGGAAGTTTTCATTTGACTCCAAAGAATCATGATCAAAAAGTTCACAATGTTGCGTTTGCCTTTGAGCTCATGCAGGATATTGGTTTACCGAAACCAAAAGCAAGACCAGAAGGTAATTAAACAAAAATTGTTTTAGAAAAATATCACAGATGATTATTATTTTTTTTTTTTGTTTATTACAGATGTGGTCAATTTAGATTTGAAATCAACTCTTCGTGTTCTTTACAATTTATTTACAAGATATAAAGGAATCAATTGAAAGAAGTCTGAGTTATATCGAGAAGAAATATACTAATATTACTAATTTAAAAAAAAAAAACGTTTTAACGCAAGATAATGAAAACTGCCATGTTTGTAATATTTTAAAAATCTACGAAGGGCCAATTATTTGCCAAAACAGTATCCTTTATTTAAAATAATTTTTAATTGAAAAAATAATGGCCTGGAATATTCGTTTAACACAACTACTTTTATTAACCGCAAGTGTCTTATAACAGGAATTGTCAATGATTATAGATTTTTAAATTACAACTTTAATAATGTTTTAATGAATATAAAACTTTTTTAATGGAATTTTATAAAACTTTTTAATGAACTTTTAATGAATTTGATAAATTTTAATGTCAGCTCTATAATCGAATTGTTTTTATTAATATAGTTGAAATTTTATAGAATTAACAAATTTACATGTAGACATGTACAAATATACTCATATACTTGTATTTATTTTATAGAATAGAATATATATATTTATATTTTCAAGTGGAACAAAGTGTTTTTGTCTTTTATTTAGAAAATTTCATTCCATTTTTATAAATTATAATAGCCATTTATTTTTTGCAATTTGAATTAAAATATATTATTTTTATTATTTCATGTTTCGTGATTATATCATTGTTGTTGTTTTTTTCTTAGTGAATTGTTCGCGAGATTTCAGTTCTAAGTCAAGGTGAATTGATTTGCGATGCGATCATCTGATGTATAAAAATATTATTTTTACAATTGATTCACGAATGAAAATGTGGAGCAAATTGTGCCAATCTTGATATAGAAATAGAGTAGGACATGCAGGGACATACCACATAAAGACAAAATCTACAATTTCGTATGAATATATAGAGAGATATAATGATATATATATATATATATTTCTGTGTCTATAGAGTGCAGATAGTATATAAAGCTATTTCACCAGATGATTTCAAAGCACGCGATGCTGATATCAAACCAAACGCCTTCTTTCTTTTTAGTTCTGCTTCTAACATTATACGTGACAAATAAAAGTATAAGAAAAAAAAAAGAAAGAGCCGTAATTATCCAAACGGCGCCGATTTTTCACGAAAGGTGCTTATACTGAATATATATCTCATTTCATTCAGTTCACATTCAAAGTTTCACGAATCAAGATCGTTCTATTAAAATCACACCTGGGCGAATTTAGATTTGAAATTCAAACTAAATTTAACTTTTTTTTTCGTAAAAAAAAGTCTTTTTTTAATGGAATTTTTTTATATACAATTTTTTACTGTTTTATAAATACTATACTAATTTAAAATAAATAATATATTTTTTTTTTATTAAAGAAAATTTATTTTTAAATTTCGAGTGATAGAATTTTTATTATATTTTTTAAGACTGAGAATTTATTAAAAAATTTTGATATTAAGGAAAATTTAATCGATTTTTATTAAAGAATAAATTTTTGAAATCTCTTTTTTTATTGTCAATGAATATCGCAGCTCTTGAACAAGTTCTCACTGAATCGAAACAAATTTTATTTAATCATGAAAAATTTTGCGAAACCAAAAAGAGGTAACGATTAATTTTAAAGAAATTAATAAATGTAATTTCTGCGAATTTTAATATTTGCATTATGCTAAAAGAAAAGGAGTTAATTTAATTTTTTTTTTAATCCACGTTTAGTGAGAGTATGGAACATAATAACAGTTTTTCGGATGATGATTGGCAGCAGCTTGCTGAGGATTTTTCTACATTTGAAAAAGAAATTGAAGATAAGAAAAATATTGTTTCGCGAAAAAGAAATTGGAGAAAATCAAGTATATTTACAATTTATGCGAGAGTTTTTCGTGTTGTATTGTCGAAATTTATAAAAACGACAGATTTCATTGATGAAGAAGAACATCGTCGTGAATTGGACGAATTAATTTTGCCCAGTAATGAAGAATGGCGTCATCAAGTTTATTATCAACTTGTTGATCTTCAACGTTTAATGGATAGAAATTCAGAAGAGAAGGAGTGAGTTTTTTTTTTATTTTCGTGAATTATTTTTTTTTATTATAATTTGAATTTATAAAAAATTCAAATTTTCGATTAATCGAAATTTAAAAGCAAAGTTCAAAATGCTTGCGTTAACCAGTTAATTTACGAGCGTTAATTAAATTTTAAATAACTTTTTGAGTCTTTTATTTTATTTTCTACATCTATAATTTTAATATTGAGGTATATTGACGAGAATTAATTTCTTTAGCTCAATTATCAGTTATAATAGTCAAAAAATTCTTTTTTTTTTACTTAATTTTTTTTGTTGCAAAATATTTTGACATTTGGTTGTTTTTATTTTGACATAATAAACAAAATAATTTTTCGTAGAATGGATTCTCCGTCAAAAAATCCATTGAAAGAGAACAAATTATACGAATGGGAACCTGGCGATAAACATTTTCCTCGAAAACCGAAAAAAGGAATAAAAGAAGAAATTCTTTTTTCTTTGGCAACAATTTCTTCAGCAAGCGGTTCAATGACTGAAGCTTATATAGAACCAGGATGGCGAATTCGAGATATTATTTTAGCAGCAAAAGTTCTTCAAAAAGATGATTCGTCATCTAATTATGTCGATGAAGCTGAAATGAGACGTGTTTTTGGTTTAGTTTACGATGTCTTGAGATGTAAGATTTCTTTTTTTAAAAATTAAATTTTTTTTCAGTATTAAATAAATTAATTTTTCTGTATTATTAAAATTAGATAAACACATATTGAATCATGCATTGGAAGATGTTGGATTTTGGCATCATTATAAAAATCTTCGAAAACAGGAGAAAATTGTTTGGCTTTTGTTATACGATATGCAAGGGAGAAAATTTGCTCGACTTGGAAATAAATTGGCTATTGCTGAACGTGAGAGAGCTTTTAATTTAGCTAATCTAAAATATGTGGAAGATTGTCTTCTTGAAACAAAAACACGATTAGCAGCAAGCGTTTCAAGATTGCGAATTGGTGGTTCAGCTTTAACGCTAGGTAAAATGTTGAAACTTGAAAATAAATTGAAAATTAAAATTAATTTTGTATTTTTTTTTTTTAAAGACGATTTGCTGCCAAGTCATTTAAAATCTGCAGAGGGAATTTATTGGAATGAAGAAAGTACAATAGCCTCAGGATGGGTGAATTCAATGAAAATAGCAAGTAAAGAAGAATTTATAATCGAAATGGAGAAATTGGGATTTCAATATTGTGCCAATTGTGAGGAAACAAATTTGGATGAAGAAAATTTTGTTTTTGATTCTCTTTGTCCAAAAGTCGTTAGTTTTCATGAAAAGAGTCGAGAAAAATTGGCAACATCACAATTAGTTCGCAAGCATTGTTTTATTTTTTTGGTATGAATTTTTGAAATATCGATATCATTTTTTTTTTCTTAATGTTTTGAAAAATAAAAAAAATGAAATTCTTAAAATTATTAATTTTTGTTAGGAAAGATCGCTTTGTTTGGGAGCAGCGAGTTTAATGAAGGCAATTCAAATGGGAAAATTATGTGGACCTGTAATTTTAACTCAGTGTATCGCTCCAAGACACACTGCGTATGTTGCGAGTCTTTTGGCTGATATTGAAGATGCTGGACGACTTTTGGCCTTTGGCACTGGAGATCAACATTGCGAATATGAGAATTATTTACACCACTTGGGAATAACGCATCAACAATGTCGAATTTTCTCCGAACAGTAATTTAATCTTTTAATAAATTTTTTAACATTTAAATTAATATTTATATATTTTTTTTTCTATTTTATTCATGAGCTATAATTTAAATAAAATTATTTTGAAAATTATTTTAGATACATTTCTCCGCCACCATCATCGGAATTGGAAAGAGCGACAATAGTTTTAGCGACACCTCATTGCAGTTATACGGGAATAAATGATATCGTCGATTTGGCAGTTGCTCGTGATGGAGATTATGCACTTTTGGAATCATTAACAAGCGATGACGATGAACTAAAACATCCGAGAACACTTCTTGCTGATCAATTAGCAACATTAAAACACGCATTAACAAAACCTAATATTCAGCTACTCATTTACGAAGTCCATTCAATTTTGCCCTCGGAAACAACAGAAATGGTGAATCAGGTTGTCGATTATGCCAATGGAATTGCCAAGGAGAAATATATTAAAGAAACAACTGTGGGTTACGTCTTTGACTTTGATCTAATAATTTTTCTTTTTCTTCTTTTTTTTTTTTTAATTCTTTGACCTTCTTTTTCAGAGTAAGAAAAAAATACCAAAAGAAGTTGGTGAAAAATCACCAAAAATGTTGAGACCAGGAAAACGAAGACAATCATGTGAGCCATCGAATTTAGAATCGGAAATTTCACAAAATCCCGAAGAAGAACAAGAAAAAGAAGAAGAGACTTCAATTACATCTTATCCTGATATTAAGGTAACATTTGTGTTACTAAAAAAACGGAAATTCACATAAATAATTGATTTTTTTTAGGTTCCAGATAGTGATGTTTTTGAAGTTTGCAGCGTTAATGATATTTATGATGAAAATTGTGACAATCTTTTGGAGGAAGGATGCTTTATAGCGTTTATAAGACGAAAAGAAATGATGCAATTTGATTCACTTTTTATGATTAAGGTCGCTGAGTCAAAAGGATTATTTGGCGATCCCAATAAACAACCGCAAAAGAAAGAAGAAATAACACCAATTATTCGACAGTCCTCTGCCGCCAGTCGAAAAAGCTTCAAACGTGCCAAGGTTTTTATTTTCAATTTACAAAAAAAATAATAGATTAATTTGAAAAAATTTTGTTTATATTTTTTTAAATCAATTAAAGAAATTTTTTTTAAATATTCATTGTTCGATAAGGAATGAAATAAATAAATTCGTTCAATTTAAATTTTAATTCTTTCTCTTTCTTTGCATATAGATTCAAATTGATCGAATCGCTGCACCGACACATTCCTCATTACTAAAAGCACAAAAGGAAAGTCACATTTGTCCAAGGCATAGTCAACACATTTTAAATGACGAGGATTCACTACTGACTCAGGTACGCGATACTAGGCGTGGCGATATTCGTCGATGGTGGGAAGATTCGAGTAAATATTTATTACATTCATCACAATGTAATTCCGATTGTAAATTTCGACGAATTCGCACCGATCCACAAACGAAAAAATTACTCTTTCCCTCTCATGTTCAAAATATTATTTACTCTATTGAAGATGAGAAATTCGATATAAAATAGTTAAATTTTCAAATTTTTCACTAACTATAAAAATATTATATTAATATTTAATTATAATTATATAATAATAATAATTTAAAATATTTATATTTTAAACAAAAGAAAATTAAAGAATTAATAATTTGGAAATACGTAAATATATTATTATTATTATTATTATTTAATTATAAATTTTTTAATATGAGAAAAAAATGTATTTTGTCATCATTTGATTTTTTGAATGCTGGGAATTATTAAAAGAAACAGTAAATTAAAAGAGGAGTTTCTATTACATGAATCAAGATGGAAATAAATTGTTGCGTGCAAGTCGTAAACTGCTTGCAGTATAATTTTGCTTTTATATTGCTACGCCGCATGAAGTGTAATAATTCTTTTCGTGCCAAATAAGCAGTGCATGTCATTTATATTTTGGCTATGAACTTTATTATACCCGTTCTTAATTTATTCACTTCAAATTACAAATTTTGAAGAAAATTAAAATAATGACTAAAATACAATAATTTACTTCAATTTTTTTTTAATTCTATACTATTTTACTTTTTGTTTAATAATTTACTTTAATTTAATAATTTTTTTAATGAAAAAAATTTAATTAAATTTGGTTTAACATTTTTTTTTGGGAGGCTTTCTTTATTTTTGAGATTAGTCGAATAATTTTGTTTATTTATATTTTGATTTAGTTGCATCTTTTAATTGTTAACCGATTTTTAAAAAAATATATTTTTCTTCATTCGCGTGATTTCTCACAAATGAGAAAATTATAGTCTGGAATAATGGGTGCATTCAATTTCAACGGTTTCCGCATATAAATTATACGCTCTTGTCCTACTTTTCTTTAAACGGAACATTTTATAAAACTGTATTTGTATTTTTTTTTTATAATTATACCATTTTTTGTTTTTAATACTTTAAATTTTGAATTTTAAATTATGTATTTAAATTTCTCTTCTTTTTATAATAATTTTTAATTAAATTTCTGTTTGAAAAGAATATTAATTATTTAATTTGTTTTTTTTATTCACTATTTTTGTTCTTTTTTCCACGATTTTATAGAATAATTCATCTGAAAAATGTCCTCCCTCATCAAATCAATCGTCACATTTAATCAATAATCGAGAAATTATTAACAATGAAAGAAGACAAATATCCGTTTCTGATCAGGAGAAAAGTGTGAAACGTTTAAGCACGTTAACAATTCGACCAAGCAATAATAAAATTATTTACAGTGATTGTGAGCGATTTAAAAATCAATATCAAACAATATCAGCATTTGGTGATCAAAATTACACGATTAATTCAAGGTTTGTTGCAAATTATTGAAGATATGCTTCAATGATATTAAATAAAAATTAATAATTAATAATTAATAATTAATAATAATTAAATATAATTTATATTTAACAATTTTCATCTCGATTAGTTTATATTGATTATTAATTTCTTTATATTAAATTATTATTTCAGACAATCACTGAAAAATTTAACTAAAGTTTCTCCGTTGTTTTTGAAAACACAATATTTTAATTTAGATAATAAATTGGAAGAAAAAGTTAATTTGAAAAATTTATCAAACAAAAAGAATGAATCGTTTATAAAAAATTGCCAAAGTTTTTATCCTAGAAGATCTTTAAAATATAGACAACTATATAGTGTCTCTCATTTGGAAACTGTCATGGAACAAACAAAAGGATTTCCATATCTTTTCCCCTCTGAAAATTTCCTCGAAACTGAATAAATAATTTTTTAATCTATAAAAAAAAATTTACAATAACAATAATGTTATTATTATTTATTTTTAATTTTTCTTTTTACAATTAAAAAAAATACATGATTACGCAAAATTTACCTAATCTCGAAAGTGTGAAAAATGATTTTTGCCAATTCAATAATATTCTCAATAATCGCATTAAAAATATAAATAAAATTCGATGGTTTCATTAATTGATAAATACAATTTTGGGGAATATTTTTAGTTTTTTCTATTTCTTGAGAATCGTAGAGAATTTTTTTTAAAAATTGTCTCAAATTTTCTAAATGAATATTAATATAATTTAAATTTACTAATTTGTTTAATAATAATCCAAAAATTATGCAAATGACATAAAGAATGCATGACACAGTAGATATTCTTTTAAATAAAGACAACAATAGATTAATAGATGAGTTCATCAGCCGATGTGTGACGTTTCTAATCATTTGTGGTACACAGGAACTGATAAGATTGATAGAAACAGTTATAAAAAATATAAGCACAAACTTGATAAGAATTAGTAAAATTATTATAGGACGTAAAACAAGAATCATTATTCTTTTTGCAAATAATATAAAAATTTTTGTCAAATTAAAAGATTTTTCATTATTATGCCCTAAAATTTTATTTTTCCATGATATGAAAAATATGGCAATTAATCCAAAGCACGAAAAAATTGATAATAAAATTAAATTTTCCAAATTTTTTCTTTCGTTTATAAAAATTTGTAAAATATTAATAATCATTTTGTAATGATTGAAAATAAAATTTTGATATTTTTCATATAACAATTGAAAATTACAGTGAAAAATTGAGAAAATTTGTAAATTTTGAATAGTGTTGTAATGAAGTGGAATATTTTGATAGACATGAGAACACAATTGAAGGGGAAAAATGAAAATTTGAAAGAATACTTTCAAAAGAAGAAGAAAAGAAGAAATTCCACTAAATCCGAGAAAACAGGACAAACAAGTAAGAAGCAAGATAAATAATCCAAATGCTAAATCTTTCGTTAGAATTTTATATCTGGAGTGTCGTTTCTTTTGAGATTGTTCCCAAATTTCAGTTCGAATTGAAATTGGCATTTCTTTCATCAAGGCTGTGATAATATTCTGTTTCTTTATTTCTTCAATTTTGAGAGACTGAAAAAATATTCGAATAATTTTTTATTTTTAAAAATTAGACTGACAAAACTATTATTTGTCTTTTATATTAATTATTTTATTTAGATTTATTCATATTTTTATTATTTAAAATAATAATTAATTATTTCCTGTTTTTTTTTTCATTTCAATTTTAAAAATTATTCTAAAAGAACGAGAAATTTAATGTTAAAAAAACAATGTAACAGTTGTTTGTAATTTAAATATTTACCAACCTTGGAAACCCGTGAAGGATAAATTAAAAAACGTTTTTTTTCCAAGTCATTGAAAATTTTTTCTCTAATCTTATTTTTCTCTTCATTTATTGACAATTTAATAATATTTGTCAAATTCTCCTGACAATTTTCATAATATTTATTGTTTAACGAAATTCCAAAATCTGTTCCGCCTCTAAATCTTTCCTCATTGCAAATATGACAATTTTCATCGTCAACTATGCATTTTATAAAATATCATTTAACTTTAAATTAGGAAATTAATTAAAAATATTATTTTGCCATTTCAAATCTCTGAGAATATTAATTTTGATTTTTTACGGAATTGTATTTTAATATTTTTACCTGAATAAAGTTGTTGATTTGTGTTATATTCTCGTTCCCAATCACATAAACAAATTTCGCAAAATTTTTGACAATCATCTTCCGGTTTACAGATGCAACAATAATTTTTTTTATCTTCTTCATTTCCTGTAATTACATCATCGACAGTTGATGGTATCGATGGAGTTTCTATTGACATTTCGGAATGCATTTTTGATAAACTGCATCTATAATTTTTTTATGATAAATTATTTTGTAAAAATGTTCAATTTAATTTAAAATTGAACTATTTCTTTTTTTTTGGAAAATATATTTTATTCACTAACTTGTATATATTATTGATTTCTAAGGATTGTAAACTAGAATCAGAATTAGAAGATGATTGAAAACATCTGCAATTATGTTTTTTCTCCGTAAGAACCACTTCTTTCTGTTTTAATTCGTTGCATTCTTCTCGTTTTTCTTGTATATCTATTTTTAAATCTTGCTCCCAATCAGCGCAGTTACAATTAATACAACTGTCACACTGAAAAATTTTATTTTTAATTAATAAGTAATTCAAATTTCATTCCACATTTATATTTGAACTTACTTTCGCTAATTCTCCACAAGGACATTTATTTTCATTATTTTTATATTCTTCTTTCTAAATTTAAATCAAAATAGAATTTATTTCCATTATTCTGATTTCTAATAAATAAAATAATAAATTTTATTATAATTACTATTGAAAAAAACTTTCTAGGTAATTTAAAATAATTAAATAATAATTTATGAAATTAAAAATAAAATAATTGGAAGAATTATAATTGTACAAAGTTGAACCTATTTTATGTATACCAATCCAGAATTTTCCAAGCAATTAAGTTCTTTTGATAAATCGCCAGCTTCTTGAGACCAAATTTTACGATTATTTTGTATACTTCGTAAACAATTGCATAGTTTTTTACTGTACTCTTCTAAACGAGAAATTTTCTCTATTTCAACGCTTTCTCCTTTTCGATTCCGCGGAGAATTATCGACTTGAGTGAAATCATTATTTTCTTTATCTATCTTATGCATTTCTTCATCATTATTTTGAACATTTGCTTGCGATAAACTTTGCAAATATTCTTTCTCCTTGCATTCCATAATGAAGATCTCATCTCGTAGCTTCTGTTCTTTTACTGCCAATGTTTGGAGAACACAAACATTATCGAATTTTTCTTCGTTTATTATTTTGGAACAACCTTAAAAAAAATTAAATAACAAAATAAATAAAAAATAATATTACAATTTGAAAATTGTTTTGTAAATTAAATTCTATTTTATTTTAAAAACTAAAATTTTAAAGGAAATACTTGTTTGGATAAGTACCAGATACCTTCTTGTTCATTAGTTTTTGGTTCATTTGCATGATTATGAAAATTATTTGTTGAATGTGGAAGCATAGTTTCAAGTGTGTTTAATTTTTCTCTCAAGCTATTGAGGTGACGTTCCATTTCTAAAATTTTATTCTCTCCACGTCTTACACGAGCACTAAAACCTCCTTTACATGAAATTGCATCATGTTTTCTTATTTCCATTTTTTTTTTTCGTTTAATATCGTCAATAATTTAAAACAAGATTAATAACCTTATTTTGTATTCAATTTTTTTTTGAAATTCACATTTCATTCTTCATGTCAATGTTGTCAATTGAATACAAATTCGTCGTTTTAATAAATGTGTGATAATTTCGAAAATTACTTGTGTCCGAAACATTTTTTTAAAATTGACATTACTATATACTTGAAGTTTGTTTTATTTTGTAACTAATTTCAAGACTTACAATAATTATTATTATTCTATTATTAAATTATTATTATTCTATTAATTGCAATTCCGATTAATAGTAAAAATATTATTTATTAAAAATAATTATTAATTAGCAATAATTAAATTATGTTTCAGGGAAAAATTAATTTCTTTAATTTAAAAATAAAATTCTGTCTCGGAAAATGAAAAATTTTTTGAAGTTCAATGATTTTTTTTTTTTAATTAAGAAAGTTGAAGATAATGTTTAATATTTGATCTCCTCTTTGAACTCCATTTGAGAGATGTTTCGGTTAATTTGTCGAATTGGATCGGATAATTAAACGGTCACGATCTGGTGCGACTGGAGTCAATGAAGAGGAGACTGTATACTTCAAGTTTGAAGAAGGAGTTGTAACTCGTAAATATATGGACAAGATATGAGTCAGCCTTTTTAAATGTGACGAGGTGGATATAATAGAGGAGACAGTATATACTCCGCGATGACAAAAGTCACATCGTGTTTTTAAAACTCTGCGGGAGTCGTTATAAGTCGCCTGCACGTGCTGCTTCGTCTCTTGCGACTGTATTTACATCGACACCCACGCCGGCTTGAAAAGTGTACCATAAGAAAAAAAAAAAGCGTTCCTGTTACTTAACTTCAATCAAACTCTGATATACCAGTTTAACACCAAGTCTCATCCAATGCGGATCTTTTATTAAAAACCTCGAAGTTTTTTGTGTTTCATCTCGAAAAATTAAATAGCCACTCCTTTTATTTATTTATTTTTTTAATAAACAATTTTTTCAATTTTTACCAGTAATTTATTTTTGTTCCTCTTCTTTTCTTTCACATATTATAAATAATAAAAATTCTTTCTTTTTTTAAACGATTTCAAATGATGAGACAGTAGTGTAAATAAGTCCTTGAATTTTCTAAAGCAAATGCACGAGCCTCGTATGTCAGTCGTAAAGTTCAGTTAAGAATTTTTTTTCTCATCCGTCTGTCTTGTTTTCAATTACTTTTATAATACTTCATTCAAAGAATTCAAATAAAAATGTCCCGGGTATTGAAATAAAAATTCAGGAAATTATTCAAAAACCAATGGAAATCCGAAAAAAATGTCTTCAATTGCTCCAATTTTTGAAATTTTGTATTCCATTATTGTGAAAAATCTGTGACTGAAAAAAAAATTTTAAATGTTTATAATTAAAGTGAGTGGAAATGTAATAAATATATAAAGACATTGAGACTATTGTAAGTGAAGGAAAAGTGTCATTATATATATATATATATATATAGAAGTGGATTTTGTTGCGGACAAGGTTTACAACACGTACGTCAGCAATTTTTATTCTCTGTCGCGTAAGCACCTTTTATGCCACGCAAATTATGCATCGCGTTATACATATACATATAGTGTCAAGTGTGAGATATTTTTACAATGTTTGTCACAAATTACGGTACAATAAAAAATTTATTAAAATTTTCTTGGAATTATCCATATTGATTTAAAATTATTTTATAAGGATAAATTTTAAATTAAATTTAAAAATAATATAATAATAATAATTAAACTATTAGTTATATAATTATTATTATTCTTACAATATTTTTTTTTTTTGAAAAGAATTTACGTAAGATTAGATTATCCCAGAATGTTTCAATTGTTATCTAATAAATTCCTTGAACTATTATTATTATTATTGTAATGTTATTAAAAATATAATTTAATTATGTTTAAATAAATTTCAAATATATGAAGAAAATAAAAGAAGTTTTGAAGTAATAAATTTGAAATATTATTTTCTGATTCGATTTAGAAAATTTTATAAATTGAAAATTACTTAAAAAATGATAACAAGACAATTAATAGTCAATTACTGACAAGAACTTTGGAAGAAAATTAATGTTTGTAAATTAAATTTTTTTAAGAATGCAGGTTGAGTAATCGTGTTTCTTACTTAATTGGAATAACGGTTTCAAATTGGCCTCGTAATTCAGAACAATTTGAATTCACTGGCAACAATTCAGGAGTAGTTAATTTTCAAAGCTCTGATTGAAAGAATATTAAAAAAAAAATTTTTTTTTAGTCTTTAAACGAAAATTAATAATTTTCAATTCACTAATAATAAATACAATAATTATTATCATTCAATAAATATTAGCAAATAATATTAAAAATAACAGAGAATAATTATTATTTTTCTAACAGTAATAAAAATATTTTTTAACTTAAAGAATTAAATTTTTTTTATCACATCTTGAATGTATGCGCATACCACAAGGCACAACCATAAAACTGTTGGTAACCGCGCAAGTTCATTAAATTTCTCATCATAAAAGATGCTATTTTTATTTTCTATTATAATATTTTCATATAAATAAAAAATTGAAATTATTTAAAACAGTTAATTCGAAATACAAAATTTTAGTTTTTAATTGAAATAAATTTTTATGTCTTTTCAGGGAAACGTAAATTGTAATGGAGAAATTAAAAAAAATTGATAGACAAAAAATAATGACTATAAACCATCATTGTTTTAATAGGACAACTCAACCGAGATTTTGATATTTAATCAAATAACAATAAAGATTTTCAATATACCTTTATCTATTTGATAAGAAAAAAAAGAAAATTTTATAACAATGGGACTGGAAGCAGACTTCACTTGCATTTTGCGCGGTACGTATAATCAAAACTATTATCTTTTAATTGCAACAATTGTAATGATAAAGCTAACCAAATAAGTTCTTATCTAAAAAAAAGTAACTTTTAAATATAAAAGTTGACCCACTTTTATATAAACTATAATATGAAATAAAAGACGTTTGGAAATATTTAAATGATTTCATCAAAAAATTAATATCCAAATAAAATTAAAAAAACAGGCACCTTCAATTTTTTTTGTAGATTTCGTGCAATTTCTTGATGCACTAAATGAAGTGAAATTATCCTCAAGTTTGGAAAATATTCGTGAAAATCTTTTACGACGATCAAAGGCAACACTTCTCAATTTAGCAATTGGTCCACCATCATCGCCGGAACCTTATTTAGATATGAATGCCGGCAAGGGTCTCTTATTAGTGACAAAACAAGAGATTGAACTTCAAGAATACATCAATACCGATCATGATTCAGAGCCAAAAATTAATCAGGATTATTATGAAACTTTCCAGGAAATTAATAATCCAAAATCCGAGCATTTCCAATCGATTGAAGACGATGCGGGCGATTCATTGGAGAATACTTTAACGATAATTTACTCCAGTTTCTCAGCCATTCAAACGAGAATAAATTGTAATAAATGGGGACAACTTTTTAGAAAAAGTGAAAAGAAAATACCATTTATTGATCCTTTACGACCTTGTTGGATTGGTGAGTCTAAAACATAATTAATAATAGATTAGTAAAAAATACATTTTTGAAATAGTTTTCTAATTTAGAATACTAACCTTTTATAAAAAAATGGATTTTTGAAGAACTTTCCTAAAAAATTACAGGTTTATTGGGTTCTTATCTTTTGATTTACGGAAATGAAAAAGACAATCGACCTAATGCAGTCGTTCCTATTCGAGGATACAGAGGACGTCCAGCTCCAAGTGTCGATACTAAACGAAGTGATTCTGCTTTTGAGATTTTTTGTCCTGGCCATAAAACCCTACAGGTTGATTTTCTATTTAATTTCTTTTTTTCTTCTTGATATATTTTTCTTATCAATTAGTCAAATAAATGAATAATAAAATGACTCATTTTAGTTTGTGGCAAAATCACCGGAAGAAATGGAAGAGTGGGTGTCAATCATCTGTGAAACGAGTAGCAGAGAAAATGATAATAAAACACGCCTTCGTGAATCTTCTTTCACTGACATTGCACAAATGGAGCAAAAAGATAGAAAAAATTCAGAATCGTCGATAAAAGATGAAAAATATCAAGACGCAGATTTTAGACCTACGAGAAGTAGAGAAAATTTACTTCGAGTTGATAAAGATACGAATAGTGAAATTCTTTTACGTGAAAAAATAACAAAATTAGCAACTAATGAAGAAGAAGATGATGATGATAATAAAACACCTCCATTACCAGCTAGAATCCCTCGAAGACTTCCTTCGCTTCCTCATGAGGAAGTTATTCCCTCTTTTCAACCTGTTGACGAACCCTACGATGAAGATGATATTTATCATAAAATTGAAGATTTCCGCGATGGTACTGGTTATCAGAATTGTATGGTCGCCAAAAAAGAAGAAGAGAAGAAACAAGAAGAGTTGAAAAAAAATTATCTCGACACTTACGATGATGTTACAAGTGAAATCCAAATTGAAGACGATAAAAAGAGAGAAGAAATCCAGGAAGCCTACGATGATGTCCAATCAGTACCTCAGAAAACATCTTTAGAAAACGAAACTGTCGTCGACTCTCCCGAATCCTATGACGATGTAAAGGTAAAAAAAATTTCAATTACAAAACTTTATTCCAAGTCTTATAATACTTGATTTAATAAAAATTATTTTCAGACAATTGATCCAACACTAAAATCAGAGCCAAAAGAAAAAAAATTATTGGGTACAGCACAAATAAAAGCCTCGAGAAAGTCTTTTCTCGATCGAATGCGTAATCGTAGTTACATTGTAAAGAAGGAAAAAAATAAAAAACGAACCTCATCACCATCATCATCAATTTCATCCGAAGCATTGCCAACCTATGACGATATTGCCGGCATGAATAATCAATCTGAAACAAAATATCCCGATATCACAAATATCGAACAATGTGAATATCTCTCACCACCAATTCCCCGACCAATTTATTCAATTCCACCCTCTTCAGTGACACCCTGTTCTCTCGAACAATTATACGACGATATTGCCGTATGTCAAGATAAATTAACCGAATGTACAAAAACTAATTCAATTGATATGGATATTTCGAAAATAAATTTAGATTTTCGAAAAAAATCATCACCAACGAACGATAATGAACAAACAGAAATGGAATTTGAATATTATCAATCGCCAAAAAGTAATCGTGCTTTACAAGTTGACGATACACTTTATGATGATGTTGCTCTATTAATGAAATTTCGTTCTAAACCACGTGAATCGACTGTTTCGAATTTTGAAAAAGTTTGGAGTCGTTTTAGCAGTGGAAGAAGTAAAAATTCAGTGAATGAACCCGAGGACAGTGGTAATTTATCGCCCAATGGTGAAACAAAAGTAAATAGACTTCAAAAACTCGTTAACAAAATTGAAAATACACTCAGCAAAACATCTATGAAACCATTGCCTTTATCGAATTCCAAATCACAATCTTCGAGTAGTGTAACTTAAAAAAAAATTTCACATTTAAAAAAATTCATCTTAAATATATAGAGCGTTATTTTTCATGAATAAGTAAAAAATGAGCGATAATTTTTGTTAGCGAATAAACAAAAATTTAAACGCTACTTTTTTTTACGTGCCAAAAAAAAGAATGGAGTCAACAATTAGTTGATTGATAGACTGATTACTGCCATTGTTAAAAATAGATGTTTATTATAGTATTCCCTTTTGTAAATTGCAATTAAAAAATTATTATTGATGTTACATATTATCGACGAATTGGAATTTTTGAAAGAGAAGCTAAAACTTTCAAATACATTAAAAATACAATACAATAAATAATAATTCCCATTCGTTGGTAATATATTGCATTTCATCAATATTTAGATTTAGAGAGGCTACAATTTCATTTTTTTTCAAATATAATTTTAAGTCCTTCTCTATTCTGTGATTAAAAGAATAAAAATAATCTTATTGTAAAAATAGTTTCCTTTTTTTTTTGTTTTAGTAAAAAATACTCGACTCATTCGGCGAATTCGTTAATCTTAAAAAAAAAGAATTTCAAAGTAATTATTTATTATTAATTAAATTACTAATTAATAAATAATTACTACAAACCATTTTCTTTTTTCAAGATTCATATTACCACTCAGTGGCATAGAAAAAATTTACTTCTTTCATTAACGAAAGAAATATTTCAAACTTGCTCTTACATGCAAAAGTTCTCGTCTGAGTTTGAATATTTCAAGTAGTTATTTTAGTAGTAAAATAGATTTTTATAACACTGCACTGATTTAAGAAAAAAAAGAAAAAGAAAACCTGGCATTTTTCCAATTTTCTCACAATGATTTCTTGAGGTTATTTATCCGAAAGGAAGTATTGCTTGTAATAATCTTGTACAATTACTCGCAATTTATTGCTCCACACAGTAGTGTCGTTGATGAATTTTTCCATCGTTTTCTTTCCAATTTGTTGATAGTGACTTATTGGTAAACCAGTTTCCGTTTCTAAATATCTTATTGTCTCCTGTGTGCGTTGATTGTCAAAAACGGGGAAAACAACGGTGCCTAGAACTATAAGAAGACAGAAGAAAATTGTCCAGAGAAATAAAAATAATAATGATCTACAGAGTGTACTGCATATCCCACCTGTAATTATAATATTAAATTATAATAAAATTTTAGAACAAAAAAATTTCCAAAATAAAAACTTACCGCCTTTTGTATTTTTTGATTTTCGTTTTTGAGATTCGTTTACACTGAAATATTTCCCATCATTTTGATCAGTTTCATCAATTTTTTCACCAAAGGATTGTGATTTTATATTTTCCTTTGCTTTTATTTTTTCAGCATTCTTCTTCTTTTTCTTTCCTTCTTTCTTTGGCGCGACAGTTTTTTCTGCTTCTAAAAAAAGTATAAATTGAAAATGAATTATTTCACAGTAATTTGATAAAAAAAAAAAAAAAAAAACTATAATTAAAATTGAAAAATAACCAGAAATTGCATTTATTCTTCGTTGTTTTTCCTCTTCAATAGTGAGTTGTACGTTTGATAAATATGTGACAATTTTACGAGCACAAGCTTGACATTCGTTAGCATTACTACAAGGACCAGCAACACTTGCAACTGCAGGAGTTAAAGGATTTTCCTTCAAATCAAGCCACTTGAGATTCTTTAAATTTCCAAGACTCAAAGGTAATCTGCTTATCTGTAAATAATTATGATTTTTAATTACAGAATTTTAATTTTAATTTTCATGTATTTACCTTATTGCCGTATAAATCAAGATGTTTTAATTGAATCATTTCTCCAAAATTTTCTGGAATTTCCGTTAACATATTTTTACTGAGATCCAATTTTATTACTTGCGTTAGGGTAACGAATGTCCTCTAAAAAAAAATCGTCAAAATTAATAAATAAATAATGGAAATTGTAAATAAGTAAATTAAATTCTTACCGGTAGTGAAATTAAGGCATTATTTGATAAATCCAAATGTTTTGCTCTTCTAATTGCAGCCTAAATAAAATAAACAATAATTTAATAAAAAAATAAACAATAATTTAATAAAAAAAAAATATTATTTAATTAAAAATATAAAATACTTACAATTTCTTTAACCGGAACTTCTTCTATATCACACAAACTGAGATCTAGAGTTTCATCCTGAAGTTTATCCTTTACATTTATTTTTGTCATTTTTCTATAGAAAAGCAATATAAATGATATATTTTACTCATTTGTAAATAATTTAAAAATTTAAAATTAAGTTAATTAATAAATGTAGAAAAGATAGAAATAGTAATCATTAAAATACATTAAATACTTTTTTTATAATAAAATATGGAAAGAAAATTACCTGCTTTTTGATTTTTCTTAATTCTTCAGTACTAAATTATTTTACACACAATCAATTAATGATAATTTTTTATTGATAACTTTTGCACTAAAAAGAGTTAGCGTGGAAATATTTTAATCCACGTATATTTTTACGGCTTGTCTTCATGAAAAAAAAATAACAGGTTGTTGTAAACGTTGACAACAAATAAAAATATATAGGTTAGAATCAACACAACAAGTTAGCTCCGTGAAGTTGGTATTCCTTGTTTTGTTGGCACAATTGGCGTATCAAACTTCACGGAGCTAAGAAGTAAGAATAATAACAAATAAAAATAAGAAAAATGAGATTTATAAGACCGAAACTAATTACATTTGATATAACAGGTACTTTATTAAAAACAGATGTGAAAAAACATTATGTAGAGGTTGGACTCGAACATGGGATTATTGTTGATCCTGTGAAACTGTCAAAAAGTTTTAATATCAATTTTAAAAAGATTTCAAATGATCATCCAATTTTTGGCAAACATACAGGTTTAGGATCAGAAAATTGGTGGAGGTCTGTTGTTTATGCTGTATTTAAAGAGCAGGATTCTAATATTTCAGAGGAAAAGTTAACAAAGGTATAAAGAGGATTTTGTATATTATTTTTTCTTTTAATAAATCTTTTCTTTTGTTTTTAGGTTGCAACATCATTGATAGAACGTTATCGGAGTAAAATTTGTTGGGAACCTGTTGCCGGAACAATTGAATTACTCGAATTTCTTAGAAAACAAAATACATTACTTGGAATAATATCAAATTTTGACGAAGGATTGGAATCAATTCTTGATTCATTAGATATTAAACAATTTTTTTCATTTGTTTTATGTAGTTATAAATTTGGAATTGAAAAACCAAATCCAGAAATTTTTAATGAAGCATTGAGAATTTTTAAAGAAATAAAAAAAATTAATATTCATCCCGAAGAAGCATTACACGTTGGTGACAATGTTGATCGTGATTATAGAGGTGCAAAAAATGTCAAGTGGAATGCTTTTTTAATAAAACAAAATGATAAATCTGATCTTCTAATTGAAAAAAATGATGTTTTTAGTAATCTAGAAGAATTGAGGAGGTATTTTATAAATAAATACAATTAAATAATTTTAAATTGTTTTAAATACAAATACAAGACCGTATATGAATTATTCTAGTGTACCTTTCTTTTTAGATATATAATATAACCTCTCTGAGATTTTTTATTTTAACATCTCTCAGTCGTCTTACATCTGTTGTAAAAGTCATATAAATCTAAAGCGCAAGCGCGGTTATGGAGCCCGACGGATGCTAGTGATCCTATAGTGTGATAAATTCAACGAGAGAAAGAGATGCCAGTTTTCTCAGTCAAATAGAAGCTGTTTGAAGCAGTTTGAAGCTTCATGTGCTTCAGGGGAGTCTGACTGTACATTTTTTTTTTTTTTGTTTTGTTGTGATAAATTTACATTACATCAGTGTGTTAAATGTGTAATTTTATTGTGAATTTGATTTAGTTTCAATTTTGACTGTGAGGTAAAATATTTAATTTAATTTTATTGAAAATTATTTTCAACAAATTTTAAAACTGTATTTAACATTTATTATATACATATATATATATATATTCTTACAGGGCGCCGATGGATCAACATTGAGGAGAAAATGTCTGGAAATCTCTTTTTTCTCTATGCGATTCTCCTAATTGGAGTTTTCGCTGATCCGGACCCAACAGATGAACAATTTCACAGAATACCAAAAAATAGAGATGAGGATAAATGTTACGATAATTCGGGAAGAGCACAGGTCAGTGAAATTGAAAAAAAAAAGTTACGAATACATTTTTTTAGAGAAGAAACGAATAATTTTAAGTAAAAGAAACCTTTTTTTTAAAAATTAATTAGAAGTTGGGAATTTTTTCCTATTTAAAAAAAATACTTAACAAAAAATTCTATTATTTAAATTCGTTTATTTAAAAAAATTTTTTAAACATAATATCGAGGTTGTTGGCTTAAATTTACACTCGTGCAGGAAATTCTATATGATAGTATATAAAGAGCTTCCTTATAATACAGAAAAAAAAAAGATTAAGCATTTATATATAAAGATTGTGTTCACATAGAGATTCTTATATTTTACTTTATAACTCCAAAAAGCATATGTGTAAAATAAAAGGGGGATTTTCGTTGACATTCTACATTTTGGATAAAGTTCTGGGTTATCATTGAGTTCGAAGTCACTTGAACTTGATGAGAGATAAGGTCTTGACTGTTCCAAATTCTCAAGGGAGAAATATATTTGATATTTCTAATTCATAAAAAAAAAAGTTATATTTAACTGATTATAATATATTTGTTACGTTTTTGTTTTTTTAAAATTATTTTCCTAAAACAAATGTAAAATAAGTGTTTTATAATTTTTTTCAAAAATATTGTTTCTAAATTAATTAAAATTTTCTTATATAAAAATTAGATTATATTTAAAATAATTATTGTTATTCAGAGGTTTTTTTTTTTAAATTTCTTTTTCTTTTCAGAGGTGTATACCACCGTTTGAAAATGCTGCATTCAGTGTTGTAATGGAGGCAACAAATACATGCGGTGAAGAAGGACCCACTGAATATTGTATGCAAACGCACAATGATAATCAAAATAATGAGAAATCTTGTGAAATTTGTAAACAAAAAGATCATTCTGCAATATTTCTTACTGATCATGACAATAATGATAATGCAACATGGTGGCAGTCAACTACAATGTTAGATGGAATTCAATTTCCAAATCAAGTTAATCTTACACTTCGTCTTGGTAAATAATTTTTAATTTACTATTTATTTTAAATTGATTAATTTCATATTATTTAGTTAAGTAGTCATTAATTATTAATTAAAATAGTTGAATTAGTTAATTAATAGAAATAGTATAATAATATTTAATTATTATTATTATATTTCAAGATCAAAAACGCTTTACATTTATTGTTGATTGTCCCTGGAAAGGGTAGGCGGATGAACCTTTGACTTCCCCTATTCCATTTACACTCTATCGGAATGTATATGTGACTTGATAAATTCCATCCTGTTTATTGGTCACACACGCTAAAGAATTTACTGATTCTCGTCATTTGTATATCAGTATTATACACCCACGTGGTTTTCATAATTATACAATCAGAAAGGGTCTAATCTTTCATGAAAAAAGATTTTTTTTTTCTTGCCTATTGATAGAATGCTTAATTCTCCCAGCAATAAGCATAAATTTATTTATTATTATATATTATTAATTATTAACTATTAATTGATAATTTTATTTATTAAAAATTATATTGATTTTCTATTTGCAAAAATTTAAATAATTTCTAATTTACATGAAAAATGTTAAGTATTTAGAAATAATTTTTAGTTATGAAATAGACGCTTCTTTATTTTTCCCGGAAATGAACCATATGTCCTTTCTTTACATAGAAGCATTCGGCCATGTGTTCAAAATTCTCCCAAGGCTTAGGAATATTAAACTGTTAATTATGGAAAATTGGGAAAAAATGTTTATATTTTAATTTATTATTATATTATATTTAAATTATTGCATTAATTATAATTATGTTAATAAATGATTTTTTACAAGTTATAATTATTTTTAATAAAAAACTTAATGTAATTTAATTTTCTAATTTTTTTTTTTAGGAAAAACATTTGATATCACATATGTGAGAGTATTGTTTGAGTCTCCTAGGCCAGAAAGTTGGGGAATTTATAAGAGAAGAAATGAAAAATCTCTTTGGGAACCATATCAATTTTACTCGGCAACGTGTCGTGATACTTATGGTTTGCCTGAGTCTAAGGACACAACACGTGGTGATGATACTAGAGTACTTTGTACATCTGAATATTCTGACATTTCTCCTTTATCTAAAGGAACTGTGGCATTTTCCACCCTTGAAGGACGTCCATCTGCTTATTATTTTGAAACTAACACCGAATTACAGGTTTATTATTATTTTATTATGAATTTTAAATTACAAATAATTAATTTAAATAATTACAATTTATAACAATAATGAATTGAATTTTAAATTAATTAAAAAATTTGTATCTGATTTCTTTAGGAATGGGTCCAAGCAACAGACTTGAGAATAACATTGGATAGATTAAATACATTTGGAGATGAAGTTTTTGGCGATGATCAAGTATTGAAATCGTATTACTATGCAATTGCTGACGTTGCTGTGGGAGCACGTTGTGCTTGCAATGGACACGCGGGTGAATGTGTCAACAGTACAAGCGTCGATGGAAGAACAAGAAGAGTTTGTCGGTTAGATATTAGATAATTTTTTTTTTATTTGATTTTCTTAGAAAAAAGAGAATACACAGAAATTGTGTTAAAAAACTTTACAACTGAAAGAAAGAATCATAATTTTTGAACGTCTTTGTGAGAATTTTTTTCTTAAAATAAATTTTTTTTTTTTTTTGTAGCTGTGAACATTTTACAACTGGTCCAGACTGTAATGAGTGCCTTCCGTTTTATAATGATGCACCTTGGGGACGTGCAACAACTTTAGATGCCCATGAATGTAAACGTGAGTAAAAATTCAAATAATTGATAAATAATAATTAATACCTTTTTAATTGATTTTCTTGAACCATTATTTACAAATAAATATCGTTTTTTGCAATTTGGGTGCTTAAAAAAATTAAAATCATCTTCAATGATTAATAATTTATTATTTTTTTTTTATAGCTTGCAATTGTAATGGTTATTCGGATCGATGTTATTTTGATAAGGAATTATATAAATTAACTGGACATGGAGGTCATTGTTTGGATTGTCAATCGAATCGAGCGGGTGCCAATTGTGAAAGATGTCGTGAAAATTTTTATCAACGCGCTGAAGATAATTATTGTGTTTCTTGTAATTGTGATGAAACAGGTAATTTAGATTTTGTTTTTAAATTGAAATTATTTTAAAATTAAATTAATAATGTTTTAACAACTATTAAATTTTCTTTTTCTCGTAGGTTCAAGAAGTTTACAGTGTAATAGTGAAGGCAAATGTCAATGTAAACCCGGTGTAACGGGTGATAAATGTGACAGATGTATGGCAAATTTCTATAATTTTGGCTCCTATGGATGCGCTTCTTGTGAATGCTTTGATGCAGGATCTTTTAAAAATCAGCCCAATTGTGATGCCGTTAGTGGTACTTGTCGATGCAAGGACAATGTTGAAGGAAAAAGATGTCGAACGTTAGTATCAAATATTATCTACAAATTACGAAACCGTATTATTTATTAATTTGCTATTTATTATTTTTAATAGATGTCGACCTGGATTTTTCAATTTGGCATTGGAAAACGAATTTGGATGCACCCCCTGTTTTTGTTATGGTCATTCAGTGCTTTGTAATCCAGCAACAGGTTATTCAAAGACAGCAATTGAAAGTAATTTTGTGAGGGGAAATGAACGTTGGACAGCTTCAGTTGCAACTGGAACTCCAATTCCATTGAATTATGATGCGCTTACACAAACAATTGCTGTCAATGCACCTGATAGAGATAATGTTTACTTCCTTGCACCAGGTTAATATATAATTATTTTTTAATCTCTTAAAATTATTATCATTAAACTAATTATTATTTGAAAAAATTTTCTTTTACAAATATTTAGAAAGATTTCTTGGCGATCAAAGAGCATCGTATAATCAAGATTTTAGTTTCACGTTAAGAATCGGTGAAACTGGTCCAGCACCAACAGCTCGCGATATTGTTATTGAAAGTGGAAATGGTGAACAAATTACACAACCTATTTTTGGACAAGATAATCGTCTACCAACAATTACGGTAATTTATCAAGATTTATTATATATAAATTTATAATAAATATAAATTAGATATTATTAGATATATAAATTTTGTAATTAATTTTTCTTCACAGGCACAAGAATATATATTCAAATTACACGAGCATCCTGACTATGGATGGCAACCAAGACTTAATTCGAGAAATTTCATTTCTATTCTTTCAAATTTAACAAGTATCAAAATTCGTGGCACATATACTCATCAAGGTGAAGAAAAAAAAATATATATATAATTTTCTATTTAAATCGAAACATTTTTTTGCTAAAAATTGTGTATTTTGAATAGGTAGAGGATTTTTGGATGATGTGAAATTGGAAACGGCACATCGTGGAGCTGCAGGAGAGCCGGCCGATTGGATTGAACATTGTCAATGTCCAACGGGATATGTTGGACAATTTTGTGAATCTTGTGCTCCAGGTTATCATCACGATCCACCAAATGGAGGACCTTTCGCTCTTTGTGTTCCTTGTAATTGTAATGGACATGCCGACATTTGTGAAACAGAAACAGGTGAAACAAGAAAAATTAAAATAAAAAATTATTATAAACTATTCTAAAATAAATAATAATAATTAATGAAATTTTCAGGTCAATGTATTTGTCAAGACAACACAGCGGGAAGTAATTGTGAATTATGTGCTCGTGGATATTATGGACATCCTTTAAAGGGAACACCTTATGATTGTAAACCATGTCCGTGTCCTGATAATGGACCTTGTATTCTTTTGGGTAATAATCCGGAACCAATTTGCTCGGAATGTCCTCTTGGAAGAACAGGTAATTAATATTAAATAGGAAAAAATTCCTAATGTCGCGTCATAAAATTAATTAATTAACAAAGCAAATTTCCTTTCCAGGACCACGTTGTGAAACTTGTTCAGATGGATTCTTTGGAAATCCAGAAAAAGGACAAGCTTGTCGTCCATGTGAATGTAATAATAATATTGATTTAAATGCCGTTCGTAATTGTAATCATGAAAGTGGCGAGTGTCTTAAATGTGTAAATAATACAGCTGGTTTTCATTGTGACGAATGTCTGAAAGGTAATTTTTTTTTATTAAAAATTAGAATCGTTAAATAACGAAAAAAAAAATTACGAATTTATTTTTTTCAGGATATTATGGAGATGCCTTGTCCAATAAAAAAGAAGATAGCTGTAAATTATGTCAGTGTTTCGCTCCTGGATCATTGGAACTTGACGATGGAAGTGTGGCACCTTGTGATCAATTGAGCGGTCATTGTTCTTGTAAACCTCATGTAATTGGTCGTAATTGCGATAAATGTGAAGATGGATATTATCATATTATTAGCGGCGAGGTAAGAAATTAATTATTAAAATTTAACCTTATTTTTAAATAAAAAAAATAACAATTTAATTTTTCTTCTTTAAGGGCTGCACAGCTTGTAACTGTGATTCAGAAGGATCTTATAATCGTACATGTGATGCAATGACCGGTCAATGTCACTGTCGACCAGGAATTACTGGTTTAAGATGTGATGCATGTATTTCTTATCAATATGGATTTAGTCGAGAAGGTTGCAAGACATGCGATTGTGATGTTATTGGCTCACAGGATCTTCAGTGCGATGCTGCTGGACAATGTCCTGTAAGTACTGTAAACAATTAAAATTAAATTAATAATTTAAAAAAAATGATATTAATATTCTTGTTTTGATACAGTGTCTTCCAAATGTTGAGGGACGTCGTTGTGATCGTTGTAAAGAAAATAAATATAACCGCCAGTATGGTTGCATCGATTGTCCTCCTTGTTATAATCTCGTAGAGAATGCCGTTAATTCCCATAGAAGACGTCTTGGTGATTTAGAAGAAACTTTAAAGAAAATCAATAGCAGTCCAACAGTTATAAAAGATTCGGATTTTGAAAAAGAACTAAAAAATGTTCAAGATAGAATAAAGACGCTTGTATCACTTGCAAAACAAGGATCTGGAAGTTAGTATTAATTTTATTATTAGAAAAAACAATTTTTTTGAAAATTGTAAATAATTAATTTATTCATAGGTGAGAAAAAAACTTTGGTCGAGCAATTGGACGATATAAGAGATGAACTAAATGAAATTGAAGAAATTTCCCAAAATGTTGATCAAACTGCAATGAATGCTCAAAAAATTACAATGCAGGGACAAATGAGTATTGATGAAGCTGAAAAAGTACTTGATAAAATTCACGAACAATTGAATGTAAGTTCATTTATAAATTGTAAAATAATTTTAAAAATTTTTCTTCATTGTAAAATGTTTTAATACAATTTAAGGAAGAAGAGGATTATTTGAATGTTGATGGACAATCGGCATTGAAAGATGCTAGAAAACGAGCAGAACAAGTTGGTCAACAAAATCAAGAAATGACAAATATAGCTAAAGAAGCACGAAGTTTGGCAGATGTGTAAATATTAAATTTTAGCATTTATAATTAAAATTCAAATTCAAATTAATAACTAATAATAAATTCATTTTTTTCTAGACATGTGAATGAAGCAAAAAAAATACACGAACTTGCCGAACTCGCTCGTAATAATTCAATGGAAGCTTATAATTTAGCTAAAAAGGCAATAACAATGAACTCGAATATCAGGTAATTTTCTTTTTCTACTTTGTATATAAATATTAAATTAAATATTAAAATAATGATAATTTATTTTTCAATTTAGTGATGAGATTAAAAATCTCGATCATCAACTTGGTGTATTGGGAGATCGTTTCAGTGAAGTTTTAAATTTAACTGTAACGACACTTATGAAAGCAAGTAACGTTTCTGATGAAGCACTTGGTTTATTTATTCAAGACATTACTATTCCAACAGTAAATGTTGTTGAATTACAAAATCAAGTTGATTCTATAAATAATGAGGTAAGAAAAAAAGAATTTGAAATAATTTTATACTATTATTAAAAATTAATAATTTTGTTATATTAATTTTAAGGGTCAAAGGCTCAAGGAAACGGCGCAATTGCTTTTAGAGGATAATGAACATATTCTTAAAGAGACGGAAGAAAAAATAAAGGACGGCGAAAAATTACTTGAAAGAGCACAAGAACAACAAATAGTAACAGCTGAATTATTATCCGATGTCGATGGAGCTAATGCCAAGGCCGAAGAAGCTGTTAATCGTGGTGCTCTTACTTTGAAAGAAGCACAAGAAACTTTCAAAAAATTAAGTGGTAATTATTTTAATATTATTTTAAAAAAACATATAATTTTGGATATTTATTCAATGTTTCTGTTAAAAAGAATTTGACGCTGAAGTTCAACGAGTTCGAGTTAAAGCTGATGAGGCCCTTAAAAATATTGATAATACCGAAGAATTAGTACAAAGTGCAATAAATAAAGCAAATGAGGCTCAAAATGCATTGAAAGACTCTGAGAAAAATGCCCTTGGTGCACGAAATTTTGCAAAAAATGCTCAGGTGAAAAAAAATAAAATAATTTTCATTAATATATAATTAACGAGAAAAATAATTTGATTAATTATTCACAGACGGATGCAGAAAAAGCCAGTGGTAATGCAAATAACATTAGAATAGAGGCAAATAAAACAAAAATGGAAGCCATTCGATTGGGAAGTGAAGCTGAGAAATTACATACTAGAGTTGATATTACTGAATCATTGATTAAACAATATGAAAATCAAGTCGAGAAAGATGTGAACGCTACAAATGAAGTAATAAATTAATTAAACTGATTAACGAATTAATATAATCGAACTTATTATAATTTTCTCTCTTTTTTTTTAGGCAAATTATAAAGTTGGTCAAGCTAAAACAAATACATCTCTTGCTTCTCATCAAGTACAAAAAGCCCTTGATGATGTCACTGCAATTGTTAAAGAATTGGAAGCATTGCCTGAAATAAGTAAGAAATTGTTAATATTTATTTACTTTTTGAACGAATTTATTAAAAAAAATTCTAATTTTCAGATAACGAGGATTTGAATCTCTTGGAAAAACGTCTAATTGCAGCACAAGATGAAATAGAAGCTGCAAATTTAGATAAAAGAATACGTACATTAACAGACGCAAAAAATCTTCAAACACAATGGGTAAAAAATTATGAAGATGAAGTTAATCGTCTTAAATTAGAAGTAGAAAATATAGACGATATTAAAAAAGCATTACCTACTGATTGCTATAAACGTGTACGATTAGAGCCTTAGATATATGCCAAAGACTTTAAATAATTTTTTTTTTATTTTGAAAAATATTTTTCATCCAAACTAACGTGTCTTTTTTTATATAGAAATATATATATATATAGTTTTAATTTTAATAATATTTAAGCGAGAAGCCTTTCTACTTAATTTCGAATTAACAAAAAATTTATAATCAAATTATTTTATAAGCACATATACAATTTTGTAAGTTTAAAAAAAAAGTTTTTTATATAAAAAAAAAAAAATCTGTAACAATTACAGAAATAAAAATATAAATCTTATTTTGTATATTGAATTGAAAAATTGGTCGCGAGCAACAAAAACAGTTTTATATCATATATATATTTTTTTTTATTATTAAATATCAATTAAAATTTTTAACGACAATGAGGAGAAAATAAAATAAACTTAATATTATTTAACATTTACAATTATAAAACGATGAAAAACAATCATTTTTCTATAATAACGGAAAAAAGTCATTTACTTAATTATAAATAAAACAATTAGAACTATTAATATGGCAGTCAAGACTCCAATTGCTACCCATTGTCTGCGATCTAAAACAAACATAAAGTAAAAATCATATTTGCTACTTGTTCAAATGTAAATATATCTATTAGAATTTTTTTTTTATCATTTTATGGGTTTTTTTTTATTACTAATTGTACAATGTTTTTGAAATAACATTTGTAACTTTATTTAGAATTCCTAATGATAACACATTATACATTTTGGTTTTTTTTTCTGATAAAATTTAAAATTAAACTGTGAAACATATTTTAAAAGACAACAACGTTGATAATAATTTAAATTAATATATCTAAATACGTACAAGTAAAATTTGTCCAACTCCATATTTGCAGTAATTACGTTTAACAAATGAGAAATTAATTACAAAAATTGTTTAGAAAATAAATTGATAATTTTGTTTTTTTTTTCTATGGTAACAGAAAAATGAGACTAAATTTTTTTTTTTTGGCACATTTTTATAAGCAATTTCTATTAACACATTCAACATTTTGTATTCTACTCCTACTATTTCTATTTATATAATATGAGAAGACAATATTTACTATTTTAAATTAGCGCACTTTTTTTTTCTTTGTTCAGTTCATCAAAATATTTACTATTTTTTGTGTTTGTAAAAATTAAGTAAATCTTTAATAGTTCGAGTATTTTTTAGAAACTTCAAATTTTTTTTGGTATTAAACTGATTAAATTCTTTTTAAATTAAAATGAAAATAAAAATTAGTTTTTAATTTTAATCTGATTTTATAAACTCGTAATGTAATTTTTTGTGAAACTATTTTCGATTTATGTTTATATTTTGTTTGATTTTGTTTTTTTTTTAAAACTGTGTGTGCGAAGAAAAGAGATACATCCTATATATCTATTGTTCACTAGTAGAAAAAAATTATGCCTTTGTCCGCTAATGGAAATGGCTTTTTGTCAATTTATTTACCCATGAAAAAAAATTTTTATTTTCCCTGTGCCACATTCTACGTAGATATTACGGAAAATATTTTTTTTTTGTAAAATATTTTTAAATTCTTTTGACAAATTAGGTAATTTTAAAGAAAAATTAGAAAATGTTTTTTTTGGATTAGATCATAAGTTATGGCCCTTTTAAATTATTATAATTTTCCTTATTTTGCTAAATTTAGCGTTTATATATTTCAATTTTTGTTTTGAAATATTTTTTTTATATGAAAATAAATTATTCTTTAGAACAAAGAAAACAATTGGTAATAGTGGTTGACAAAGAATAAAAGGAAGATGATGATTTAGGTGTATAATAAGTATCATGAAACGATGAAGTAGAAGGAGCAGGAATGTAATTATTATAGTTACCATTACTCATATGGAGGACTTTTGACATTTTTTTCATAGTTGCATCTAATTTAGAGTCCGTTACTTCTAATTCATTTCCAAAATCGTCCAACATTCTGTAATTTATTTTAATTTTTTTAAATATTGTGGAAAAATAATGAAAAAAGATTTTTTATTAGGTTTTAGTAAATAAATTTTATACTTACACTGTTTGTTCATCTAATTCCGTATTAATTTGCCTTGATACAGTCTTAAGAGTATCGATGCTGTCTCCTATCATATCAAGTTGTTCATCTTGTTGGCGCAACATGATATGTTGTTGATGCATCGTTGTATCTAAAAATTGTCGATTAGGACTGTCCATTTCATTTTCTAATTTACTATATTTTGTTGTATTATGTGAAACTGGCACTCTAGCAGGACTATTATTATCTAAAAGTGGCTTTAAAAAAAAACAAAATACATAAAATTAATATATTATTAATTAACGAAGGTAAAATAGAATTTAAAAAAAAAATACCTGTCTAGCAGTACGATCTCGATCTCGGCCTCTACTTAAATTCATCTTATCTTTCATAATCTGAAAATTTTATTGAATATTGTATGGTTTTTTTTTTAATAATAGAAGTTTTTATATCTCAAAAAAAATTTACCTTAACTTCGTCACGAGTTTCTTCAATAAAACGTCGTCGAATTGCTAATTCCTTGTTATCAATTTTAAATTTAGATGGATTCTTTTCGACGATACGTATTGAGGTCATTAAGGAGGAATTTGTTCATATATTTTATAATATTGATTTTCTATTTTGATAAATACGTTAAACGTTACTATATTTTTAGTACAAAAAATATATTTACTTTAACATTAAACAAATGCATGCAAAAATTAAATAAAAACTGACAACTACTTATAAATATAAAAAGGATATAAATTGTATCTTCAAGATCTTCTAAATCCCATTCAATGGACCGTAAAGCGTTTCTTAATTCAGTTGTAGTCCACTCTAATTCTTCCTGCGATACTGGATGTCGCGAACTTATTGTCGGTGTGATACTAACAACATTTTGTAGTTCTATCCATCGACTGTAAAGACTTCTTGTCTTATTTAAAGCTTTATTCACCTCGCTAAAGTTAAAATTTTAAAAATTATATTCGAATACACTAAAATATTAATTCCATAGTGTAAAGTTATGTAAGAATTATTATTTTTTTTCTGTCATAGCTATATAAAAATAATTATTATTCATACACTTACTCTTTGACGACAAAAAAAGGGTCTTCAAGCGTCATTCCCTCCTTGAATTTTATACCACCTCACGGCTGCATTGAGATTTTTAGTTTGCGATTTGCCGATCATCGGTGAAAAATAAGTCAGTTTATTCACTTAACACACTGTTGGATATTTTCTTTTATTTAAACATTCTTTATTTCTTACTTTCTCTACAATCCTTTTACTGTCAGTGTCAATTAAACTTCTTTGTTCATATTCACGTTTGCGCGGAAACGAGAAACAATATTGATTTCTATTTATTCACAAATAAGTTATTTTTTTTTCGTAGTAATAATTGGGATAAAATAATTCCTTTTCTTTAAACTGTCACTATATATGTATTATTGATAATGTTTCATTAGTATATTTAAACAATTTATTGTTTAAACATATTTTTAATTTATTGCAAAAAGAAAATAATATTTACTTATGCAAAGTTGGATCAGGGTTGGGTAGTTCGTTTAACTTTGGAGTACACTGTAAAGTGCTGTAAATACTGTAAATTTCGCTTTTTACTATAGAGGGACGTCCGAAATGTGACATATTTTTATTGTAAATAGACCTTAATCACAGAATGGAAAACAGCGCCTCTGTAGTGAAAGCAGGAAAACAATCTTGAATTATTAGGAGAGTGGAACGTGAAAAAAGGGTGCGTTCCTATATAACATATACTCAGGTACCCTATATACCTGTTAGATTTTTTTTTAAGTAAAAAGAAGTGATTTATTGTGCTACAAGACGAGTTAAAATTCTATTCGCATATTGCAATTAATCGAATTATTTTACTATGATCCAACATCATAGATTCTCTAAATGCAATACAGTACAATAAAATACAATATCTTGTGAAAACGTGCGTCGATGAAGGAAAATATGTGTTGTTTATTTTCAATTTTATTCACACGGACTTGTGAAAGATAAAATTGTTTAACTATATACATATATATCAAGGGACAAAAAATTTGTGTAATAATTATTTTTATTGAAACTATTTGTGTCTTTTGGATGAAAATTTATTGTTGATGTAAAAAAATAATGACAGATGTATTGCTTGGATTAGTTTCTAACGGATTTTACAACTCTGAAACTAGTATTAATAAAGATGTGTTCAAAACCAACAGTAAATGCATCTATTCTGAAATGAGGCATTCAAAAAGTGAGGATCTTTTTAATCCAATGTCCAGGCCACCAACACCTGTGACTGCTGTTTCTGAGGAACTTATTGCTTGTACACCTTGCACATTATTAACAGAAACAACTGGATCAAATAAAATCGATCCCGTTGATTCAATTCGTGATATTGTGTCTGAAAATGATCTTTACAGGTAAGAAATAATTTTTGTTTAAATTTTTTGTAAATAAAAAATTACTATTTTTTATTTATTAATTAAGCTTCAGCCTTTCGGCCCAAAAGTGGACTTGGTTTAATACAAAATTAAAAATAATAAAAAATTACTAAATTATATTTATTTTCAGATTTGTACTATTTAAACGGCATTATGATAAATATGTAGCATTGTCAACAAAATATGAAGAGGAAAAAGGAATGGTTTATTATTTAGAAGAGCGTTACATAGAATTGAAGGTGAGTTTTTTTTTTTTTTTTTTTTGAAAGTAAGTATTAAATTGATATTGATTTATTTTGTAGGCTGAGCGTGATAAATTGGAACAAACAAGTTGGATGTTGGAGAAAAAATTGGAAGGATGTGAATTAGAGCTTCGTGAAAAGGAAGAGGAACTTTTTCTTCAATTGGAAAGGAGTTTACGTCTTGAGGATGAGATTGAAAGAGTTAAAATAGATCGAGACACTTGTAAATCAGAATATGATCAATTGGAACGTGATCAAGCTGGTGTATTGAGACAACTTCAGTTACACACTGCTCAGAATGAAATTACAAGACGATCATTGGAACGTGCAAGACAGGAAGTGATTAAACAGGCAACAATTATTCGCGAAGAACGTGATGCATTGGAACAAGAGGTATTTTCCTCAATTATTTGTAAAAATTCAATTTTTCTTATATTATAAATAAATTTCAGAATGAGGTACTAAAGGAAAAATTGAGATTGGAACAAAATGAACTTGGTGCTGAACGTCTTAGGCGAGAAGAAGGAATTGCTGCTCTAACTCAGGAAGCTGTGACATTACGTCATACAGCAAGGCATATGAGAGCTGCGGCTTTGCATGCAACGGCTTGTCGAAGTCGAAGAAGGTGTTCTGTTTGCATTTACGCTAAACGTACATTTGCCGAAGTTGATGACTTTCGAAATGAGTGAGTATTTTGAAAAAAAATCCCTTTTTCCCTTCTTACCATGACCTCTATATATTTTAGTGGGAAACTGTTTAAATGTCTTCAAGCACCATTTCAAGATTTACGAAGTTGGTTATTACCAAGTGTACAAGCAGTTTTACCTCCATTGAGAACAAGTTCCGCATTAGATTGTGAAATAGGTTATATCGATGAATCTAGCAGTAGTTCAGAAGATGAATACTCCAGTGCACCAGTTGCTGAAGTATCCTTATCTTCTGGAAATTCTAATGCGCCACCAACATGTAGGGCTTTTTCCTCAGATTCAGGGTAATCATCATTTTTTGGCGGCGCATAAATAATAATTATTTATTTGGATTACAAATTTTTTTTTTATTATTTATTTTTTAGATTCTCATCGGAAATTGGAGATCGAAGATCACGTTCCTATGAATGTGGTAGTAGCCATAAAAGTGAATCATGCAACAGTGAAAATACACAACGACAACCAGGCCTTCAACGCTCAAAATGGACATCGTCGATTCGTAAACTTCTTAATCGTAAATCGAAAACTAAAACTACTGTAAGTCAATCATAATATGATTTCTTTAAAATTTTGCAAAATCATTGCTTCCATTCAACTAATTTTAATTATTTCATTTGGTCTAATTTTTTGAGAAGAAAAACATTTTTTTGGAGTATTTAAGAAAAATTTATTTTTTATAAATTTACATATTAATTTTCAGTCTTCGTTATGTGTAATATTTATTTAAAGTAGAAAAAATGTTAAATCGTAGAAATTATAAGTTACGTTTGCACCTGTTTCGGAATCTATATATATAGTACAGTAGTGTTTAATTATACCCTATGAAAAAAAGAGGTTTATTTACATCTTCCATCATTGTCTTATGCACGCGTTTCCATGGAAACAATACGTAAGACAAGAACAAAATAATATAAAGGGCATAATTAATCACTATTTTACTTTTTGTAGAAAATTTCAAAAAGCACATTTATTTTATAGTCATTTTCAGTATTTGATTACTTAATTTAAAGAATTTTAAAACTAATACAGTAGAACGCATTTCTTTTCTCGCTCCCCTCCACTAAACATTAAGGTTCTCTCACATTATAAAATGGAGGGAGTAGAAGATCCGAAATGTGAAAAACTAGTGTCAAAGAGATGAAAAGTATTTTTTTTTATCAAATTCACACTAGTTGTCTATTTATAAAGTGACGTTTCCCCCTCCATGTGATTGACTAATTATACAATACTCGTGACATTTAATTGATAATTATCTTTTAGCTCAGTTGTAAAGTAAGGTGCAACGATATCGAAAACAAGTGCGTGAAATTTCATCGTTGTACCTTACTGTAACATACGTTATATTTAATTTATTTATTATCTTCGTTACATTTTGTTAATTTTAATTATATGGAATTGCAGAGAGAGAACATAGATAGATAAAAAAAAATAACTTGTAAGTATTTTAACTTTATATGAAGATGTCCATTTTTTATAATTTTAAGTTTTAGGTTATTACAATCGGTTCACAGCCATTGTGAACACAGCCTTATGTTCTAATCACATTATAATTATTTTTCCTAAACGATTTTGCGCAAATTATTATTTATGACTTATGTCATTGTATATTTTCTGCTTAAGACTGTTTAAAATGATAGTGTGTACATAGAAAATTACGTTTGTACTTATATAAATTTATATATACATATATAATAGGTAAAATGTGTTCTAAATATGTATTTAGAATAATTATGTTTTCATCTATATTATTTTTATGATGTACAGGATTAGTTTTCATACAAAAAAAAGGGCATTCCATCGTTTTATTAACGAATTTTTTAAATTGATAGGTTTTTAAATAAGTTATAATTAACAAAATTTTAAACGATGGTGAGTTTTTGTAAAATAAAAGTTTATGTACAATTTTTTTTTTAAAGGTGATCACAGCGAATTATCTAGAAATTATAATACGAATGTTAAAAAATTAGTTTGAGATTAAAATGGCTGAATTGTTGGTAGCTGTTTAGACTAATAAAAAATAAAACTACATTTAAGCTTCAATAGAATTTAGTTCAGATATACAAAAGTTTATTTTCTGAAAAACGATATTTACCCATTGTATAAGTCTAACATATTTCCTTGCAACTGCGACAGTGTTAACAATTTTTACATTTTATCAATGATTTTGTATACATATTCAACAAAATATAATTTATAGATAAGAAATGTTTTTTTTATTTAAAAATCACATTGCAGAAGTACCTTAAAAGTGAAAGGCGCTTACTCCCACCTTAAACGTTAATTATTCTATGTAAAACTACGTATTTTACATTCCAAACCCTGGCTGCTGACGCTCTCAAACTTGGAGGGATTGTATGTACAAGATGGCGACATTCTGTGTTATTAATTTATGAGTTTTAATGCGCCGGGTTTTTTAATAAAACGTGTGTAATTAACATTCTAAAAATTCTTCTAATTCAAGTGTTCGCAAAAGTATTATTTCAACGCATGTGTTTAAAATTGACATTTTTCAAGTGATTTTACACACAATAGTGAAATCCATATAACAAAAATGTCAAAGACAGATGAAAACGCGTTTGCCGGGGAAACGGGAGAAAATTCTAATGATTCCTCAGCTGAAACAACATCATCAAGAGGTGGTGGTGATTTTGAAACTAAAATTGAAACTGATCGCAGCAAACGTTTTGATTTTTTACTCAAACAAACTGAGATTTTTTCCCATTTTATGACAAACAATCAAAAGGATAAGAGTCCTACAAAACCGAAAGCTGGTAGACCAAGAAAACAACCACAAGACAATAAACCTCAAACACCACCATCAGCGACACAAGAATCTCCTAAAACTGATGTTGCTGATCATAGGCACAGTAAAACAGAACAAGAAGAAGATGAGGAATTACTTGCCGAGAGTAATAATACAACTTCAACTCCGACAACGCGTTTTGAATCATCACCGAATTATATTAAAAAAGGAGAATTACGAGATTATCAAATTCGAGGTCTCAATTGGATGATTTCTCTCTATGAGAATGGTATTAACGGTATTTTGGCTGATGAGATGGGATTGGGAAAAACACTTCAGACAATTTCTCTTCTTGGGTAAGACAAAGAAAAAATTGTGAATTGTATTATATATATTTTTTTTTAAATAAATTCTCTTTTTTAGGTATATGAAACATTTTCGCAATGTTTCTGGCCCTCATTTAGTCGTCGTTCCAAAAACAACTCTCGCTAATTGGATGAATGAATTTAAAAAATGGTGTCCAAGTTTAAGAGCAGTTTATCTTATTGGAGATATTGACACAAGAAATACATTTATACGAGAAGTAATGTTACCAGGTGAATGGGATGTTTGTGTTACTTCTTATGAAATGGTTCTACGTGAAAAATGGGTATTCAAAAAATTCAATTGGCGTTACATGGTGGTTGACGAGGCTCATCGGCTTAAAAATGAAAAATCTAAATTATCAGAAATTCTTCGAGAATGCAAGACTGCAAATCGTTTGCTATTAACTGGAACACCATTACAAAATAATCTTCATGAATTATGGTCGCTTCTTAATTTTCTTTTACCTGATGTATTTAATAGTAGTGATGATTTTGATGCATGGTTCAATACAAATAGTTTCTTAGGCGATAATTCTCTAGTTGAACGTTTACATGCCGTCCTTCGACCATTTTTACTACGTCGTCTTAAATCGGAGGTGGAAAAAGGTTTAAAGCCAAAAAAAGAAATTAAAGTCTACATTGGTCTTAGTAAAATGCAACGCGAATGGTATACAAAAGTTTTGATGAAGGACATTGATGTTGTTAATGGAGCGGGTAAAATTGAGAAAATGAGACTTCAAAATATTCTCATGCAATTGAGAAAATGTTGTAATCATCCATATTTGTTTGATGGCGCAGAACCAGGACCACCTTATACAACTGATGAGCATTTAGTTTACAATTGTGGTAAAATGGTGATTCTCGATAAACTTTTACCAAAATTACAACAACAACAATCGAGAGTATTAATTTTCAGTCAAATGACACGTATGCTCGATATTCTTGAAGATTATTGTCATTGGCGATGTTATCAGTATTGTCGTCTTGATGGTAATACGGCGCATGAGGATCGTCAACGACAAATCAATGAATATAATGCACCAGGTAGTGAGAAATTTATTTTCATGTTGTCAACACGTGCCGGTGGTTTGGGTATTAATTTAGCAACAGCCGATGTTGTCATTATTTTTGATTCCGATTGGAATCCACAAATGGATTTACAAGCCATGGATCGTGCTCATCGAATTGGACAACAGAAGCAAGTTTGTGTCTTTCGATTCATCACTGAGAATACTGTTGAGGAGAAAATTGTCGAACGCGCTGAGGTGAAACTTCGTTTGGATAAATTGGTTATTCAACAGGGGAGATTGGTTGACGCTAAACAAAATGCATTGAATAAAGATGAAATGTTGAATATTATTCGACATGGGGCTAATGAAGTGTTTGCATCAAAGGACAGTGCGATAACGGACGAAGATATTGATACAATTCTCAAAAAGGGAGAGGATAAAACTGAAGAGAATAAACAAAAATTGGAAAGTATGGGAGAATCATCACTTCGTAATTTTACTGTTGATGCACCAACCGATTCGGTGTATCAATTTGAAGGACAGGATTATCGTGAGAAGCAAAAAATTCCCGGTATTGGCAATTGGATTGAACCACCGAAACGTGAACGAAAGGCAAATTATGCAGTTGATGCATATTTTAGAGAGGCTCTTCGTGTTTCTGAACCAAAAGCACCAAAGGCACCACGACCACCAAAACAGCCGATTGTTCAAGATTTCCAATTTTTCCCACCTAGACTCTTCGAACTTCTCGATCAGGAGATTTATTATTTCCGACAAACAGTTGGTTATAAGGTTTGTATTTTCTTTTTTTTATTTTTTTATTTCTATTACATTTATTTTATTGATGTTTTTTTTACCAGGTTCCGAAAAATCCCGAACTAGGTTCGGATGCAGCTCGAATTCAAAAAGAGGAACAACGTAAAATTGATGATGCTCAACAACTTTCAGATGATGAAGTGAAAGAAAAGGAGGATCTACTCATTCAAGGATTCACTAATTGGACGAAACGAGATTTCAATCAGTTTATAAAGGCGAATGAAAAATATGGTCGCGATGATATTGAAAATATTGCTAAGGAAGTTGAAGGCAAAACACCTGAAGAGGTGATGGAATACTCGGCTGTATTCTGGGAACGTTGTCATGAACTTCAGGACATTGACAGGTATAGTTATTCTTCTTTTTTTCTTTATTAAATTTTAGAAACCAATTTTTTAATTTTATTTTCCTTTTTTTTAGAGTAATGGCGCAAATTGAACGAGGAGAAGCGAAAATACAAAGGCGCGCTGGAATTAAAAAGGCTCTCGATGCAAAAATGGCACGATATCGAGCACCATTCCATCAATTAAGGATAGCTTATGGAACGAACAAGGGCAAAAATTATACCGAGGAGGAAGACAGATTTTTAGTTTGCATGCTCCATAAACTTGGCTTTGATAAGGAAAATGTTTATGAAGAATTACGAGCAACAGTGAGATCAGCTCCACAATTTCGTTTCGATTGGTTTGTCAAGTCAAGAACCGCTTTGGAATTACAACGAAGATGTAACACTCTTATTACATTGATAGAACGTGAGAATCAAGAACTCGAGGAACGCGAAAGACAAGAGAGAAAGAAGAAAGGTGGCAATACTGGCCCAAAATCGGCTTCAAAACGTAAAACGGAATATTTGCCAGCACCTCAGCCAAGAAAGAAGAAGAAGTAGATAAAAAGCCAAAAACAAAAGCATTCTTTTTTTTTTTAAACGCACTAGCCGAATGAAACAAAAAGAAATAATTTATGTGGTTAGTACAAACTTTCTATTTTACAGTTTTAATTTCTTTTTGTTTTGCAAAATTAGATTTTCTACACTTCGTATTTTAATTATAAAACAATATTTTTATTGTTTTTTTTTTTTTGTCTGTTTTCATAGTTTTGTCTAACAAACGATAAATTGAATTAAAAAAAAAGACAAAAAGTATCTTTTTACTACTACATTTATTTATCTTCAACATTATAGATTTTTTTTTTGAGGTATAAGAAATAAAGATACAAAATTGCGATTCTTGTTTTTCACTAGACCATTACTGTGTATTATAATAATCGTCTCGTAAAAAAATGAACATTAACAAATTGAAAGAATGGGTTTCTTTTTAAATTATTTTTATCAAAAGCTTTTGTTTTCAGAAACTTTTCCATTCAATCATTTATTGATGACAATTATTTTTTTTTTTGGAATTGAATATTTCTAACCCACGTGTAAAGGCCCCTGAAAAAATTGTCAATTTATTTTTAAATATAGTTCATCTAAATTTTTTATTGAATCATTTCTATTATTATTATTATTATTATGTTTAATAATTCAAATAAGGTGTTAATTTAAAAAATAAAGCCAAATTTTTTTTTTGTAAAAAAGAAAACCTATTATATTAAACATAAAATCCGAAAAAACTTGAAGTTTTAAGCGGCATATCACCGGGAAAGAAATACGTAAAATTACATATATAGTTTTACAATATTTTCAATTCTTTTTTTTTTTTTTTTTTTTTCTTTTTTTTTGTTCGACGAATTTTCTACACAATGATTATATGATAGATATACAATGTTTTCATATCTAATTTCTACATGTTCTAGTATTGATAGCTCGCTACCTATTTTTTTAGAATTAATAATAATAATAATCATTATTAAACAGAGTACGAATGCACGCGATACGAAGCGTGAAAAAAATTCCAATGAATCAAGTATGTTTCAATATTTTACTAATTTTTTTCTCCAAGCGATTTTTTTTTTCAAACAATGAGCAATTTTTTTTTAAATATTACAATAGTTTTTTGACTTAAATTTGTAAATTATTCAACACACTCGATTCATTTGAATACAATATTTAGAAAATTTTTTTATTGTGAAACTTTTTACTGAAAAACTCGCGATGAAATTTGTTCATTTTCAAATTTCAAGAGAGTTTTAAGCAAACAGTTTCATTATTCGATATTATTATTTAATTAAATGCACATTTCACTTGTAAACCTAGGAAACTATGGCAAGGATCGGCCCATCGAGAGCTTCAAATTCCTCTAATAGGTTTTTTTTTTCTAAATTTTAAAAATTTATAAGTTGAAAATTGTTTCAACCATTTTTTCTAAACACTCGTTTATGACTTTTAATATATATATATGTATTGTATTATCTAAACAATAGTGGGATAATTTTTTTTTTTATCATTACTACTATATCAATTGTTTAGGTGACTTATATTATAAGAATCGAACTAGAAGACGATTAAACAATTCAATGATTTGAAAAGCGATTTCGAACTAGAATTTATTGAATTGATCATTCATCTGCTAGCAAGTGAAAAAACTCCCTATCTAAGAACATTTATTTTGACTTCTCGCAGTAAGAAATTGCAATCGATCAATAGTGCAACATTCTATTTAAAATTCGACAGTAATTTTCCATTTGTCAAATTAAAATCGACAGATAATAAAAAAAAGGAAAAAAATTATGAATATAATAAATGAAAGACGATTTTTATTATCTGTCGATTTTAATTTGAAAAATCGTGATTAACGGTGCAGTTAATTATTATTATTATTATTATAATTATTATTATTAATTGTTGACAAGTGAATTTTATCGCAATAGCTTATTAAAACCTAATAAAGTAACATTAAGATTGTGAAAAATACAAACATATCTTACATCTCAGTCCATCACAAATAAGAACGCGATAATAATAATATCGTTACTATATAATGTATTTTTTATATTGTGACAAGTAGTGGCAGAATAAGATTTTATTCAAGTTTTTTCATTTTTCTTTTGTTTTTCGTTCGATTTTCTTGAGAATCGTATAATGCAGTCTAAAATGAGCCTCTACCACTTAATGTGATGATTACACATTCATAGTCTATTAATGCTCGTAATTAGTCGCAGTTAAGATATATCAATAGTAATACTGGTAAATTATATGGCGTAGTAAACGAATCTTATATTCATAAAAATGTGCTTGCCTCAATTTTTTTTTTTTCGTTACTTTCTTTTATTTTTTTGATTTAAAAGCCAAGCAGTGCAGTCAATTAGTTTTGTCTATTATTTATTCCATATAGTTGGAATAATAATTTCTTTTGTAATTGAAAATTACTAAATTTCATTACAATTGAAAATTTCTTAATGAACGTTTCTAATTTTCTTTTCTCACTGGGAAAATTTCTCAACATTATTCTATTTTCCTCTCGATTTTCCGTTCCTTTTTTAAAGTGTTTTGTACAAAATACTAGAAAAAACACAATAAATTGGGTATATGTTTCACAAATTTTTTTTTTTTTTTTTTATCCTGCAGAAGACTCTTAGTATAAAAGATTCCTATGAAAATTCGGCGGATTTCAGCGCACATTATCCCTTTTTTAATTTTTTTTCGTTTACCATTGTATGTTTTTCTCTTCAAAACGTGAAACTACCAAGTAGCAAAGTTCTTCTAAGCGCATAAAAATTAAGTAGAACAAATTAATATTAGCTCACCAGATCAATAAAAGCGTGACAACTAAAATTATATTTATAAAAAAAAAAAAAAATAGAAAAAACTAAAAGCGATAAAAAAAACAAAGTGAAATCTATACAATAGTTATCAAAAAATCTTCATTCTCGGAGGTTTAAAAGAAAAATAATAATAAATCCGAGACTACAATAGCCAACCGACTTACGTATCATTCGCACATTATGTAAATTAGTGGTTACATAGAAAATTGATGACCTTTCGTATCTACTGACATGAATTTTAATCTCTTTATCCCGTGATATCCAATATATACAAATATTTTTTATTTCGCAATTTTACACAATCGCCATGAAAGCCCCCAAAAATACGCGCTTCTTTTTTTTTCTTTTGAAAAACTTTTGTTTTTTCTGACTTTCGAAAACATTTAAAATTGCAACGTATCCTCGATATTTTTTTTCTTTGTTTAAACAAAGCGTCACTCAATTCTCTATATTCTCTTCTTTGTACAACAGCGTATCGAAATATTACTGGGATAATTATCCAAAAAAAAAAAAAAAAAAAAAATGGGATAAATCACACGTGGCCATTGTACGCTCGATGGAAAGAATTATTTACACATCAAGCGTTGGATATCAAAAGTCGAAAAATTAGAGAAAAAAATATAATAGTTTTTTTTAAATATTCAACAGTCGAAACATAATTACATAAATATTTAAAAAAAATTTTCTTAAAATAAAGATAATTTAAATTTTGTAAAAAAATAAAATTTAAAAAAAAATCAAAATGTTTTCTTAAAGTAATATTCAAATGTGAATTTAAAAACAAAAATGACTAGTTTGATATCCAATACTTCCTGAAGATATATATATTCTATATACCTGAATGCAAAGGACTAAATCTAATAAAATACTTAAACTGCAATCATATGCCTCCAAGGGGGTGGATCAGGGGGTGGAGGCAGGGGGACTGGTTACGGACGGCAGTGACCTCTCTTTCGTCCACCCTCGTTGCCATCTTCCTCTTCACCTCGTTTTATTTCGGTAAATCGTTCGCCCTTGATACTCACTATTTTGTTATCCAAATATCTAACGAGTTTTTTTGGCTCCATTTTCGGTGCCACTGGTCTATGTTCACGTGAATCATCATCGCGATCCACATAACTGTAGCGTGCAATTATACGCGATTTCAATTCTTCATCGTTAACACGAGCCTTGTTCCGTCCATTTGGCTAGAATGGAATTTGAAAAATTAAAAATCTATTTCAATTATAATAATTTTTTTTTTACTTACTGTCAGGAAGGTAAGATTACTGGCAATACTTTGTCCAGCTTCTTGTCTATGAAGTGCGAGTTGAGCAGCTTTTGCAATATCGCCACCGGCAACGGCTAAACAATGTCGAGCTTCAGCTGGACTTGCTCCTGGAAACATTTCTTGCAAAAGAGCCACTTGATTCCACGATGATTCCTGTAAAAAAAATAAATGTTAAAAAGATGAAAAAATGTTTTGTAAAAAAATAGTTTGTAAGTTTTCTTCAACCTCGGCAAAATATTCGCCACTGGAATCACTGCCAGCGTCACTTGTTTCCGAGAGATGATGGACCCTCATACGTTGAGTGTCCGGAGGTAAGAGAGCCGCAAGGCTGATGTGACTTAGTGGATCATGGGGTTGACCATTTTCACTATTCTTGTTTCCCTGGCGTAATGTGCTTTCAACATCAATTAGCCATTTTGACACAGCCTCCTTTTCAATTGTTGAAAATTCCGGCAGACATGCTGATACCATTTCACATAATCCATCGACATCTAAATCTTCCTCGAGGGCATTTTCCTCTACCATACTCACGACATAGCTGAGTACAATATCATCGATGAAGCTGCATAATAAAAAAAAATTTCACAATTTTATAGCTACTGAACAATAAATTTAATTTTTATTAATTAATAAAAACTTAACTTTATTTATAAGAAAAATATGCTTTTACCTCAATTGTGCAGTTGGTACTTGTTTTCTAACAAAGCTAAATAAAGATTTCTTAACAAGTTCCTCCTTCTCGTTCATGGTTCAGCGTATTCTGAAAACAAAACAATTTTTATAATTAATATCTACTTTCTTTAATTAATTATTAATTACTCAGGTTTAAACCTCAAATTTTTGGAAATTTAAAAAATTATTTTAATTAAATAATAGTTAAAAAAAAAAGTCAACACCGTATTTATCAATCAAATATTGACACTTCTATAAAAAAATAACAATAATTTCTGCATTATAAAGATTTAATTGAATTTCTTTTGTTAAAAAAGCTTTTGAAATTATCAAATAACACAAGCAGATAAATCACCTCGATTTTTAAACAATTGACATAATATCAATTTTATGTTAACATCCTTCGATTACGACGCAAATCAATAAATTATACTCAATCAAAATAGGATAAAAATGATAAAAATTATTTCTAAAATTTTAATTTTAGGTTAAGGTTACCAATATCAAGGATCGATTGTTTAACAAATGAAAAATAATACAATAATGTTTTCCATTGTTGTCCATCTAAGTATAATTGGTCGTGTTTTTTTTTTTTATTTTATTTAATTAACGTGAGAAAAATAAAAATTTAATGACAGGAGAGGTCTATAAAAAATGACAGCTCCTTTTATAAAATAGTGTATATATAGCGCCGGTGTCGACAATTGTCTTCGATTTTCATTTAATCGTGATAAAAATGAATGATTTGAATATAAAAAATGTCTACTAACCTGTTTATCTTGAATTTAAAAAAAATACATTCACTCAAATGATTCGCAACGAAAAACGATTCCGATAACAATCTAGTATACAAACAAGTTTACGCAATTTTGACAGCTCGGTGGATCACTGGATTGTGGCGCCTCCTAGTGAATACCGCAAGGGTTGATGGGTCATATATCCTAGATTTCAAAATGGCGATGAAACCATCCCTCTCTCTCTCTCGTTATTCTTCTTTTATGAAAAAAACCATTCCTTGGATCACAAAAGGAAAATCAATATCCGGGTTTCAAACTAGGTACGGTTATTTTCTTTGATTCACCCCTTGCACACATACTCTAATCTGTTTCGATATTAACCTACTTTCAATAATCCTTACTTTATGAAGGGTGCTTTTTGACCTTCCTCTCCCTTTTCTAAATATGAGATTCAACCCCTAGGTTTTTTTTTTCAAGGATATTTAACAGCAAACTAGAAAACGCGAAAATTATAAAGAAAAAAATAAATTTTATTATTATTAATGAAAATGGAAATAGAATTCCCCTGTTCTATATATATTTATTTATTTATAAGATATATTGCTTTATTATTACAATGTACATGTACTTTCTGATCGTCAGTAACTGACGATAAACTTTTAGTTTTTTTTTTAACAGATTTTTATTTCTATAATTAATATAGATTCAGAAACGTGTGGCGTTTTTTTTAAATAATTAAGTAAATACAACTACACACAAATTTTAAGCATGAAATTCATTTAAGAAACTAAATGCAAAATATGTTTTAGTCAACATAGTTCGATTCGCATTTTCTTTGTAGAAAAAAGAAAAATTAAAAAAAAAATGGTACTTTTTTTTTAGAAAAGATTTAAAAAAACGAGATAAAATCTTTAGCTTATTTGCAATTTTTGTTTAAAAAAAAAAATATCTTCGAATCTAGTTTTTAAATTCTTTGTCACACTTTATCTTTTTTTATAGTCATAAATTTTTCCGTTGGTGATTTATCGATCTCTTCGAATTTATCCTTTTTATCAAATTTCTCTTTAATATCAATTTGATAAGTGTCACAATCTTCGCTATTTTCCGATTTTCTCGATTCTTCACGTTCACTTAAACAAGTATCCGGTTCAATATCCTCGACAATATCATGTTCCTGGTCTAAAAAGTCAGTTGGCACAAATTCCATTTGATCCTCACCGTCTGTTAAATCGGGAGGACCGTCAATATTACCAAAATTCATGTCCCGATCATCAGAATCTTGAATACTTCCACCAGGATCGTCTTCTTCGTGAAGACCCATTAGATTATTATCCGAGAACATTGCACTTGGACTCAATGGTATGTCAAGTGGTTCTAGTTTAACTGTCGCATTTGGTGATATTGGAGGACTGGGACGTTGAAGACGTATTTTTGTAAATGGTCTCGACGATGATTCCATTGTATCGGAAGTTTGACGTTTTTGACCTCGTTTTGGACTAGAAGGTGTTGTACAAACGCCAGACGATGTTGATGGTCTATTTTCTTTGGTTTCAGGTAATCGCATACTAATTGATTGTGATTTTGTCGGTGGAATCAATAAAGGTGGACGTGAATTCTGTAAAGGAAATTAAATTTATTTTCGAAAAATAATTAAGAAAAATAGAAAAATTTACCTGTGATGATGGTCCGGCTAATCCTTTAATTTGTAGTGCCTCTGCAGCATTTAGAAGTTGAGGTAATTTTTCATGCGCCACATTTACTTCCCCACGATACATGAATTTGACTAGTGCCTCAACTTCCCAGAATTTGAGATCCTTCATTAAAATAATTGGATGCTGACATGGATTTTCACGTAGCAATTCTGCCAAATAATCGCTGCAGGTCGAAAGAATCATTTTATGACATTTTAATGAACGACCCTCGCACGCCAATGTTACATCGACAAATTGTTCTGAATCCAATAGCGATGGAAAACTATTTTGCATATTACTGTGATAACTGTTCCATCTCAAACAGACCTAGAAAAATTTAATTTTAATAATAAATAAATAATGATAAAATAATTTACAAAAATTTTAATAATTACTTCAGCTGCTTGTTGAGGAACTGTATTTTGTGGAACTCCTTGTGTTGTTTGTCGAGGGGGCATCTTGATAGTAGTTGGTGCGACTTGTTTGACCTTGAGAGGAATTGTCTTCAATACTAAAGTCTTTGGCTGTTGTTGTTGTCCTTGTTGATTAGTAGAACTCGATGTAAGATTTGCTGGGGCAATATTTCTCATTTGTTTCGTATATGATTGCGTTGGTACTCTTATTGATTTCGTGGAATACGAAGACTTTTCTTTTTGTTGCGATTGTAATACTGAAAACAAAAATTCTCAATTAAAAACAAATTCGAATCATTAAATTTTTAATTCAAAATCAAAAATTTTTTTTTTCACAGAATAGAAAAACACATTTTTTCCTCCTTTTCTCAAATATTTACAAAAAAAATACAAAATTCATCGAACAAATTACCATGGTATCTTCTTCCAATGAGCCTACCACCATGATGAACTCTTAAATGTCGATGTAAATTTGTTGTGCCACATTGTCGTGGATTAGCACCGCCACGAACAACAACGGCCCCACAAATTCGACATTGTGCTCTTAAAGGATCATTTGTGCAAAGATCAAAGTGTGCCCAAACGGCACTTGGATTAGCCATTGCTCGAAGACTTCGTGAATGTGAACGTACTCGATGACCTAGACCAGTTGGCGATGATGGCTGTAAACCTTCCTCTAATAAATCCTCCTCTTCTTCTGGTTCTTGTTTCATTGTCAACCCCGCCACTTTTCTCTCGACAGGCACACCCGTAGATGAAAATTTCTTTTTCTCAATAAATATTTTTTTTAATATTGCAGGAAATATTTTTCTCCTCTCAAATTTGAATACGACAGAATTGTTTCTAATGTAATCAAAATTTAATTTCACATTATTATATTTTTTTAAATAAAAAAATACTATTCAAACATTAGAATTTCGAGATTTTCTCTAAATTTCTCGAAAAATTTAATAGAGATTCAATTTAAAATATATTTTTTATATCGATATTTAGGAAGTTTCCATAAATAAATATTTTTTATAATTAATAATTGTAGATAAAATTATATAATCTTCACGGAAAAAAAAAAAAAAATTCGAAACTTACAAGTCTTTAGAAAAGAAATATGTGTTGATTTACGTTTTGTCAGAACACGTGGTGATCTGATCATTGCATGGAAATTTCACAGAATGAATGTAATATATATAACACAAAGAGCATGAAAGTGACGCCACTTGTGCGCATATTTTCAAAACTTCTAGATTCCACCATAATAGAAAAATTAACATATTTTCTATATATTTCTATAGAAAAAGTGAAAGTACATTTAAATTTTTTCATATAAAATTTGAAATAATTTTTTTTACTATATTTAATAATTAGATATTTATGATTTAAAAAAATTAGTGAAAAAATTAAATTAATATTTTAAATCAAAACATTGACCTCAATTAAAATTAGCCGACAACTGATATGAATAAAATTTTTTATCTTATACAGATTTATGAAAATTTTTTATTCGCTATAAAATTTTCAAGAATCTCGAAAACTTGTTTCTATTAATAAGGAAAATTTTTACTTATAATAAATAAATTTTTTTTTTTAAGGAAACTTCATTAAATTCGATAACAATAATTTAGATAAAAATCGAGATAAAAAATTAGAAATGTAATTAAAAAATGAATATAATCCAAAACATCTGTTGATTATATACATTTAATTTAAATTTATTATATTAATTAATAATTAATATTTATTAATATTAAATAAAGAAAATATCGAAATTCAATTTAAAAAATAATTCCAATTGGCTGTATTAAATTTTTTTTTTTGACGGAATTTACGAGTTTTCATTTTCTTTAGTATTAATTGGAATTGCACATTCCTAACTAACGATCTATTTCGTTCCAAAATGTGATGGTCACTATTATTATCAGCATATGCGAGCTTGGCGCCATTGAGAGACCGTCGTCGTTGCCGGTCTCTAAGCGAAGCGATTCTATAAAAAGCTACTATAATCTCCCCGAACCGATAATATGTACACATATATTTCTTATTTCGAAATGTTATTCGAATATTCATCAGTGATATTTAAAATCGCTGAAGCACAATTTCACATTTATTTTGTTGTCGAAAAATCGGTAATTGCAAAAAACAAAAAAAATTGTACGTTAAAAAAATATTATTTCTAAATTGATAGCATTCAAAATAAATTGTTTATATGAAAAATTAAACTTCGAAAAAATTTTAAAAAATCGTTAAATATTAGTAAGTTAATTTTAACAATATTGTGTTACTATTTTTTGGAATATTTTTTATATATTTCAAAACTGAAATCTAAATATTTGAAACAAATACCAGTGGAATGAAATTATTAATGACAATCAACTCATCAATAACTGTGTTATTTTCCACTGGCGTATATGCTTTCAAGTTTCGACTTGATCTTTTCTTTTATATTTGAACAAATTCAAATAATTTCTAATAAACACGAAACTAATATTTTTGCCAATTGAAATATTTTTAAAATTATCTTTTTTTTCTCTTTACAAGAGAACTTGGTTTTTTTTTTTTTTGATGTTTTCGTACTTCCTCTCTCCTAAAGTTTGGGGTTGATTTCCCTCTCTTGTCACAGTTTCTCCCCCTCTTTTCTATCTCTCTTTCTTTCCTCTCCCTCGAGCTTTTGCCGGTTATATGTGTGTGAAATATGACGACGTTGACGACTCGTTCTCACTTTAAACATTCGACGCACTTCGATTTTCTCTTTTCCTCTATACACAAACTAAAAAAATTTTTTTCATCAAAAATTAATAACAACTACATTACTGTATATATGGTTTATCTTTTTCCATTCTCGTCAAACACTTATTGACTAAAACAAAAATAAATAAAAATCAATTTTTGTCAAAAAAATATCTCAATTCACGTTTTTTTTGATTATTGATTAAATTTTTGAGATAAAAAAAAAAATAATTGCAATTGTCGAGCTTTTCTTTTCAATTTTTTCACTGAACGAGAAAACGATTTTCCCTCAAGCCGAACCCGGGAATGACTAAAATCGAAATCGGTGGCCCTTAGAATAGTGTTGTCAGGATGACGCGCATGTGCGACGGAGCCGCCGGTCGTCGACGCATTATTTTGTGCTATCGTGAATGCGCGCCCGGGTTCATCTACTATCCAACCGGTTAACATCGGCTCACCCCGCGAATTCTCCATCGATCGAATACAATATTAAAAAAGACCGGCTACATGTCAATGTGCATGTGCGCGCATCATATCGGTGCGATGTTGAGATTTTCGACAATTGCTATTATCATGGATTAAAATCTGATAATACCACGTATATATACATATTTTCATATGCTGACAACGCGCGCAGGAATGATCCAACTGCCGGTCAGGTCAGGGGGTGAACAAAATCAATTATCTCGATTATAAACCAAGATTAAAAAAATATTTAAATTACATAAAATATCCTTTCAGTTCTTTAAAAATCCTATTTTTGACAAATTTTTCTCATCTCTTTTTTGTCTCCAGGAAGATGTAGGTATATTAAAAATTTAATTTATTTTTTATACTATTTTCTGTGAAAAATGTGTTTTCCTCTTGTGAGAAAAATTCTTTTTTATAAAAAAAAAATTTTTATTTAAAAAAAAAATATATTTACCGGTTGAATCAACTTCCACTTTCTTCTCTTCGGCTTCGAATAGATCCTCCTGAAAATTGTGGAATTCAACTGGATTCTTATTTCCCTGTTGTTGAGCACTATACTCTTCTACTGTAGATAAAAAAAAAAAAGTAAGTGTAATAAAAAAAAAATTTGTTGCATAAATTAGAAACGAAAAATTGCAAATTTACATTCTGGTATTGGAGGTTTTCCAAGGTCGATATATCGTCTTCTCGAAGCTTTTGCGGCAATAAAATCAGGTTCATGATTGTGCTCCATATGAACTCGTGGCTTTTTACAATCCACTGTTGTTATTAAACTTCCACGACAAAAATAAGATCTCGCTACACATCTCCATCGTATACTGAACGGTTGTTTTTTATGTAATGTATACATAAAATTCTTATGTATTATTTTTGGACCACCTTTATTTGATAGAACAACCTAAAGAATGCAGAAAAAAAAATTAATATTCACAAAGAAAAACAAATTTTATAAATTACCTCTGTTGCTGTTTCATCGGATTCTTCATCTTCAATTTCAGTTTTCGGATGATAATCATTAATATCCATTTTATTCACTTCTGTATACAAATAATTTTTTCTTCAATAATATTGAAACTTTTTTTTTTTTTTTTTAAAAAAAACCAATAAATGGCAATATTACCAATTGTTGATTCAAGTAGAAAACGAGCTCTTTTGTGACATAAAGATTCCTTTTGTTTGAGTAGTGAAATTCAGTTTTAGATAAACTCTATTTACACTGTCAAAGTGCCAAAAAATTTGGACAACACTTAATTCCACTAATTTGTTTACAAAAACATGTGAATAAAAAAGGCAAAGAGAACAATGCACTATAACCTAGTTGATAAAATGTCAGATGACGCTAGGTTGCCAGTTGAGAAATGGAAATATGGCACCACTGCGCAACAATCAATAAATGGCACCAAAAATATTTACTGACACACGAATTATTAAATATAATATTAATACTTATTTTTGCTCCAAATCTGCAAATAATCTAAAAAAAATTAAAGAATAAAATAAATAAATTAACAATAATTTTAAAAAAAATTACTTTGCAGTTAGTGTTAAAGCTCTCTTACAGGGGCTATTATTTTCAATTGAATTTATATTTTAAGGTTTCCAATTTTTTTTAAAGGAAAAACTTGTACAAAATTTTAATATTTAATTACTGAAATTAAAACAAAATTCATTTATTAAAAATAAGGTTTCTAAATAAAAAAAAGAAATCAGTTTCCAATGTTTCATTGTGTTTTAATTTATTTTTATAATAGTACAGTATAATATTAATTAAATCAATTATGTTAATAAATATTCTGTCATAAGCATCATGTGACCGAATAAAATTACGGACGAGACTAGCTGATGACCTTTGCAGCGCTATTCATTTCTTATTCCTCTTCTCCATTTTTTTTTGTTTCAGTTCCTTATGCTAAGTAATTTGTAAATTTTTTTTTTTTCGACAAAAGCAAAATCGTTGATTTTAATTTTCATTTCACAAATTACTCCATTTAAAAATCCTTCTCGCAACCACAAACCACGCAGATCATAAAACATTTTATTAAGGGGAAGCCCGCTCCGACTTAAATAACAGCTTAAGGCAAATATCTTTTGGTACAAATTAAATAATTAATTAAGACATACACCTGCAGCTTTATTGTCTCAAAGGCATCATGATATACGTGGCACGAATTTGTTTTTTTTTCTCTTTTTTTTTTCAAGAATAATTCTACAAACACTGACTAATAATGGAGAAATGTTTCTCGAGAAACGTTATTATCTCGTCTTTTGTTATTTTAAAAAAAATTACTTAAACTATTAATTTGTTAAAAAAAAAAAAACAGTAAAATACAAATTAAAAAAACAAGGTATATCACACAAAAATAAAATAATTATAATTTATCTTGCCTTAAAATAAATTAAATTAAAAAAAGAATTAAAATTAAAAAAAAAACACAATCATGGAGGAAATCAACCTCCATTACAATCAGTCTAAAAAAGTGAATCCACTTTTGAGATTTAATTATTTAGTTAAATTCCAATTAGTCTATTTAGATAAAAAAAAAATCATAAGTGGATCAACCTTCACTACAAATTAGCATTAATCAACGTACAATTCTTAAAGCTGAAACTCGGATAATATTAATAAATAAAATAACAATCTCTATTTCTAAAATTTATATATTAATTAAATTTTACTAAAAAAAATATATAAATGTCTTCTACTGTTACGCATAGACTCACTGGGGAAGCGCGTTGAGTGAGTAAAATACTCATGGTAATTTTCATTCGTTTCTTTTTTTTTTAATTAATAAGGAATATACTTCGATATAAACCGATTAAATGTAGTCACCGATATTTAGCTAACAGAATATTCACGAGTACACAATAATATTGGTTAGTCTTTTTTTTTTTTTTTTTTTTTTTTTTTTTCTTATTTACACACATTCTATACCTTAATCACGTAAACGTTTAATAAGAAATCGCAAAGAGATAATTTCTTTGCGCGATAGGTTTCATAAACTAGAAAAAAAAATCAGTGATGCCTTTGAGACTCGAAAATTGGTAAAGCTTTGACAATAATAATAATATAAAAAAAAATTGTCTGTAAGATACGAGGAGATATTTCATGGACAATTTTCATTTAAACGTGAGAATGACTAAATCAAAAAGTGTTTTCTTTTTTTTTGCTAAACAGATAGCAAAATATCTTCCTAGGTATCTTACTTCGCAGAGTAAGGGGTAAAGAATGCCTGACACCAAAATTGTAAAAGAAAATTTACTGAAACGGATTCCCGAAACGTCACGAGATTTTTTTTTTACAAAAGGTTCATCTCTGCAATCGTCGTCGGACGTTTCGTTATAGAATAAAGAGTGGAAAAAAGAATGTCGTGCGAATAATCGATATGATCAATCTCATGAATGATTATAGCGATTCAATTATTCATCCAGTAATGCGCCTCTATTTTTTTTTTGTTTTTCCTATTTTGAGACATTTCTTATTCCTTTTGTCGATGAGGAAAAATAAATAAAGTGAAAAAATGTAGAAGGATTGGACTAGGATGAAAGCGTTATTATGTTATTTTTTTCAAGGAATTCGCGTGTACTTGGCTCAATAAGAAAAAGTAGCAAAAACCTTTCCCTACAATTCCATGACGGATGCTAAGTAAGTTTTTCTTTTTTTTCTCTCTCTCGTTTTCTTTTTTTCTTTCTCTCATCTATTGTTTTCGCATCCAAATTATTTATTTTTTTTTTAAACTGACGATGACGACTTTTGTTCGGTACCCGACATTCTTCGAATAAACATACGTCTCTAGTCTTCGCTAATATGTACGAACGAACACGAACATCGGGAAGGCCAATTTATGGGGATAAAGATAGCGTTTTCTTGTTGTTGAGGAGACTGATGAGCAGTGAAACTTAAGGACAATTTGTACCTTAAGATTGCTTTGCTTTTTGGCCAGCTCCGGACTCTTGTGACGTTTGTTGCAACCATCATCATTCAGGGTTCTGAGCCGTCAAACAATCATCCGGCATAACCGAAGAACCAGAGATAGGAGGGAGAACCACACTGATTGGGCCAAAGTACTGCGCGACAGCAACAGACGTAAAAGAATTACGAGCGCTCCAAATTGCACTGTTCTGTTCAACCAGTACAATCTATTGGAAACAAAAAATTGTCTCTTCAATTAAATGACTTTTAAAAGTTTAAAAAAAAAAACACCACCACCCAAAAATTATAAATTAGCAAAAAAGAATAACCTTACCTTGTAATATGTGAGCGGGCGGCTGGCAGTGTCTCCGGACTCTCTTTGAGAATAAACTGCCGAATTCCAAGAATATAATGTTCCAAATAAGACGGCCAGTCAATTTGCTTAACATCAAACATAAATGTCTCTCTATCCTGTGGACTGAGCTGTGCATCCAGTCTTCGGACATTGTCATCTTTAAAATTCCATTGTTGTGTGCTAAAATACTCTAAACACGAGGCCGCTTTATCGAGTTTCGCTTGAATACGAACCATAAATGGTTTTGTTCCTTTCAATTTGGCAATAAAATCCAAGATGTGAGCAGGCAACGTATGTTGAAAAGCGACAAATATTTTGTTCAAAATCGAAGAACTTCGAGCACGACCGCCTGGATACCAAATTGCATCATTCACTGGATGCATTCGTGTATATTTGAATGCCAAATCAACAAATTTCTTCCATGTTATTGGATTTTGTTGACCGGTACAACAATTATAAATCATGATACTGTCACTTGGATGTGTTGCAGTTCTCCATGCCGCGCAAATCATTAAATTAATGACAATGTCAACTGGCACCAAATCGGCAACTTTTTCCTCATGACACATCATTGTTCTGAAAAAAAGGAAATTTCATTTACAAAAATTTTATTTTTTTTGTTTTGTTTTGTATTTAAAAAAAATTGAAATTTACCTGAAGAAACCTTTTCCAATTGCAGCTATAATTCCAGTTGGTCCATTCCAATTGTCAACCCAGCCAGCGACTGGCTCTTTGAATGATGAGAGAACAATCGATGGTCGAACGATTGCAACTGGCAATGTACCACTTTCACAAAGAAGCATTCTCTCCGCAAGGGCTTTTGTAAAAGTATAGGTATTTGGCCTTCCAGCAATGAGCTTTGGTGTCAGTTCCTCTACGAGCTGATCGTCCATCCACTTGGTAAAAGAGATCACTTGTTCCGGATCCAAAGGGACTGGATAAATTTCTTCATTAACGTCAGTTCTATCGCAATTGCAATAAGCCGTCGATACATGAATTAGAGCCTGAAAATATACATCAATAAATCAGTTATTTCACAATTTTTATTTAGACGAAAATTATTTTGCCAGAAATTCAATTTAATCGAAAACTTGTCTTATAAAATATTAATTTTGCAAAATTATAATTTAAAAAAATCTTAATTTTGCAAGAATATTCATTTGATCGAATATTAATGTTCCAGAATTGAATTTATGTTAAATTAATTTTTCTTTAAATAAAAATTCTGTCAAATTGATTTGCATTTTCTAAAAATTAATATTCGAATAAATAAATATTCTGCAAAATTAATATTCCACAGATTCTATAAAATCAACATTTTGAAAAAAAATTTTTTTATCGACAAAAATAAAATAATTTACAATTGAAAATTAACAATAATTACTGAATTTGATAAATAATTATTGAATTAGCGCGTATAATGAATTATTTAAGAGAGGTCATTTGGGGGGTGAAAAGCTCACCTCTAAATTGTGCATACGATGGCAAAGCTCGACAAGTTGTTTCGTGCCAAGCATGTTAATGGTGACGGACAATTTTAAGGCCTCGTCGAATTTAACAGTCGCGGCGGAATGAAATACGACTGACACACAATGAATAAGTAGATTTTGATCCTCTTCCGAGATTCCGAGTTCCGGTTCCGTAACATCGCCTGCCACTGGTACAATTTTCATCAAATCGTGAGGCGAGTCCCGACGAATTTTCGCGAATAACTGTAAATATTTAAAAATAGTTATTAAATTGTTTTTTTAAAAATGAATACAATTTTTCTAAAAATCAAATTAATATTTTTAAATTAATAAAAAATGAAAATTTCCACTCACAGGTGCATTGAGAAGTTCCTTTAACCTTTGCTGAACGTTTTGTCCCTTTTTGGGTCGCATGAGAAGATAAATATTTTTGATTCCAGGACAGGACCTCAGGAGTTTTTCGACGAGGACCTTGCCCATGAAACCAGTGCCTCCAGTAATGAAAATTGATCGATCTCGATAAAAGTCTTTAACAGATGTGTACTCTCCACAAGCCATTGTAGCCATTTTTCTTTTATTTTGATGCGTTCTTTTTTTTCTTTGGAAGCTTTAGTAAAATTAGTCAAAATAGTAGAGGGAAGCGAGTAGAATTTTTTTTTTCTTTTTTTTGATAGAAGACAAAGTCGACGTTTTTATAAACAGGAGAAACGAACAAAACTTTGGTGTTCCTTCTGTTTTTCCTTTGGAAGATATTTTCAGAGAAGAAGACAATCTAGATGTTTCAGTTTATCGCCTTTCCTAGTTTTGGCAAGCGGATACGTGGACGCGTCTAAATTCATTTCGGATCAGTATGCTCTCCTTTCCTGCAAAAAAAAAACAAATTTCTATTAATATTTGTAAGAAATATTTTTTAAAATAATAATTTAATAAATAAAAGAGGATTTTTTTGGGAAAATCGAAATTGTGATAATTATCGAAGCTATTGTAAATTTAATAGAATTAATGGATGTTGCTTTGAAACATGAATTCAAGGCTTTGTAAGTCTTGTAATGATTTACCTTGAATAAAATTATTATTTTGTAATCGACAGATGTATTGTCACACATGGCAAATGATCTTTAGAAATTCTCTCCCTCTATCTTTTTGTCTCTATATACTTATATACACATAACACAAAAATAGTTATTAATATTTATCACTAGCTGCTTTTAAATTCTATAATATAACGGATATAACTCTTATGTAATCGCATAATTACACGCAAAGGGAACAAAAATTTATTGTGAATCTTTTTTTTCAATAAAATAAATTTTTCTGATTTTTAGAATGAAGGAAATTCAATAGAATTTTAATTTGATAATTTTTTTATTTTGTCAATGCAAAAATAATTGTTTCCATATCTGTAGAAAATTGTCATTCTGTAGAAAGGAGTTCGTGAAAGGAAAATCCCCCAATGGGAATCCATACAAAATCGTGTAATACTCCGGCTTCGCCTGTTTCCATTTGTTCTTATGGGAATCCATATAAAAATTCTATGGCATTTTAGGGAAGAAGAGAGATGGTGATTTGAATACATAAAAACGAAACTCTTTTATTCATTTTTTTTTAAACACTCTCTGTTGAATCAACAACGATAAAAGGAGAATAATAAGATTCATTGTGGACAAATAAATTTTATTTGAATAAAACAAAAATGTTAGTCAAACAAATTTATTTGGAATAGAGGAAGAAAAATAATAGAAAATTAATTTTCGAATATTTTTTTTTTGGCGGGAAGAATAATATAGATCTTTCTCGCGTAAAAGTGGATTTTGCCAAGAAGAGCATTATGCGTAATGTTATAAGGGAAAAGATCAGACGATGGTCGAGAAACGGATTCTGGTTTAGATTCTAGGTCAGCGTCCCGGCCTTTTGCGGTCACCAAGTCACAAAGTAGGGGGAAGGCCGAGGAACCGTCCCCGTTACATGAAAACCCGTTATACTTGTATTATTGATGATGAGTCTTCTCATCCACCTCTCTTTTTCCCTTACTTCCACCCGCAGATAATTCTTTTTTTTTTTTTTTTTTTTTTTTTTTTTTTTTTTCCTCACTGTTGACTGTATATCCTTCTTCCTCTTTTTCCCATTACCAACTAACTTTTCTCCCCACAGTGAATATACGCGACTTACATTTACAAAAAAAAAAAAAAAATGTCAACAACTTTTAAATAGCCATTAAGCAAATTTAATTTTTTTTTTCCAAATTGAGAAAAACTTTCACTACTTGCAAAATGAATGAATATGAAAATTAGTTTATTTTTTGTGAAAAAAATTTTTTGATGATAATTTAATTAATGTTTATTTATTTCCGTATCTTAAATTTCATATCTAATTGGTTAATTATCAGAAAAAAGCACATTGAATTTTTTTTCTTCTTTTCTAAATAAGGAAACGATTTTCTATTCATGTTTTTTTGTGAGGATAAAAATTAAACGATTATAAATTATCGTCAATGTAAATCATTGTATTAAAAAATTAATATCAAGCTAAATCTTGTCTCTGTGAAATCAATTTCATAAATAAATTAACTTTTTCATCATACAATTATGACACATAAAATTTATTCATAAGTCAAATAAATTGTTAAAGAAATACAATGTGCGGTAACTTTTTACACATTGCAAGTTTATATTAATTACTTAATTTTTAATTTTTTCATTTATTTATTTTTTAATTATTTAATTTAATATTTAATTATTTAATTAATAGAATATTAACGTATAAAATAGATCATTTTTTTCAGTTTCTTTTTTTTCATAAAAAATTTTTAATTTTAATTTTTTTTCATAAAAAAAACTATTTTCATTGAAAAACGTTTTTTTTGAGTTCCATGAGAAAATAAATCGAAATATTCGACGGCCTTTCGGCATTTTTGTGTCTAAAACTAGTTTTACAGGGAAGAAAAAAATATATATATATAACAAGGTTAAGGTTGAGTGAATAGTGAATTAATTAACGAGGTATGTCAAAAACGTTGAAGTATAAAGTGTGTCAACCGGTCATTGACTTTCAAATCTCGACATTGTACATAGAGTTCTAAAATTTCCAAGAATATTCTCGTGTGCACGAGAAAGTTTAATTTCAAGCTTGTATTTTGCAAATATACTGCAACTTATAAATTAAATACGATAAAATAAAAAAAAAATGTTCTAAAAAAAATCCCCCGGGATTTTATTTAATTAAATAAATACTTTTGGCTTACATATTTAATCATAAAAAAAAAATACAAAATAATTCAACTACTTCAAATAAATATTTTCCAATATTAAAATTAAATTTAATATCAAATTTCAACTTTGATTCCTTTGATGTTTTTCAATTTAATAAAAAAATCCAAGTTTTAATTTATTTAGAATATACAAAGTCTGTATTATAAATAAGGTAATTTAATTAATCAACTTCAATTTGAAATTTCATTTAATTTTACAATAATTTCAGTCAAAAAAAAAAATTAATAATTATTATAAATAAATTTTTTTTTTAAAACCTGTTATATATAAAAAAAATACCCCTTGAAAAATTAATATATTTCTAGAGCTTAATTTTTGTTAAAATATTAAATTAATCTTTTAATGTAATATAATGAGAAATCAACTTCAATTATATCTTATTAAACATTTTAGAAGAACAAAGTAAAATTTACATATTGAAATTAATTTTCGGAAAATTAACCTTTTAACTTTTGACGAATTCAATTGAACTAGAATTTGAAACAGCGTGTGTCAAGTGTCATGTAAAGTGAAATAAAAACGCTAATAATATATACTGATTTCTTTCGACTGTATATCAACTTAAGTTATTTTTCATATATGATTCTTAATAATATATCATTTGACACTCTCGCAATAAATTGATGCAGAAAGTGAAAAAAATATTTCATAATAACTAAAGTATTAGTTATTATTACTTATAAATTAAATATTATGAAATTTAAAAGAAAAATCATTCAACTCGAGAAGAAAAATTTTAATTTAGAGCAATTTTTTTTTTTTAATTTTAAGAACATATTTAATTTTATTATTTATGAAAAACAGGTTCATTATTTAATACATACAACAAAAGTGATTACAAATTAATTAATTAATTAATTCTATTTTAATTAATTAATCTGATTATTATTAATTAATTATAATTATTGTCTCTCGATAAATAAAATAAATTTTTATTGATTTACATAAAAATTAATTTTTATCAATTAAATTAGATAAACTAATTTTGTCAACAAAAATGAAATTTCTTAATTATTATGAAGATTGAAATTTTTTTTTTTTATTCATTAAGAGAAAACATTTCGAGTAATTGTCAAGTGAAATTCAAGAGCGAGAATAAAGAATTAAATGGTATGAAGTACCGCTAGAAACGACAGTAACAGTTTTGTGTCACATATATAATAAATATATATATATACATGTGTTGTCGATATCCTGTGACCGATTTTTCAAACATTTGTTCTTACTCTCAGCTTTTAAATATATGTTAATCAATAATGAACTACTGACCAGCATAATGTAATAAGAACTATAATCGCACTTTTTAATAAAACTAATAAAAAAAAAAAATGTAAATTATATCTTAGTCAAGTCCATTTTCTTCAAATGGCACTCTTTTTTTGTTGGATTATAAATTTTTGAATAATATTAATGTAAAAAAAATAATTACACAGCAGAGAACAAAAAAATCCCATATGTGGCAAAGGGTTAACATTAAGAAAAATATTTTTAAAAAATTTTAACTTAAAAAAATTGTTTATTTTAAAGTGAATAGTTTTTTTTAAATATGAAAATGTTTCTTTTTTCACAATTTTTATAGTATATTTATTATTAGTCAATAATGCCTTTGCCACACATGTTCTTGATTTAATAGCATATTTTTTTCTGATAAGAAAGTATAATGTTAACTATCACGCAAAATTTCAGTCAGGCTATGCAAAATATTTTCAAATTTATATATACAGTCACGTGAGTCAAGTAATTTTGAAAGAGTTTAACACGAAAAAAATATAACTTGAAATATATAAAATAGAGAACTTTAAAAAAAAAATACTTTTAATTTAATTATTTCACATTTACGCTTATAATCGTTTTGACATTCATAACGTAACGTTTTTGAAAAACCGCAATTCAGTAATAAATGGTAATTAGTACCTACTTGCGGTTTTTTGTGAAAATAATGTTTGTTATTAAAAATTTTATAAGTATTGACAAGTTCATATATATTTTTTTTTTCTTTAAAAATTTTGATTTTGCCATCATTGTAAAAAAAAAAAAAAAAAAACTATTGTAATACGAAAATGAATGTAAAATGTATCGTCACAAAAATTCTATTTAGGAAAAATTAAAAAAAAAATTTTCATTTTGATTTAACATTTTGTCTTTGAATTCAAATGTAATATAAACGATTTTCAACAAAATTTTGAAAGTGTGATTTCGTTTTTAGTAAAAGGTCCTTTTTTGCTAAATAAAAAAAAAAAAATTCATTTCTAAAAAGCGAAAAAAAATCGATATTTCGTTTACGAATGAAAATAAAAATTTTCGATAGCAAAAAACTGTTTTTATTTTTTATGTAAAAAAAAAGTGATACGCACTGATAAGATCCTTTAATATTGTTTCCATGATATCACTTTTGAATTTGACACTAAACAAAACTGAACTTTAGAAAATTTAATTAAAACTGATATAACTTTTGGAAAAAAAAAAATTGGTTTATCACTATTATGGGGAGAGAGAGAAAAAAAAAGAAATTATCTCCACGATGCATACAGCATTTCAAACAGCAAGCAACTGATAGTGCTGGGCCTGGTACGATACCTTATATCTCGTGAATAGAATGCCATAAGGCCCCACCATTCATATATAACATATATGAGAAACAACATTTTATATTGATATATTCATTTCTTTTATATTTCAAACTTTAATCTTTGAATCTATCATTATATATATTTGACATATAATTGCATAAAATTCACCTGATTTTTTTTTAAAATAAAAATTATTTCTTTTGAAAATTTCAATTCCAATTTCAACATTTTATATTAAATCGAAATTTTATTTAATACAATTTTTTTTTTCATTTTCAAACGCATTTTGAGCACTCAATTGTAATAAAAAAATGCTACCAAAATAAATTTTGAAAGAAAAGAATGACAATACATTTTTTAAAATATTTTTTTACAAAAAGGCCAAAGTTTATGGATTTTAATGCATTCATTTGCAATATTGTACAATGTAAAATTTTTAGCATATTAAAATAATTACTTTTTTTTTTCTCGAGAATAAGTGTTTTTTTTTTAAACCAGATATTTGAATCTTAAATTAACCGTATTAGAATAAAAAAAAAATATTCCGTAGGTCAGTGATGCAAAATATTAAAAAATCTTTTATTATCAAATCGTATATAATTAATTTTCAATTATTTTTATAATTTTTAGTAAAAATATATATTTTTGAAAAAATTTCCAATTATTTAATTTATTATTTTTGAAAATTATTTTTACTTGTGTTTTAGTAAAAATATTTTTCAATTGAAGTGATTGTAACATAAATATAATGATTTCCTTATTGTGATATTATTTTTTTGATATTATGTCTTTATATAAGATTTTTTTCAATTAAAAATAAAAATAAATAATATATGTAAAATATTACGGATTAATGAACTACTTGACGTTCATATATAAAGTATAATATGACAGATGGCAGTAAAAATAGAATGAAATCTCACGACCTTCATTTATAACAATAAAATGATAATTTATGATTATACATTTACACCGTGTAATAATAAATTTACAGTTACATTGGTATAGTACTATTCAGGATATTCGGGAACAATATTCATATAACTTTTATTGCAAATTCAAGCGTTTTTTTATCTACTCAAATTATATCATACAGGATGATATTTCAATGTAAATTTTATTATCTTCCTATTCTACTGATTAACCAATTCTTTTTTTTTCGAAAAATATATTTTATTTAAAAACTAATTTTTTTTCCCATATTTTTACTGACGGAAATGTTTGTTTATCTGTTAAAAAAAAAATTGAAGGTTTTTAAATTTAATATCCTATATTGGAGACACGTTTTAGATAAGAAAGTTATAATCTTAAGTTTGAGTCATAAAATGTAGCAACAACTAATTCAGTAATAAAAATAATTTTGCTGAAGTAAAACCGTAAATTTTAGAAATATTTATTGAAAAAAAAAAATCACAAAAAATGGAGAAAAAAAATTATAAATGCATCATAGGGGTGAATGACTTTTTGATTATGGAAGTATCTTATGCATTAGATTAGAACGAAGGACAAGGTCTCTCAGTGAATGTTTCTTTGCCCTGATGAGATAACTGGAATAGAATGTTTCTTTTTTTTCTATACTTTTAACTTTTTCTCAACTAATGATGTAATTTTAAAATTATTTCAAAAGATTATAATTCTATTTCTATTTATTTTAATATATTTTAATTTTTTTTTATCATAAATAAATCAACTAAATAAATATATAAATCAAGTAAAAATAATTTGGCAGTTATTATTTTATAATGATAAAAAATACTTTGTTTTAATTTTTCCTCATAAGTAAAGGGAAATACACCTAAGAAATCCATTAAAAAAAAAAAAAATTACTAATACTTGATTATTGAGAATATTACGCAAATTAGAAAAAAAACAAATCAAGAAACATAAATTATTTTTTTTTCTATCAATCAAATGGAGAATACAAAATATTTCAATATTAATTTTCTGCTATACTTTGTTTTTTTTTTGTAAGATTAAATAAAGTTTATATCATTTTTTTTCACACTAATCACAATTTAATTATTTGAATAAATCATAATAATTTAAGACGTTATAATTATATTTACTAAGACGTAGAAAAAAAAAATTAATTATTATTTAAATAATTCAGATTTAAAAAGTAATCAAATAAAAATTTTCCTTCCTCGCAATATTTATGAGTTATTAAGGAAATTATTTGAAACTTCTAGCGAAATTCAATAAAACATATACGTATATATATATATATAGAAATGTCAGGACTTTTGTCAACCGGAAAGAATTGTTATACTGGTTTAGAGAAAATTACAGTAAAACGAACGGAAATAATTGTAAGAACAAATGATAAATTATAGAGTGTCACGATATCTTGATGTAGTAAATGTGACTGAACTTCAACTACATTGTTTTTTTTATGTTATAGTTATAATTACAAAAAAAAAAAAGATCAAGTTATTTTTTAATTAGTATTAAATTTTCAGATTCCATTATTTTCTATTTAAATTTGAATATTACAAAACAATAATGTAATAATTGAAATATTGAGGGCTCCGAAATATTGGACAAAACGATTCCATGTAAAAGCTTCTTTTTAAAAAAATATGCTTCCAAATTCTATTCAAGATTTCGAAGAATATGAATCTCATTGTAAAAGATTTTAAAGCATATATTTTTGAGAAATTTCAAAAGAATTGTAATTTTAGAAGAAGAATTACGATTTTGAAAAATAAAAATAGTTTTGACAAATACTGCGTCTTTATAAAAGGGATAATTGAAGAAAATTTTTGTTTTCCTTATTCCTCATTATTTCTATTTTTTTTATTTTTTTAAATAAACATAATCATAGATAATGGATTTCATAAATATTCATCCCATCAAATGTGACAGATATCTGTCAAGTTTCAAATTGCAAAACAGAAGAGAATTAACAAATGACTGAATCATAATTATGTTCTTAAATATTTAAATAAAACATCTGTCATTTTATTTTGTTTGTTCTTCCAATAAGTGCAAATTTTATGAATACACACTTGAAGTGAAAATTAGAAATTTCACTCTTATTGAAAAGTGAAACAATTTTTAATATTTACTAATACCAATTTCGCTTTGAAAAAAAAAATTTTAATTTTCTTTTATAATAAAAAGATAATAATAATTCTAGGAAAAAAAATAAATTTCTTAAAAACGAATTTATAGAATAGAGGGGAAAATAAAAAAAAAAGAGAAGGTTTAATTGAAAGAATAAAAAGGTATATCGGCTTTAAGTCAATCTTTGCGGATATAAACCTACAAAGTAATTCTTCTCATTTGGTGTGGAAAAAGGAAGCAAGATTTTATCGATTTTGCATAGGGAACATCAACTATTTTCCTAGATATAAAGGAGAAATTCCTAAAAAAGAAAAAAAAAAAGAAGAAACAGTAAATTGTATGAGAGATAAAACATGAAATAAATGATTTTCATCTCATTTTTTTTCACCCACAATCTTCTCAACGTTACAGTTTTCCACACCTTCCCTATTTTCTCTCTCTCCTCATTCTTCTCACTATAGTGTATTCAAAACCTACATATAGAAATGTTCATTGTTCATGTGCTTACACACCCTCTTTTTTTACACCCCACATCGATTCAACAGCGCCATGAGAAAAAGAAGGTATTTACCACCGTCGGTATGAATCGAAGTTGTGAATTCGAAACCCTAATACTGAATAAGCAGTGATGAAATTTTAAAGATGAAAACAGATGTATATGAAAAATTCACAATTTTCTCTTTTATTATTTTAAAAATTAAAATAACACAAAAAAGATATTGAATAAAAAAAATGTAAATAAATATAATTTAGTGATATGAAAATCTAGATTTTAAATGTAAACTTTTGTAACAATTTAATACATAAATTAAACGTCAATTTATTTATTTTTTTAATAACAAATATTTTCACAAATTTAAATCAGTTGTCACTTAAAAAAAAAAAAACATTTAAATTAATGACTCGCCAGTTTTAAAGTGTAGTAAACAATATTTTAATATAATTTAAATTACCATAAAAAATATAACTTCATTAGAAAAAATCTTTACTAATGATATACAAATGAGATAAAAAAAAAAAAATAATAAATAAATAAAAATAATGATGAACACAACCTGGAAAATGTTTCACTTATTTTTTTTTTCTCCAGACATAAAGTTAAGAAAAAATAAATTGACATAAACATTAATAGTCATTAGCTGTAGCTTTTAACAAATTATACTCATAGAATTTCCTATTTAAAGTTATGACTGCACATGCTGCAAAAGCAATATATATGTCGCAAGTTAAATTGAAAATTATTTTAAGAATTTTAGAAAATATCTGAAACTTCTAATTTAAATATTATTTTCAAAGAAATTTAATTATCAAACCAATAAATGTTTGAATTTGTTTCAAATTTCATCCGTTTAATGAACGCCAAATAAAATTGAACAATTATTAATTAAGAGTTGATAATCAAAAAATTAAAAATATTAAGTAAAAATTTATATAAAAATTTGTGAAATATTAATTAATTAAAATAATGAATATGATAAATGAGGGGCTGATAGTAAAAATGGTTTAAAATAACATTGGGAGCAAAAGTGGGATAAGTGACTTGGGAGCAAAAACGGGTTAAAATGATTCGTGTAATTTATTGATAAATTCATTATATTATCGATTAAAAAATATTAATTATAATAAAATATGCATTTTTTCCTATTGTTAATATTTTTTAATCGATAATATAATGAATTTATCAATAAATTAAACGAATCATTTTAACCCGTTTTTGCTCCCAAGTCACTTATCCCACTTTTGCTCCCAATGTTATTTTAAACCATTTTTACTATCAGCCCCTCAAATAATAGAAATTGATTCCAATAAATGTTCATGATATTCGTGGGTGTCAACAATGAACATTATGTCTCACCGCTAAAAATATTATTATAAAATAATACTCGAGTTAGAAAATCCTAATTCTTGACACTTAAAGAACAAGAAGATTTTATGACTTTCCAAATAAATTATAAATAGTAAAAAAAAATATAACATTTTTCAATTATATTTACTCCGAAAACCCCAAGGAATAAGGCCCCTATAAAACTGCAACAGGCCCTGCAAGATGGTAAAACGTACAATCTGCTTTAAGGAGGTATGCACAGATGCCGCATGTGACACAGATGAATATCGACGAGTTAATAAAATTATTGAATTAACCAAGGGATAACGACCATTGAGAATGTGAATAATGCCGGTGATTCACCTTTCTCAAAAAAATAACTTGCACTATTTCCAAGGAATTTCTTGCACGAGATGAAATGAAAGACGGGGAGAGTAAGCTCTCTAGCAGACAGATTTTTGTCTTTGATTATTGCACATTTGCCAAGGGAGGTGAAAAAAACTATTTGAAAATGTCGATTTCAAAATTAAGTAAAAAATTAAAAGATTAATTCATTATGTATAATAGTGATTAAATTTTAATTTTTTTATAATACATAAAGAAAAGAAATCAAGATGCAACGCGATCCAGCGCGGGACAAGCCTATCGTACGTAAAGCATAGGAGTATAGGCGCGGCTTGCAGTAAATTTAACGAAGTAAAAGGAAATTTTTCAACTTACCTTTTAACTTCAAATGGGCTTGAAGCTTCTATGACACTATCTTCGTCTCCAGACACTACAGACACAAGTGGTTTAACACATAAATAAAAACTATTCACGATTTTTCACGTCCCATCGCATGCCAGCCCGAGTCCGCCATCTTGGGGAAACTGCCCTTCACAACTTTTCAATTTTGTCACGTTGGTATCACTGAATTTTACAAGTTTGCGCTTGCGCACTAGTACCAGAAATCCTGGACTAACGTAATTGCGCATGCCTCATTGATGTTATCTCATTGGTTGAAATATCGCGCGCATATTTAAAATGTTTTTAAATAAAATATTTTTTTTTAATAATAAAAGCACTTTTTCCATTGAAAAAAATACAATTAATTTTTTATTTAAACATTTCTTTTTAATTAAACCATTTCTATTAAACGATTGTTACTTTAGCTAATGAGATAATATTCGACCTGCTACTCTGAAATCTAACCTAACGTGGCGTAACCTAACCTTCTTTTTTAATAACATCAGAAATTAGTTTTGTGTTCAGTTTTTGGTTAAAAAACATTAGGAATAACATTTGGATGACCTCAAAATTTGCCCTAATATCAAAAAATTTAACACCTATAATCCACTTTAAAACTTGAAGATGTGGAAATATGTGACTCGTGGAATTCGGGAAACATTAGAACGTCGTGCAAATCGTCGAACAAATCTTTATTCACAAAATTCACAAGAAAATTCAGTCAAATGTGAAATTAAAACAAATTTAGTTTCTAATCAAAAGTTATTAGCACCAACTTTTTCTACATTCAATAATGGATTTTGTGATTCCACAAAGTCCACTGGTGCTAAGGATAAAAAAGAAGATTCCAAATGGGATGCTAAACACAATTGGACGGATGCTGTCGGTTGGGTATGTGTATAAATATTGCAAATAATTATTTAAAAAAAAAAAAAAATAGTTTATAAAAAATGTTTGTTTTTCTACAGACAGGAGTCCTGGCAGTAAGTTGGGTTGTATGTCAATCTTTGTGTTTGCGAAGGAGGTTTTTTGAAGATCAACGTCACGAGACAAATGCAACATTTCAAAATAAACTATTGCACTTACCAGAAGTGCATCTCAAACGCTTGCTGGCTCAAGTGTTATGTTTGAAGCCCCAATTTATTTTTCCAGTTGTTCATGCTGTTTCGGATGTCAAAAAAGTTGACGCCGCTACAGAAACAGACTGTACTTCATCACAATCAAATGGACCGCTCACTGCTGAAGAGGTGAGTTTGAAGTTTGACTAAATTTTTTTTTTCACTGTTTAATTCTTAATTGAATATTTATAATAAGAATTTTTGGTAATTTTTCAATTTATTTTGAAATAGGCTTTAAAAGAAGCGGAAAGTAAATTTTCATTCGCCCATCAGCTTTATTTGGGACAATGCGAATTAAATTTAGGTATAACAGCATTAAAAGATGAACGTTATGAAGATGCCTTGAAAAATTTTTCAACTGGAGCGAAATTATTTTCACCAGCCAGTATATTTAATTTGGGATTGTGTCACGAATTAGGATTTGGCACAAAAGTTGACGATATTAAGGTAAAATAATTAAATAATAACTGTTTATATTAGTAGAAGACGAAAAAATAAAAATAATTTTCAATAATTCTAGGCAGCAAAATACTATGATAGAGCGGCAGAAATGGGACATGCAGGAGCAATGTATAATTTAGCAATTTTCCACGCACAAGGAAGAGGTAATTTTTCCGTGGACATTAATAAAGCACGAACTTTATTTAAAAGGGCAGCCGATTTAGGCCAAGAAAAAGCTAAAGAAGCTCTTATGATTGATGAAAAATATACAATTGAATCAACAGCGAGAAAAAACGAGTCAATACTCATCAAAAAGAAATCTTCTATGAAGAATGTTCTAAAAAATACTATTTTTAATATGGCAAAATATGAAGACGTATTTATTTCAAAATCAAATAAAAAATCCGATTCTTATTTTATCGATAAAGAAATAGACAATCAAAATTCGACAGAAGCATTTTTAAATATCCTCGGAATAAATGAAACACCATTACAACCAATTGCTAATTCTTGTTAATTGTTTTTCTATTTTAATTAAATATTTTTTATTCTAGTAAGCAGGATACTGCATGCGTCTATAAAGTTGCCATATTAAAAAAAAAGATAATTGTAAAGTAACTCAACTACAGTAGAAAAACGACATGATTTTTGAATCTGTATAAAAAAATAGTCTTGTAAATTATAATAATTGTTAAAGACTGACGACCTTATTAAAAAAATCATGAACATAATTCGATAGTCATCGAAGAAAAACTTATAGTTTTTTTTTTAAAACGATGACTAAAGTACTTAACAAAAATTACTACTTTTCAGGATCTCATTAAGTCTCTATTATTATTTGTTGTAGATAATTCATCATTTGAATTTAAATAATTGGCATGTAAATTTTACTGACTATATTTAAAAAAAAAAAATTATCAACATTCATTTTAATTATTTTATATTTCGGTTAAAAATTACATTTAGCCTCTTTTACAATTTTCATTCAAAATATGTACAACAATGTATATTTGAAAAGCAGTTTATATCTAAGGACTAAGATTGTCTCAAAGATAATCAAATTTTCTTTATTTTAGAAAACATTCGAAAAATATTCGTTAATTCTATTTTTATAAAAAATGGTTTTAATTTTTTTTTTTTTGGAAAATTATATATTAAGAAAAATATATTATAAAAAAATGTATATTTTACGAATGATTTCGTATTTTTTTGTTTTTTTAAAATCGATAAAAACTAAAGTCAACGAAACTTGACCATAGATTGTTACCTGTGATTTTTCTTCTTAATTATCGAAATCTGTAAAATATCCGTGTATACAGTAATAAAAACCGTAATTTAAAAAGAAACTAGTTTCCTTATTTAACTTTTTACTATTTTATTTTAAAATAAAGGAGAACAAGATTTTTTAAGAACATTATAAAAATCTTGTTTTTTCTTGTAGAGAAAAAAGTTAGTATAAAAATATTTTGGTAAAGGCAATTTTTTGTTTGTACTTTTTTGTTACCAATGAGCGTTTCTTTTATGTACGGTTTGTTTTATAAAATCAACATGATTGGCGTAAAGGATCATTTTTCTGTCAACATCCATCCATCTTACATTACCGGCATCATCGCCGGCTTTTAGATTTATTTCACCAACAGTGCTACCGTCTTCGTCGTGAAAATTTAAGGCCATTGTCTCCATCCAGGCGTTATCTGTATTACGTGGATCATCCACGTATCCTTGATAAACTTCATCGCCACGATCAAAAAATTTCTTCAAAGCACTTTCCAATTCCTCTCGTTCCTCTGGTGTTTTGTCAAGTGCATCAAGTGCTTCTTCCATAAATTCACGCTTTAAAGTTTGTGAGATTTTTTCTCCCGGATCAACCATTCCTCCTGGAATTGCCCATTCTTTCGAATCTTTTCTTTCTATCGCAACAAATTGAAGTATCGGTTTCTCCGATTTTCTGTCAATTTCCATTGCACCCGTGCCATTTCGTTTCCAACGAGTGACAATTGGATCGGCTGCATGATTTGGTCCCCAACGTCCCAAAAGTCCCCGTCCAATTATACCAGTTCTTCCAATTGGATTTTGAGGCAGTCCATTCTCATTTATTTCGTAATCTTTCACATAACTCTTTCGATTCACATTACCTGTAGAATAAACAAATTTTTTAATTAAATTTAATTTTTTTATTAATAAATTATTTTGAATAAAAAAAAATTGAAAAATTGATTCAGAATATTGTATCCGTAATAAGAAAGATAAGAAGTGATACAGAATACAAGAAAAATAAATATATGACGCAGATAGATATAAAAGAACAAAAAAAAAAAAAAAAAAAAGAAACTAACCATCTTCCATATTCCATTTTGGATCAAATGAAGGATCATTTATATTCGGATCAGCCCAAGGTTTTCCTGTCAATACTGGTGAATTGTATTCGTTTGGTTGATATTCCAAAAATTTCACATTCCATGATACTTTATCCTCCGGAACTTCAAATCTTAAAATGTTACTCGAAGGATAAAGTCCATTAATACACTTGTGATGAATCATTTTTGTCACTCCACTTATCATGTAAAAACTGTAAAAATTCTTTGGTGATCTTATCTCTTTTTGAAATAGATCACGAAAACTATCTGATGCACAACAATGGCAGGAATGTAAAACAATGACGAATGTAAACAAAAAGTAAAACATTCGATTTTCAATATTCTTGTCCAACACAAAAAAATCTAAATCTTTACTAACTTTTATAAACTCATTAGACAATCAAGAATAGTCAATTAGCTTGACTGCAAACAATATTTTATGGGTTGGGTCAGTATAAATTTAGCCTTGACAACCGCAAGCAACAAAAACACTTGTCGATTTCACAAGATAGGTTATGTTTAAACTTGATAATTTTCTACCAATTGTAAACAATTTACAGGAGAACATTAAATGATCTGCCTATGAGAGTACGTGATTTCCAATGTTTAACACAACAAACATGAATATACAATTAAGATATTTTTAGTTTGTATTTTTTGTATTTTATGTAAACATTGTTATGTAAACATTGTAAACAGTGATACCAATCATAATTTTTCATTTGTAGGTTGGTAAACCTGTAGGTTTTAAATTTGAAAGTCTCTAATAAAATGTTTCCATTTGAAAAAAATTCACTTTCAATATTTGGAAATTTTTAACTTTCTTAATCAATAATGGTTAATAATTATTTAAATTTTCAAAATTTCGAATTTTATCATTCAGAAAATTTGTTTGTTATTCAAAAAATAACCAAAATTATATTTGTAAAAAACATTCTTCTTAAAAAACAAAAAAAAAATCCTTTTGGTTTTCAATTAAAAAAATTTATAAAAATTAATTTTTTTCCACTCACCCTATTTAGTATCTTCTTAATATGCAGATTGTGAATTCCAGTTTTTAATTTGGGAATCGATTCCATCCATTTACTTGAATTTTTCTTTATCCACAGAAGCCAGGCCAGTTTTTTTTTCCTCTTCATTCTGTCATTAATCAAATGTCATTAGTATATTTTAAAAATTATAAAAGATTATTATACCTATAAATTTTGTAGGTATATTTTCATTACGTCATAATTACCTGTTTGGTTTCAAAAAAAAAAAAAATTCTGAGCGAATGATGATTTTTTTTTCTTCTCATTTTATGCATGAGATTTTTTTATTATTTGGTCCTGAAACATAGCTGTTTGATGAAGCGAATCTCCTTCAAAGAAAATAATAATTCTCAATGGAAGTTCAGCTTCTTTTGTGCGGGTGAATGTTCTACAAGGAAAGGTCGATTCCTACATTATGAGAAACCTGAGAAGCTCATCAACACTGGCGTAAGATTTTTATCCCAAAAAAAAACAAATAATTATGTTTCTTCAAGTCCAAGAATCTAAAAATTCAAAATGATTTATTAATAAACAAAAATTATAATTATAATTTTAATAAAATTAAATTTAAATATAGAAAAAATTTGTTTATTCAACGATAGAACAAATTAAAACAATTTTTTATCATTCTAATAAAAAGAAATATTAAAAAAAATTTTAATTACAGTTTGAAATGATTTCGAATTCAGTGCGTAACAGTTTCTTTATGAAATCCATTCCAAAGTATTTTTAAAATCAATTTTAAATGAGAAATATGTAAATCCTTCAACTTTTTAATTATGAAATCAGCATATTTTTATTTTATTGAATCTGGAACAAAAATACAGTGATACGAGTTAAAAAAGCATATAAAACTTATAAATAGGGTAAAAATTTATCACACTTTTTTATTACCAGTATACTTTTTTACACACATCTTAACAAAGAATAATTTTAATATTTTTTTTTTAAAATTTTTGTTGCTCAATTTTTTTTTGTACTATTAAAAAAGGTATAAATCTTAAATCACATAGAAGATGATACAAAATTGTTACGCCTATGGTTTGTTGTCTAGCATCATCATCAGCATCATCCTACCTGACTTGACATGATATTAATCTCGATGATTTAAGTCACATGACGACACTTATTATTTAATAAAAACACCGATGATGATTTAAAAGGTTAAATAAACCTGAGGGCTGTTTACTTTAATCAATTTAATTTATAGAAAGCAAATGTCATTTCATTTAACTATTTATTCATTTTTTTATTCAAAAGTAATTTATGTCATATCAACAAACTTTGAATGTTAATAAATAAATGGGAAATCTTACAAAAATTAAATTACAAAATTTTTTTTTTTTTTTAAAAGTTCAACCAACAGAAGTTTTATTTTTAATTAATTAAAAAATTAATTATTTATTTTTTAAAATGTCTTTTTTCTCTTGGCGCATGATGTTATACCCGGAACCGGATTCTATATCTCATCTTCGAAGGAAAAGAAGTCGTATAATTATTCGTTTGCCGCTAATAATTCAATTGTCCTCTGTACAATCCCGTATCTATCTAAAGATGTGCAAACTCCACAGTTTACAGTCATTAGACATAATTTTAATACCGAATATTTAATTGATTCTCATAATGACTAATTAATACTCTTTAGATCTCATTATCCCTTGTTAGTTGAGAAAAATTCAAAACTTTTCATCCAAAAACATCAAAGTACAAATTAAAAAATTTTCTTTTTAATTGATAAAATGAAATAATAATTCTATAGGTTATAATAAAATTAAAATCACAATTTTATAAGAAAAATTGTATAATAAAAATTTCATTAAAATAATATAAATTGAAAATGTTTCGCAACTTTCTTTGAAATTATTTTTAATTTAGCGCATGTAAATAATTAGGGAAAGAAAAACAAAGATTATATATAAATAGATGAAGGACAAAAGTTCAAAAATTTAATACGTGGATATGAAAAAATTATCTTATGCGTTTTAAAAAACAATAAAGAATAAAAAATTGAAGAATAAAAAAAATAACAGGTAGCTAAATATTTTATTCATGACGAAATAACATCGCCCACGAGGATGAGGGTATGACACGTAATCCTCGTGACTGTAATAGATTTCTATATAAAAGAGATTAAAAAAACTCAATATAAAAAATAAAAATAACTTTATATAGCTAATAAACATGAAAGAAAAAAAAAAGTTTCAATATTTAAATTGAACTCATTTTATAAAATTAGAATATTTTATTTAAACTAAATTATCAATAATTATCAAAAGAAAATGTTTCCGAATATTTCAATTTAAAAAATAAAAAATTTCAACATTAAAAAAAAAATGAAAATATTAATTAATTTGCTTTTCTTTATGAATAAAATGAGAAGAAAAACTCCTTGTACGTATAAAAGAGTGAGGTTCGTTCGCGTGAAATTTGCACACTTAAAGACCATGACCCACCTCGAAGATCATGCTCGAGCTATTCGTATACAATTCAACATGCATAATTCAACACTTTTTCCTAAGAAAAACAATGCAATAGACAATTTGACAAAACTATATCTTATGAAAGTCGATCACGTTTTTTTTTATAAACTTAATTATTTTTCTTTTCTGCGTAAAAGTAATTATTTCTCAATTGTATAAATTATATCAAATTTTAGAAAAATTTATGTAAAAAATATTATTAATGACGATTAAAATTATTCATTAATAATAATAATATTAAATTTTTATTATTACCTTAAGGGCATTTCCGTCAGTTCTCCTTTTTTTTTTATTTATTATTGCATCACTGATTCTTTATGCGCTGTCATTTCTTTTAATTTAAAAGTCACCAAGAGTTCGAAACATCTGAAATACATTTAAAATCTGTAAATTAAAACGCTTCAAGTTTTTTTTTTTTTTACTTTCTATTTATTGTCAATTAACTTAAACTACATAATTAAAAATTGAATCGGAATTTAAATTAAATTTCAAAAATCTCTATCAAAATAATTATAGGTCAAAACTATTTTCCAAATTCTTTATTATTAAAATAATTTTTAAATAAAATAAATTTAATTTAAAATAAACTTTTATTATTAGTGTGTTTATTTTAGTATTATACTATGTAAAAGAAACTTTCTTTTACATAATGTAATTAAAATTAGAGAACTTGAAATTTAAAAAAGGAAGTTAGTTATATGAAAAAAATATATTGAATAATTATGAATTTCTTAATTTTTTAAAAAAAATTATTGTTTTAAACAAATTTTAATCTTACCTTTTTTTAATATGAATTTTAAATATTCTTTCTTCAAATGTGTTAATGTATATTTTTTTTAATTAATCCTTTCAATAAAGATTTATAAAGAACTGAACAAAAATCTCTCTTCAATTATACTAAACATTAAAGATTTAACTGTTCAGAAGAAATCACTTTCGTTTGTAGATATCATGATTCTATTTTCTCTTTTACTTTTTTGTTCAATGTCAACATATATACGTAGTTACTTTTTTTTCTTCTAAAATCTGTAACAAAACAATAATATTGTTTTAATGTCGTTCATTCAACTTTCAAAATTATACAAATACAAAGTTATGAAATTTTAATAAATATTTCAATATTTCCGGGAAAAAAATGTAGAATTTTTTTATAAAAAATTCTTAACATTAGAAAATTATTTTTTTATATTTAATTTAATGTTAAAAAATATTGTAAAATAAAATATATATAATATTGTCAGTTAAAAAAATGGATAATCAAATGAAATATCAAAAATTATATATTTACTTATATATCTAAAATACTTTTGTATGTACAATCACAGGATGTATATACACGATATTTAATACAAACAGATAACCATTCTGACTAGAGGGTCATTGTGACTACATTTAGTTGTAACTTGGACAGCGTTCAACATCTTCTGATAATGATGAAGTGTTCATTTCTATTACTAGTTTTTCTCTTTCATTTTTCGCAAATTGTCAGTATTAGATTATCAATTTTTTCACATTCACAACTTTCATCGAAACCCACAAAAAGAATTTCCCCACAATATCAGTATAAAATTCAATATTTTGAATCACGGGTAAGTTATTAAAAATATTTTTAAAAAATTTTGTAAGTTTGATTTGTTATTTACTATTTTTTTTTCTTCTAATTTCATACAATATTTATCTATTTTTGAATAATAAATATTATTAGTGTTAATTTTATTGTAAAATTAATTTTCATTAAATTATCCATTTACTTAAAAACAAAGGTGGACCACTTCAGTTTTTCATTGAATAATACATTTAAATTAAGATATCTCATTAATGACACTTGGCAAAAAGGCAATGATGCACCAATTTTCTTTTATACCGGAAATGAAGGTTTTATTGAAGTTTTCGCGGAAAATACGGTAAATATTATTTTTTTCGATGTAAAAATTTTACAATTAAAAAATGAAATTAAACTTTAAATAAAATAATAATGAAAATAAAAATTCCGAATAGGGTTTTATGTGGGATATAGCACCGAAATTTGGAGCACTTTTGATATTTGCGGAACATCGATTTTATGGTGAATCAATGCCATTTGGAAATAAATCCTTTTCGGAGCCAAAATATCTCGGATATTTGACATCAGAACAGGCATTAGCCGACTATGTGGATTTAATAGGATTTCTAAAATCACAACCAGGCAATAAAAACAGTCCTGTTATTGTATTTGGAGGATCATATGGCGGAATGCTCAGCGCTTGGATGCGCATGAAGTATCCTCACATTGTTCAAGGGTTCGAAGATAAAATACTTTCAAATTATTATAATATTTTTAAAAACATATTACAACTTTCGTTAATTTGTTTAATAATTCATTTTAAAAAAACTGATTTTAAGTAAATAAATTAATTTATAAACTAATATTTATTGAAGAGAAGTTAATTTTATTTTTTTTTGCAGAGCAATTGCTGCTTCGGCACCAATTTTACAATTTACAGGACACACCGAGTGTGAAGCGTTTTCGCGAATAGTTACGTCAGATTTTCGAGCTGCAAATCCCACTTGTTCTAAACTTATTCGTAAATCTTGGTCAGCTATATCAAATATTACTGCAAGTGGTAAGATTCTTTTTTTTTAATATTTCAAATAATTTAGAAATCAAAATTATTATCAGATTGAAATTTCATGGTTCATATTTAGCCGAAGGACTGAAATGGTTATCGGAAATTTGGAAACTTTGCGAACCATTAACGAATTTAACGCAAGTTGTCAATTTAAAAAACTGGTTGATCGATGTTTATGGAAATTTGGCAATGGTCAATTATCCATATGAAACAAATTTTCTTGCACCTCTTCCGGCAAATCCAATATTCGTGAGTGACATTATTCATATATAAAAAATTTTGAATTCTTTTTTTATTAATTTGTTCTTTAAATAAAAAGAGTTAATTTAGTAAAAATTATTATCTAAGTTAACTGTATTAGATATATAAATATAAATACAGTTAATATAAATAAATTAGCGTTAATTGTGATAATAATCAAAATATTCTTTTTTAGGAAGTGTGTAAATACCTTGAAGATGGTAATCTTTCGGGAAAGCCACTGTTACTTTCCTTATTCAAAGCGCTAAGTGTTTATACAAATAGTACTGGAGAAACCAAATGCAATCGTATTGATGATGCCTCACCGCAATTAGGTGCATCGGGTTGGAATTTTCAAGCCTGCACTGAAATGGTAATGCCAATGTGTTCCGATGGCATTAATGACATGTTTGAGCCAACCCCCTGGAATATCAAAGAATATAGTGATGATTGTTATAAAAACTTTCAAGTCAGGCCACAACCTAACATGGCATGCAATGAATATGGCTGTTCTCACCTTTCAGCGGCCACAAACATCGTATTCAGGTAAACAATCATTTTCCATGATCACTTCTTTTTTTTCTTAATTTCATTCTGACTTTATAAAAAATGATTTAAAAATTCTTTTTCACAGTAATGGTTTACTTGATCCATGGTCCAGTGGTGGGGTACTCAGTAATATTTCATCTTCCACACTTGCTATTATAATTCCTGAAGGTGCTCATCATTTAGATTTGAGAGGCAAAAATCCAAAAGATCCTATTAGCGTTATAGAAGCACGAAAAGTCGAGAGATATTCTATTCAGGCTTGGATTACTGAATATCATAAGAAAAATCACAAGACCAATCTGTGGACGAAATAATAAAATCAGTAAAACCTTATAAATTTTTTACTAGTGAATAATTTGAAATGGAAATATATTTGAAATTTTTTTTATAATACATTTGTAAATACTAAATACAAAACATTTAACATAAAAACACGTTTTTTTTCTATATTCATAGTTTCATCTCTAATTTTATAGAAAAATTTTAATGAGTTGATGTAAAATCTTTATTTTACGACTTATTTTTTATTTTTTTTTTTGATATAAAATGATGAACTGATTGAGCAATTCTCAAAGTTAATTATTAAACAGTTCTGCATAATTTTAAGTTTTGTATTATTTTTTTATTCCTCATTATTTCCATTTCCTTTGCTGACAATTTCCTTATAAACGCTTTGACTTATCACATTCATTAGATATTAAACGGACGTCGAACAATTGATACTTTAATGAAATTGTAGAGTTATTAACATTGTTGCGAAAGAAGAAATTTATTTCACTTTGTTAATCAATATCAAAACAAAAAAAAAACGAATATATGAATCGGAAATATATTTATTGAATTTTTTAATTAAATTTCTTTTTGGTTTAAAACTTTTTTAATTAAAAATTTAGAAAATATTAATTTCATAAATTTTTAAATAAAAATTTTTTTAAAAAAATTACTGAAATGAACTTATTAAAAACGAAAAATATAAATTTATTTTTGATATTTTGAATAATAATAAAATAATACTTGCTTTTCCCAGTAAGAATCAATGGACATAAACTTCTCATTGTAAATGATTGCAGTGGAGTCATATAAGATAAATCCTACAAATTATCATCAATCGACGGAATATCATCCTGAGAGTCTGCAACAAACTGTCATTTACAATTAGATATATTAAATATCTGATTTTCCCAGTAATTAACAGAAATAAGCCATTCATAAAACTATAATTGTTAATAACAGAACAAGTCATATCTTACAGTTATCATTTATTTTATATTCATAATTTTAAATTAAATTACTAGCTTCTTACTTTTTCTACTCATAAAATTGATGGAAATATGAAAAAAAATCTTAATAAATAAAATAAGCATTTAAAATCAATTTTAAAATATATTATAAAATGAACCGAATTTTCCCTTTTCTAATCAATATCATTCATTGAAAAATTTATTCCGAAGGAAATGTGTCGATTAAAGATAAAAAAAAAATTAAAATAAAACATGTCTAATTTTGTCTGTAACATTTTTAGATTTTAAATTAAATCCATAATTTTTAAATAATATTACTATCAATTTTTGAAAATGGAAAATAATGAAAACCGTTAAAAAACAAATTATAAAGCTTTTTTATTCGGTCTGCATTTGCATGTTTAAATAATTTTCTCCTAATCAAAGAAACTTTCTTAAAAATTTATTTTTGATGACTAAATGAAAAATGTGAATATTAATTATTTAATAAAAAAATGAAATTTAATAATAAAAATTTTTCAACACCCTGAGCACTCTTTCGATTTAAAATAGCTCTTATAGGAGTGAATCGCTAAGTCCGATAATTGTACCGTGGTAGAATAAGGTAATGCTGCCCGAGGTTGTTTGTGCCATCACATGATGGAACAAGGAAGGCCTCAGCTATCTCAACACTTTCACTGATAGTCCCGTGACTTGGTACCCTCCTCGCCCCTGGCCTCTTTACAGCCACTACACCATCCACCAGTTTGGCAGCAAACAGAAAATAAATTGTCCATCTCTCATTTACAATTTCTCTTTTTCATTTGAACCAATATTTTTTCAATTCATCACTTCGAATGGAATGAGGAAAATAGCAGTGATATGTATTTTCATTTTCAAGATCATGAACCACTAATAGAAGTGTCCTTTTATCAAAATCACAAATTCCCAATATTGTATAAATAAACTTAAAAACTTTCTTTTCTGCAAGAAATATTTGCAAACTTAACTTTGAAAAAAGTAAATTATCGATACATTTTTAAATAATAAAACGTTTTTTTCCCAGTCTTTAATTAAAAAATAATTTCTAAACCTATAATTAAATCCCTACTGTTATTTTAATTATAATTTAAATTTTTTTCTCCAAAAGACGTAGCTAAAAAAAATTGTAAGAGCTTTTAAAAAAACAATTTTGTTTTCCCAACATTAAAATAAAGGATCTTGATTCAAGTAGAAAAAGTTGTTAATTCAAACTATAAATAAAAAGAAAAAATACTTACGTCCGACTACAAAAGTCTGTAACCACTTGCCTTTTGAATCGGAGCTTGGCCATTGAATCGGTAACAGTTCAAATTATAATAAATTGCAACCGTTTTCTAATTGCGCTTAATATTCTTTGTAAAAGGTGCCATTAACTATTGCGAAACCTGAAAAAGGAGAAAAGAATGTTAATTTCAAGAATTTGTTTATCAACTATATTTTGTTTAACCACAAAGAAAACAAGATATTTTTTTTTTTATTTCCAAATAAACAAAAAGTTTTCGGCTCTTTTTTAATATATGAGAAATATAATAATCTCGAAAAATTAACTATCAATGAATTTGAAATTTTCTCTTCCGGCATTTGGATGAAGAAAGTATTTTTTTTCTACTTCATATAACATAATGAAGGCGGATATTTTGTGATGATTAATAGGAATTCCGAATCAATAACATGTTAACTAGCCGCAAACGATGTTAATTATCTAATTTGCAAGTTATGATTATAGAAATAAATTACTTTTTTTAAAATAAACTCAAATAAACAACACGCAATCAATTTTAATATAAAATGACAATTTGGATATGAAAATCAGTAAAAAATTGTCATGATGTAAGGATAAAATGGGTTCACATTTAAATTTGGTATTTTCGAAAAGAGAAGTGTTTTCCCACGTTGCAAAATGTTAAGCAAAATAATGGGTTACACAAAAGATAGTGGGACAAAGTATCTTTGAAAGGAGGAAGTCAGAGAGATGAGAATATTTACAGACTCACACTCTCGAATTTGACGAAGAGTGGAATCCACGTGATTCAAACTGATTATTGTTCTTTTTCTTTTTTGCTTTGATTCGAATTTATATATATTCGATTTATAAACAATATTACATGAGAACATTTTGCGTAACAGAAAATTTACTTTTCTCTCTCGTCAATGGAATCTCCGATAACCTTTCACTGGTTATTGTCGATGTTACGGATGAATAATTAAATTTATTATTATTACTTTTATTATTAATTATTTAATATTTATTATAATTTGACAAAAAAAAAAGGATTTTAAAAAAAAGGAAAATAGTTTTAATTTACCTATTTTAGTGTTATAATCGTGAAGAAAATTAATTAATTAATTATGTACTTATTTAAATATATATTTTATTGTCTGTGAACGTTATGTCTGATGATATTTAAGTTTTACTTTGTGCAAAATTGTTGGTAAGTTCTGTTGAGTCATCGTGTTATTTCAGTTTGTAATTTAAAGTCTCGAATGCAACAAAATGCTTTCTTTCTCTTGCACGTGCTCTGTGGCTCTTCCTTCTTTTATAAGTATTGGTATACTAACAGTAAAAAAAAATATCGATACATACAAACTAGTTGGTGATTAATTTTGACTTAATAGAAATTTATAGCTGAAAGTAAAACCACTATTCAAAATGTTAAACATTCAGTTATAAACAAAAGTTCAATATTCAAATAAGAAAGAAATCAATTTTTTAAATTAATAAAGAAATTAAAATAAATATTTTTTTATTTCATTAATATTTAAATGAAATAAAATATATTTAATAAAGTAATTTTAAAATTATGTAATTTTTAATTATCAATAGTATTTAAAATAAATTTTACTTTTTTGATAGAAAAGAAAAGTAAACAAACAACTGAAACGTGAGGAACGAATGACGGAAAATGGCGTTAAATTCCGAAATATATTATTTCATCAAGTATATAGGATTGGTAAAATCCCCATTGGAAAGCAGATTTCATTCTCTCCTTAGGAGCTTCTTTAATGGAGGGGTCAAGGTCGGGATGACGAGGTCGATCTTCGCGTTACCTTCTCGCAAATCAACGACAGTCGTCCCAGTTTTGTCTTCTACATTATCTTCACGAAGGGATTGTCAATTTTTTTTTTTAATATTATTATTCATAAAGAAATTTTTATTAAAATCAAAATTGTATTTTTACACCCTCACTTTCTCTTTGAATAATAGAAATAGAAAATAAAACAATTTTTTTTACTATACTTTGTTTTTTAAAAATATTTTTAAATTAAATTTTTAATAAAATGAATAATTTTCTAAAAACTGAGTGGGAATTTTTTATGTCTTAAATGACATCACAATTTCCCCTCAGAAAAAAAAAAACATGAATTGTGTTATAAAAACAGGTATAGATATAGAGGGTAGGATTCCAGAATTGGTTGAAAATTTATTCTGTGAATCAGGAGTCACATGATGTTTTGCATAACCTTTTACACAAGCACAGCCGGATGCTAACAAAACGAAAGGAGTAAAAAAAAAAAATTGGAGGAGGCTATATTCGTCAAAGGGAGAGAAATAAAGGAATAAAGAAAGATTCTGAGAAAGACAGAAACATTGAGACAATCAAGAGAGAGGGAAGATTTTCTGTTGGTGATTAGTAAATGGACTCAGAATCACATGACTCTTGGATACGATCTTGCACATACAACCACCTGGGGGTGGGAGCGAGCGAGAGGGGACCTTAAAAAGAGAGTGGGGTCTCTTTTAACCATAGGAGAAGGTGCAGTACGGTAAATACGAGAACCATCGTCTCGTACAGCACACAAGTAACCGGTCTCTCTCTCTCTTCCTTCCGCAGTTTGTTACAGATTTGTGTACTCTTCTTTTCATTTACTTTTTTTAGTGTAAAATTCTATTTTTTTTTTTTTAATGATTAAAAATTAACTATTCTCACCTAAATTGATATTTCTTTTTCCTTAATTATTCATTTCATTTTTCTCGATGATTGAATCTTCCTTTGGATTTTTTATTATCTCGAAAGAACGTCCGTTGTTGAGGATCGTTTAATTTTTTTTTCCCCCCCGGAACGGATTCTCTTGTCCACCATCTGGGAATTTTATCCTCTCGATTTCACTCAGCAAAGAGGGAGAGAGGAGAACTTCTCGAAAAGAGAGTCTTTAGACACAGGTGCGTGACGATCTTTGGCGGTTGTGGATTAATTGGACTCGATGTCGTTGTCCACGAGGCACGATAGGTGTGTACATAGTGCTTAGAAGTTCGGAAGAAACAGCGGTATTAATTTCGATACACCAAATCAGTGAGGCAGGGTTCATTGAGAATGAAGAGGATCGCGATCCTTCAGTAAGTCTTCTTCTTCTTCTTCTTTTCATTTCAGGAACCTAAAACATAATAATATTATTAAATTACAAAAAATTTTAATTCAATTTTATTTGAAAATTTCTCAAAATTCCAAATAATTAAAAAAAAAATCAAAATTTTGATTTTCAGAATTTCTCATTTTAAATATATTGGTAAATTTACATTTGTATTTTAATAGAAAAATTATTGAAAAAATGACTGTCCTTAATAAAAGTCTAATGGAAGTCCTTCCTGAGAAAAGTCAAGGAGCTAATCATGAATCCTCTTGAAAATGAGAGCTTAAAAAAAATCAGTAGCTATATACACTGTCATTGACAGATTACGCACACTTGACTTTTCTCTCGCTCACGAGTGTAATATTCCTAATCCTGATCAGTGACCCAGTGACATAAATTCTGTTCAACATGAACTTAAAATGTTATTATCTGGAAACAATTAAAACTTCAAGATTTACTCTAAATTGCATATCAAGATTGATTCATATAAAGTTCAATTTCTTCAACTTGAAAATTTCTTCAATTACGAAAATTAAATTAATTTCTTAAGAAAAATTAATTCAATTTTCGTAATTGAAGAAATTTTCTCAGAAAACACAAAATTTGAATCATTAGAATATTGAAATAAACTAATTTATTTTTCCCTTTCTTAATTAAAGACATAGAATTTTTATTAATGAGAATTTCGGTTTTTCGAGAAAGTAAATTAAAAAAAAAATGCTTTCTATTTCTAAAAAAAAAGTGAAAAAAATTCAAAAAAGATGCTCGTTTTTGCAGTCGCGTAGAGTCACAAGAGAAATTATTATCGGAACGTAAGAAAGGCTCAACGATCAGCTCAAAGTAGTATTATATACAAGAGTCTTCGTGGTGAAATCTCTTGAGTTGGATAACTCGACCGGGGTCGTATACAAGAATTGCCTCACGCGTTTTTTGGAAGTTAAAAAATTTCAAAATTAAAATTTTCATACGAAATTCAAATAATTTTTATTCGACAATTTGTTAGTTTGTCAAAAAACATATCAACATCTAATCCAACAATTATTTTTATCTATTCTTCTTTTACTTTTTTTTTTTTATTTAAATGAATAATAAGAAAACTAAAAAAAAAAATAAGCAAAGATGAATGAAATACGGTGTTTAAAAATAATTCGGTATTAATGAAAACAATTTGTAATTGAATTATTCATAAATTTGAAAAAAGTAAAATGTCGTTATACCTTGTGGAAGCATTAATATTAATAAATAATAGAATTGATATTAAAACCGGTTTTTGTACTTAATCTCGCGTTTTCGTTCATCTTTTTAACTTATGTTAATATCATCATATGAAAACAGCTTTCACTTCTTGATACGAGTTATTTGATTCGGGAGACATTTTATTATGTCAATTACGTTGACTGGCTTTTCTTTGTCCATCTGCCAAGAAGAGAACTTTATTAAGTTCTTCAATCACTATTCTATTCTATTCCATTCTATTTTATATAATTATCATACAAAAATATATACAATTAAAAAATCATTTATCTTTATCAAGAATATTTACTTTTCTCTTAAAATAATAAAAAAAAAATATTAGTGAAATTACTCTAAAATTTCTCCTACATTCAAATAAATTATTGTACAAATGCAATCATAATTTCTATTATATATTTTAATGTAGAATAAACTTCAATAAATAAAAATTAAATTCAATCTCATATTTATTTTCGAATAGAAAAATTATAAAAACTCCAAAGAAAATTCTGATGGAAATTTCCATCAATTTTTCTTTTTTTTGTTTTAATTATATAGAAAATTTCTATCAATTTTTTCTTTTTTTATTTTAATAATATAATTTTTTCTTCATTTCATTGAATAAAATCCGTTACTTATCTAATTTATTAGTTTAATAAGCGTCTGTTCAAAGTTTATTTTCATAATTTCAAAATAATATTGTTGTATGTTGTATGTTAATTTTAATAAATAAAATTAAAGTAATTATAAGTTACTTTCTGCTTGCATTGTTGTATAACATATAATTTCTGTACCTGTATATAGGTATATCTAATTTTCAAAATTCCTTTTTGAAAGTAAATAAGCCACTTTCAGTATTTATTTCCAGCAGGTTTTTTTTTTTAATATCTTTGCTACAATACAATTTCTTCTGAATAATTATTAATCAATCTTTTGTTATAATAACGTAAATAGTTACATAACTCGAATCTAATTATCATTTCATATAAAATAATATATTATTATACAAGAAAGAAATTAACACTAAGTATTCAAGACCAATTAAAATTATATAAATAATTTCATTCACTGAGTTTGAATCATCTTTTTCTTTTTTTACTTTTTTAATACTCAAAGAAAAATGTATCGTCTTTAGAAAAGCAAAAATTTGTTTTAAATCAAAGCAAATAAATCAAGAGAGTACTAATGTGTTAGTCATTGAGAAAAGTAAGTGAAATAATAATTACGAGAACTGGAAATTGTAGTATCAGTAGTACGTATAAATGGCTCATTGAATTCGCAGCTCAAATTCACGCTAGAATGACCTGCAATTTGTTTTAGTTTATTAGGTTACTGAAATCAACAATATGAATATAATTAATAATCGACTACTTAGATTTGTAAAATGAATCATTTAAAACCAATAAACTTTATTTACTGTAATTATTTCATTTATAACTCTACTACTGGTAATAGACATTAAATCATTAAAGTCAAGAGTTCTAATGTAATAAAGCTTTTTCAATTTTCCATTTTTAATATAAAAATCATTTTCAATTACCTTTCTCAATAATTTGATAAATAATTTTTTTTTATTAATAAAAAAGTTATTTTTTTAAATAACCATTGGAATTACAATCGTCACTATCATTTAATTGTGACTATAAAAATATTTCTCAGACAATTTATGAAAAATCTATCAAAAATATTAAATTACTTAGCAGGTATGAAAAAGCAATTACATCGAAAACTAAATAAAAATAAATAACTTCCATTTTTTTTATTACAGAAAATCGTGTGAATGACCTAGAATAAAAAAAAAATCCTTCTACTATATAAAATATACGATTTCATGAATGTCAATTTTCAGTAAAATACAATATAAAATAAATTCTCACGATTAACTTCTGTAATTTAGATTGTAAATATGAATTCTATGAAAAAAGTTTCCTTTATGAAATAGATTTTCTTTTATTTATAAAAATTAATTTTCAATGAAATTTAATTTATTTGCTCCATCAATCATTGTTTGATACAAATAAATTTTTTTTCACTGTAAATATAAATAAATAAATCAGTTTAAAGAAAAATTCTTAAAGTTCAATGATTTCGCAAGTGAGAGGGAAAAATAAGTCATCAATAAAGATGTGACCGGAAGACTGAGAATTGTATAATAATTGAGAAAAAAAGGAAAATATATATCGGTCAACGACAAAACCGCAAATGTCAACATTAAGATTTATAGATGAATCAACGCAATTCGCCCTAGTTAATATGGAGTAATAATTTCTCATTAATGACATAATGACTTTTTAAAGTTTCGCATTCCAATTCCGTTTATTTATATATATAGAGACAAACGACTTATTCGCTGTTTAGGTTCCTATTTACCGACACCGCATAGTTACAGTAATATCGGTTACGTTATAATGCTTAACTTATTATAACTCGCGAGACAGAAAATAAAAGTAACTGGCTGTCAAGAGTTTGTGCTCGTCCCTCGGTTAAGTAACAGAAAGAACGGAGCTAGGAGAATAACGGCGATGAAGATGAAGTCAAGGAGAACCGCTTATTTCTTTTGATATTCTCTTGTTTCCTTTCTCTACATTTTGTTTTCTCTTATTATATATATAAATTGACAATTAAATTATTTTACATTTATTCCAAAAATTCTGAATTAAAATTTTCAATTTCGAAAATTTAACCACAACATTTTTTCGTAAGAAAAAAATTGTGTCCCATTTTTCCAAAAACTACAAATATTTTCTAATAAAAATTTATTTTATTTTTTTTTAAATTTGAAGAATTTATTCAGAAAAGAATTAATTTAAAAAATTGTATTTTTTTTATTGTTTGATTAGACAATAAAAAAAAATGGATCTAAATGCGTAACAAGTGTGTACGAGTGTATAGAATAACAGACATATGTAATTTGAATGGTCGTCGCGAGCATTGAATTCCATCGGGCAATAAACCGCAATGGAAAGACGTATATAGGAAGTGCTTATAAATACTTTGCGGGTGAAAGTGGTCTCGGACCAACTTGATACCGCCGAAGGCTTTTGTCCTAGACTAGTGGTCATCACTGTTGTGAAAAAGGTCGTTTTTACCAATTTTACTTGAATTCAAAATTCCCTTTCCTTATAGTAAGGGGCAAATTAAAAAAAAATAATTTATTCTTGAATTAAATCACTTATAAAAATAGTTAAAATTTTCTAAATTACACTTTCTCAATTACTTTTAAAAATATCTCCAAAAAAAGAATTTTGAATTTTTTTCTAATTGTTCAAATAATGAATTTTAATTTTTTTAAATAGAAGAATTTGATAAGATCATTTACACATGATCAAAAAAGCAAATATACTAAAAAAAATATGGAATTATTTAAAATTTATGAAAAAAAAGGGAGTTGTAAAAAAAAGCAATCAGTCGCACGTGTGTGCGGAACTAGGGGAAAGATTTCTCCTGACCCACTGACACTGAATTATTATTGAGCCCCTCGTCTCATGTAAGTTTAGTTAGAATTGACAAGAATTTTACATTCGCCGACTGACAAATTATTGACCATTTCTCATTTCTGTTATTTATAATCATAACTTTTCTGTTTGAAGATTTTCATTATTGACACTTCAATTCTTTTCAAATCAAAAGATTTAAGAATGACAAAGTTCCATTGAAACGTTCAGAAAAAGTATTATTTAATTTTCGTTATTATAACATCTTTTATTTTCATCCTATTGTCCCCTTTCAGCATCCAAATGATTAATGTTATTCAATTATAATTCTAAAAATTCAAATGAAAAAAAATATAATTAAAAAAATAATATTAAGTAATAAATAAAAATAAAATATAATTTTTTTTGTCAATTAAAAAAAACCAAAGAAGATATCTTACGCTTTTCCTTTCTATCAATTCAAAAACTATTTTTTTTCTTTTGAAAAAAAGTTGATTATACAATAAAGAATAGTTTTACAAATGTAACTGATTTTAACTCATTTCATTTTTGTTATTTCAATTTTTATATCAATATCAAATTTTTGTAATAAAAAAAAAATACAAATTCTAAATAAATAATATACTTCATAATATGATTTTTCTCATTTTAAAATACGCCTTTTCTAGTTCAAGTGAAAGTAAAAAGAAATTAAAATTTCGATTACAACTCTCAACTGCATCTAATAAATAAAGAATTATTAATTATTGACAATGATAACTGAGAATATTAAAAAATAAAATAATTTATGTAAATTAGATGACTTCTAAATCAGCTTCAATCTAGAAAATTTACATTATTAAGTCACTTTCGCAAAACTCTAAAATATACATATTTCGCAGTGAAATTTTAATATTTTTTAATATAGTAAAAATGTGATCTCAATTTAAAAATAAATAAAGTTAATTTCTTGAATTTCAAAATTATTTTAATTAAAAATAAAAACAATTTTTTAAAAATTGATGTATTTGAGAGTTGATAGAAAATAAGTTTTTTCAATATTTATTAAAAAAAAAAAGAAAAAAGAAAAGACGAGAAATATTCCCTGAGGCTGTGGTAGGCCCTGGACTTGGTTTCAAATAGCCTGAGGCCCATTCAGGCCCACCTTTACTACTACTACGGCTACTTGTTGAAAGTCGAGCCTGTTTAACACTCAAAGCAACAAACATCCGCATTCGTATTTATATATTGAACTAGTATTTTAAAAGTAAGAGTGTATTAATAAAAAAAAAAACTCCTCCATCAGATTCTATTTCACATTTAAAATCAATTAGAAAAAGATCTACACCTTTTGATTATTTGATTACTATTATTTTCCTCCTAACTTTTAATTATAATTATTAGATGATAATAATTAATATTTAAATATATAACATTTAAATATAATTACTTTTAATTTCAATAATTTTTCAATTAACACTTTATTATATTCTTTCATTAAATTATTAATTATAATTATTTATTTAAATTTTCAAAATAATGATAGAAAAATAAATTAATCTAAAAAAATTAAAAAAAAATTATTTTGAATATAAATAAAATTAACAAATAATAATTATATAGAAAGAATAAATTATTTATTTATAATGAAATTCCTTGATAGGGAGAAGAAAATTATAGACAGTAAAAACATTAAACTTTAGGTGGATCACCAAAACAATTTTCACAATTAAAATTTCAACAAGAAAGAAAACATTAAAAACAAATTATGAGAGTATCTCTCTCAATTATTATTGTCATAGTTTACTCACGGAATGAAGATGAAAGTTAAAGTTTATTTTGTCGGTAATTTTCAACTTTACCTTATAAAACAAGGGGAAAATGATTAAAAAAATTTCTCTTATGAAATTTTAAACAGAATATCTAGATGTCATGAAGAAGTGAGGAAATTTCTTTGAGAAGTTATTTCTCAAATAGTCATCTCTTCATAAAAAGAAATAAATTTCAAATAATTTTCAATTAAATATTCCGACTCTCATAAATATTAAATTTAAACATTCTTTTTTAGAAATTATTTCTATATTATTAATACAAAGTTTAAAATAAATGGAAAATTATGAAATATAAAACACTGCGTGAGAATAAATTTATATGAAAGAATATAATAAAATAGAATAAAATTTTAATGAAGACATTAATTAGATAATGATTCAATTGACAACTGAAATTAAAAAAAAAAAAATAAATAATATATTACGGAAGAAATTTTTATTGTTTTGCAAATGAATCTCTTTAATTTTACGATTGACTTTAATGTTTATAAATAGTATCTTTGAAAGAGCTTTTTTTTAATATTACATGATTTTAGTTGAACACTTAAATGCACAATGAAAATGTGTAAAGGTGATATTTTAAAAGTGACGAAGAAGATAATTTAATAATTTATAACATATAACACGGGTAACTGAGGATAAACGTAGGCATAATTCAACTGGATTATTTTTTTTTTTCTGATTATTGTCTCGTTTTCTATTTCTCACTCTCCCGCTAGAGAAAGTGTCGAGATTATTCGTAATATATTTGCTAATGCATTAAATTCCAATAATTTTCAAATAAATATCAATAACAATATGTCAAAAAATATAATAAAATTAAAATACCAATAAAAACGATACAATTCTATTGAAATTATTATATTTTGATTTTATTGATATTATTTATTTAAAATGAAAATTAAAAAAATATATTCTCTAAAAAGTTCCAAACCCTCTGTTTAATTTTAAATTATTTTATAATAATTAAAAAAAAATACTATGCAGTGTAAAATTAACTGAAATACTATGTAATATAAGTTAATTGACCTATGATCACACTATCATAATGAAATCAGACTCATAAAGAGTGTAATTAAAATCAATGCAATTAATTGTGTTTCAGAACCAGCTTAGGACTGTTGTTCGTGGTTTTTTCAGCCCTTGCACTTTCCCCAGCGATTCATCAAATTGACATTTCTGGTAAGAAATAATAATTAAAAAAACAAATTTTATACCTAACGCTAATCAAACTATATTGCCTGATGAGGAAGGAGAAATTTTTGCAAAAAGAATTACGCAAACGATTATAGAAGAGCTTTTTAAATTATACAATCGGGAAACAATAGTATGTGAGACTATTCTCATGATTTTTTGAAGGAATTAAAACGAAATTGCCCGTATAACAATGAAGAGCCTAATTTACAAGTGTAATCTTCAAATGAACCTTTCTTTTCCATACAGTTGATATTACTCAATTTTTTTTTTATTATTGTGCTACCTTTATATAATTCAAAAAAGAAAAAAAAAAGTTAAAATTTTGTTTAAAAAAAATATAGATACTATTAACACTTAATTCAAATTCTAATTTCTATTTCATAATCTTTTCACATTTCTTTTTTTAAAAAGTAAAACGAACACTATAATAGTTTAATAAAAGGATAAACATATTTCATCGAACATAATCCTAATTATGAAATATTTTAAAGACTACTTTCTAATCTCAACTGAAATATTTAGTAACTATACTATTAATTAAATAACATCAAGTAATAAAGTCTATTTAATTTTTTTTTTTTTTTTAGTAAATACGTAATTAAAAAATCATAATTTAATTTCTAAATTTAAAAAAAAAATCGATTTCAATAATGATCTTGTCCTTGAATTTCAAATTCTGTTTCATTGAGAATTTCCATCATTGACGTAATTTTAAACCCCCTTTGGAATTTCCTTAAAGTCTTACTTAATTTAATTCGCCTGAAATAAGTCAACTATTTTTAAATTCTTGCAGATTACGTATATGGGGTAGACCATGATCTACAGGCGAGAGCACGTGTTGCCATCGAGGCTGAGCGATTCGCTCGTCAATCAAAAAGCTGGTAAGACTAAATTTTGCAATTTTAATTATTTTCCAATTTTAAATTTTAAATTTAAGCCCCAAAAAAAGGGACAAAAGATTAAAATATAAAGTAATGGAAAAAACAAAAATTAAATTTAAAAATTTTATTTACCAACTTTTCTAGATTCTTTTCGAAATTAAAAATATCAAGTCAAATTAATTCAAATTAAATTATAATTTTCGTTTAAAATCAAATTTCTATTATGCTCATAGTTTTGTCTGATTCTACGTAGGTCATTTAAATAATTAAATCCGTTTCGACTTCCTGATAAATAAAAAAAAAAAGTCTAAAGGTTTCTCGATTAGGCAGATCCTTTAACATATCCCCCACAAGGTTTCGAGAAATGTTAATTAGCTGTCTAGACAGAATAAAAAAAAAAAAAAACAAAAACTCAAATTCTCAAAATTGATATTTGAAAATATAATTCACTGATCAATGATTAAATAACATTGAATAAAGATTTTTTGTAATTTGCAATTAATTTCAAATACAATTTAATACTATGAAAAATAAACAAGCCAATAAAATTAATAAAACTAATTTCACCTGCATTTCAAGTTTTAATGCACATATTAAAAAGACAAAACCTTGAAGCCTTTCTGAAACGGATATTGTGAAAAGAATCTAGAAAAGGAGTGAAGGCAGCGTGGTCGGTTAATGGTTGTAAAATTTAATTACACTTATATTAAAGAATCTTCTTTCAAAAAAAAAATTTTTTTTTTAAATTTGTTTTTGGGAGAATAAAATAATCAATTTGAAAATTAAAATTCAAGTCAAATATCAAAATACAATCAAGAAAATTTTTCTAAATCTATTGATTAATTGAATTAAATTATTTAATTTAATTAAAAATCTACTTCCGTGAGGAAGTTTGAAGTTTGATTACAACTTTTATATGATTGATAAAATAATTTTAAGTAATAATTATACGTTGCGAACAAGATCAAAGAAAGAGAATCCAAACCATAATTATCATCGAACTAAAAACTTATCTCGCTCTTGACTATAACTGCGACCATGAAAGTAAAAGTCCTAACACCAAGTCTACATTCATGACAGGAAAAAGAAGTTTACCGTAAAGTATTAACACACAATATATTGGAAAACTGATCAGATAGATCTTTCTCTTAAATTATAACAATCCATAAAGTAGAAGAAAGCTTCTAATCAAAGTCAATTATCGAAGATGATCCATTTATCAATTTAATTGGCATTACAAAATTAACGTTCATGTAAATTATCGTTAAGACGTGAAAATTACTACTTATTTAAATTTAAAATAGCGACAGAAAAATAATAATCGATTTGAAAAATACAACGTCACTCGATATTAATTAAAAAAAAAAAAAAATAATTTATAAACTGACGTTTATATATGATCGATATAAAAATATCCATAATTTATTATAATAAATATCAAATATAAATCCCTTATGAATATTTCTTTCAAAACAATTCTTTTAAAGCAATAAATCTTTATTATCAATATTTATCTTCAAATAAATCGATAAATCTTTTGATCAATATTAGAAACTGGGAATTTCTTTACAGATAATTACAAGTAAAGTAAAAGAGAAATGTGTTAACAACTTCCTCATTTTTAAAATACTTTAAATAAACTAAAAAATTCATTAATCCATCGTTTATGAGAAGAATATTAATTTAATTTAAAAGCAAAAAATCGGAAACGGATGAATAGTTTTACATTAGATATTTTTAATTTTTTTTTTTTTTGAGAAGAATGGAGAATTTACCATACAAGGAAGTATAGAAAGAAGTTTTTAAAGAAAAGGAAGTTATTAAAAATACACGGAAGGAGATTGATCCTGTACTTGTAGATTTATTTACTCGCGAGAGTTATGAGTTTTTACTGAAGGTTTAGTTGTTTTTTTCAAAAGTAAATTTTTAATTTTTATTCTTAACTTTTATATTTAAAAAAATTGGCAATACTTTTTTGAAATAAAAATTTTTGCACTAAGGAAAAAAAATTAGACAAATGAATTTACAATTAAAATTTTATTAATGAAGTGTAATTAGAACCTAAGTTGAATTAATTAACTTGATCAATTTTCTGATTGTTACGTCAAATTTCAGGTTGCAAGATAGATTAAAGACGACCAAGGAATCATGCAAATCAATGGAAAGTCCATGTCCGCCTAGCAAATATAGAACACCTTCCGGTGCTTGCAACAATGTGAGGCATCCTGCTTGGGGAGCAAGAGGATCTCCATATCTCAAAGTTTTATCACCTGCTTACGCTGATGGTACGTAAATTTTCTATACAAATTATTCAATGTCTAAATTGAAAAATTTACACAATTTCTCAAAGAAAAAAAAAAAAAATAAATAAATTTTTGTCAAAGAAAAATTGAAATGGAAAAAAAAGTAGCATATTCTCTAAACGAGAAAGACGCGTAAAAAAAAAGAAGGAAGTAACGGGAAGAAATTTCTCAACGAGTCTAGAATACCTGATGGGTGACTTAGAAGAAAGCAAAAGGAAATGATTAACAGAGAGGTGAAGAGACTTTTACCGCCGAGTGTAAAGGAGAGCAAATTTTTGTTTCTTTGGATCCTCTTGGATCGGCATTATTATATGGTGTTCATTGAACTGATGAACGATCATTTAGCATGTCATGAGAGTGGAAAGTGAAAATTAGAACGCGCTCTAAAGTGCACAGCAGACTCATTTCGAGTATACATAAACTGACATGAAGCTTAAAGTTGGCACGAGGTCCCGATTAGAAAAGATAAATTAGCATGCAGAAGGTATCCGCCAATGAAATAGAGAGTCAGATTATTGCAACACAACTATATGTATATATAAATAATAATCCGTCACCTAGAATTTCTTTATTACGACTATCAGAAAATTCTCTAAAAACTTCATTAGTTCCTTTTCCGTGAATCGAATTTTATAAAGTTAAATTTCTATTTCAAATTTCAAAAAAAATTTCTTTTAATATAAATAAATAAAAATTCAACGATATAAATTTCGAAAGACTGTAAATTCGAATTCGTGATTTTTATAGGGTCTTAACCAAACATAAATATGTAGAAATTCACGAAATTTATGTACCCCAATTTTACGAAATATGTCGAAATTTTTATCAATTTTGACCTGCTTTTTTCTGATGTCTTGAAAGAAAGAAAAAAAAAAAAAAATGTTCTGAATTTCGTATGGTAACGGGATCTCTCTGATCATTGGGAGAACTTGATGAGAGAAAGGGTAAAAAGAGAAGCAGGTGGGCCAGGGAATGAATCCCAACGAAAATATGAAAGTGAAAAGAACGAAGAAAGTGATGCCATTCTCTGGCTTCCTGATCAGAATATTGTGCTTCAACCTTTGGACGTCCTTTACAAACGACCTCGAAATAGAGAGACGATTCGATTTTAATGACTTTACTGTCACCTTAATTTCAAGAGAGGATTAAATTGTATGAATCTTTTATTCAAAAATAGATCCAAAAAAGATAGAATACTTTTCTAATGAATTAAGTAGTTCATATTTAAAAAAAGATTTTTGATTTTAAATTCAAATTAAGTTATTTTTGATAGAAAAAGACAATCTTGATTTCAGAGAAAGTTTTTGATGGGAGATTAGATCAATTTCTTTTTTATTTTTAATTCAATGTATTTTAATTACCTTTTTTTTATGTAATTAACGGCTTTGAAACTAGAGTATTCTAATCGAATTGGAAATGCGGAAATGAAAATAGTGTAAAGAAATTTTGTTATTATTAATTGAGAGCATTGTTTCAGGTAGATAATAATAATAATTTAAATTTAATAATAATCGTATTAGTGTAAGAACTTTTGAGTGGTAGCCGATTTACGGGCAGTGGGTTTCTAATTGTGGGTCGTGCGTTTATAATCGGAGAGAGTGAATACTTGAACGTAGGAGGGCATTACGTTTTCCATATCTATGTAATCCAACTATTACAACTTAATTATATATTCCTAATTTAAATCAAGGGAAGTTTACGCGCCAATCTAATATGAATATTAAATTAATTTATAAACAAAGAAAATTCTTTAACTTTTCGAATAAATTGTCAAAAAAAAAAAAAAAAAAAAACAAGCAATTACAAATTAAATTCTTCTATTTAAAAAAAAAATCGAAACACTAAATTTTTTTAAAATTAAAACCGATTTTTTCGAAATTTAGAAAAGCGAAAGTTTAATAAATAAATGATTTTCACTTTTATATTGACTATTAATATTGGAATTTAAATTTTAAAACCTGATTAAATTATTTAAATTGACAAATTATTAAAAGAGTTTTGTTCGCTTTTCAAAATTTTATGTCAACAATAAAGAAAGTCTAGAATATTTTCATAAAATTTACGAGATCTAATTTCTATTTTTTGAAAATCGATAAATATAAATTTCTATTGAATTATTGGAGCTATTATTAATAAGTACCTCCTTCTTTTGCAGAAATCAGCATTCCAAGACAATCAGTAAGCAGACATAGTCTACCATCATCTCCTGATGTAGTTTCCAAAGTACGAAGTCAATTGAATATCAATGATCAACATGAAGGTCTCACAAGTCTCACTGGAATTTGGACCGAGTTGATACTCAGGGATATTTCAACTCCAATTTATTCTCAAAATTTAACTGATTGTTGCTCAAATCCACAAAAACATCCAGAATGTTATGAGTCACTGGATCAAGTTGGATCATGTTCCAATTATTATCGTCAAGCACCAACTGTAAGCTCTCATATTTGTCGTTTTGAGAAACGAGAGCAAATGAATGGAGCCTCCGGCTATTTGGATGGTTCCGATCTCTATGGAAATACAGATGAGAAACTTCACAATTTAAGGACCTATAGTCACGGCAAAGTTGATCCATTGGGTTGTGAACTCTGTGAAAATAGACAATCAGCATTAGGTCAAATTTATCGGGCATTACTTTCGGAACATAACAGAATTGCCGAGAAATTGGCATTACAAAATGAACATTGGGATGAATCAAAATTATACCTTGAAGCCCGTAAAGCGGTTGTTGCTCAAATCCAGCACGTTACTTTTAATGAATACGTACCAAGTATTCTAGGCGAGGCTATTTATTCAGATCCTGAATTAAGACCAGCCACAAGTGGTTATTATTCTGGATATTCTTCGACAAATCGTGGAGGTGCTTTAGATGCTGTGGCATTCGCTGCTCTTCAAGTTTTGACTTCATTGTCAGCACACAATAATGATTCTCTTGAAAAGCACTTGACATCATCCTCAAAGCATGTCAATTTGGACATCAGCAATCAAATATCAGAATTTCCAAATTGGGATCCTAGTGCACTTCTCGTTCAAGCTGCCAGAGATCATGGAATTCCAGGATATGTTGACTTCATTTCATATTGTTCTGAAAATAAAATACAAGTAAGTAATCTCATCATTTCGAGAATTAAAAACTAAAACTAATTTTTATAATTATTTTCCCAGATTCAGAATTTTACAGAATTGGAAAAATTGATTCGTCCAAAAGATGTGAAAACTCTCGCAGAAATGTATTCACGAGTAGAGGACATTGATCTTCTTCTCGGTGGAATTTTGGAAATTCCACGAGAAAGTGCTGCTGTTGGTCCAACATTCCTCTGCCTCTTGAAGGAGCAATTCACAAAACTTCGCAATTCTGATCGCTTTTGGTACGAGAACGACATCCCACCATCTGGACTTTCGCCAAATCAATTATTGGAAATTCGAAAGGTTACCCTCGCTGGTATCTTGTGTGCAAACACCAAAATTACTAAAATTCAACACAAATCCTTCATTCAACAAGATCCGTACTTAAACGTTCAAATTACCTGCAATCAACACGAAGTCTTGGATCTAAGTCCCTGGAGTGAGGAACCAATGCCACTGCCAATCACCGACAATTTTATGAGCACAACCGAAGCTACTGAAATCACTTCAGAAATTGATTCCGAAATGATTGCGGCAGCCTTGAAAAAAGCCGAGGAAGATTTAGTCAAACGACAACAATTAGAGTATCAATCATGGCTTCAGCAGAGAATCGCTGATCCAAAATCACCAGCTGGTACAGCGGCAAGTTTCTCAAAAGCCAATAAAGATGCTCTCCTCTTAGCTAATTCATCAATTATCTTCGAACTCGCGACAAACGAAATTCTTAATGGTCCACAAGGTCTCAAGCGTCGACGACGAAAAAGACAAGCATTCGACACACCTGACAATATTTTAGGATTTCCCAACAACGATTTCTCTGATCTCCTTCAAAATGTCGATGTATCAGGATTAATTCCCAAAAAGAAGGCAACAAATCACGAAGAAGTTGATTGTCCAGTTGATGAATCGCCATGTGATCCCAATACACCCTACAGAACATTGTCCGGTCATTGTAACAATTTACGTAATCCAAATTTGGGAAAATCATTGACAACATTCGCAAGACTCTTGCCACCAGCATACGATGACGGTGTTTCAAAACCAAAACAAACATCCGTCACTGGAAATTCATTACCAAATCCACGAACAATCTCAACAACAATTCATCCCGATATTTCAAATTTACACAATCGTTACACATTAATGGTGATGCAATATGCGCAATTTGTTGATCATGATTTGACAATGACACCAATTCATAAAGGATTCGCCGAGTCAATTCCCAGCTGTAGATCATGTGATTCAGCAAGAACAGTACATCCCGAATGTAATCCATTTCCAATGCCAGCTGGTGATCATTTTTTCCCAACACTCAATTCATCGACAGGTGCAAGACTATGTTTCCCATCAATGAGATCACTACCCGGTCAACAGCATTTGGGCCCTAGAGAACAAGTAAATCAAAATACAGGATTTTTGGACGCTTCCGTCATTTATGGCGAGAACAGTTGCATTTGTGATATTCTTCGTGGATTTAATGGTAGAATGAATATTACCTCACATCCAGGCAGAGGAAAAGATCTATTACCACAATCGCCAACACATCCGGAATGCAAGTCACCGTCGGGATTCTGTTTTATTGGCGGCGATGGTCGGGCTTCTGAACAACCTGGATTGACAGTGATGCACACCATTTGGGTCCGAGAGCACAATCGAATTATGGAAGGTCTTCGGTGAGTCTTTGTTCTGAAAAAATAAAACAAATATTAGAAAATTAATTAAATGATGAATTTATATTAGAAAAAAATTAATATTAAATTTTTGATTTTTTTTTTTTAAATAGGAAAGAGAATCCTCACTGGGATCATGAGAAACTCTTCCAGGAAACTCGACGAATTATCAGCGCAATGCTGCAACACATTACGTATAACGAATTTTTACCGAGAATTTTAGGATGGAATGCCATTAGTTTATACGGTCTTAAACTTCTTCCTCAAGGTTATCATAAAGAATACTCCCCCACATGTAATCCAAGTGTACTTAATGAATTCGCAACTGCAGCCTACAGAATCGGTCATTCGCTCCTTCGACCCCATATCCCTCGTATGGATCCAAATTATCAACCCGTTGATCCACCAATTCTTCTACGAGACGGTTTCTTCAACGTTGACATGCTCTATCAACAAGGAATGTGCGATGAAATAATTCGTGGACTCGCTGCCACACCAATGGAGACACTTGATCAATTCATCACTGGCGAAGTGACAAATCATCTCTTTGAAAATCATCATATTCCACATTCTGGAATCGATTTAATTGCCTTGAATATTCAACGTGGCCGTGATCATGGTTTGCCAACATACAATAATTATCGTGCTCTTTGTAATTTGAAACGTGCATCGACATTTGATGATTTATCACGTGAAATGGCACCGGAAGTAATAGCACGAATGAAAAAAGTCTACGCCTCTGTGGATGATATTGATTTATTCCCCGGTGGAATGAGTGAAAGACCACTTCAAGGTGGACTTGTTGGTCCCACATTTGCCTGTATTATTGCCATTCAATTTAGACAATCGAGAAAATGTGATCGATTTTGGTATGAGACTGATGATCCTGTTATTAAATTCACTGAACAACAATTGTCCGAAATAAGAAAAACAACTCTCTCAAAAGTTTTATGTGAAAATATGGATCAATCTAATGAAATGCAAAGAGCATCATTCGATTTACCGAGTAATTTCTTGAATCCACGAGTACCATGTGGTTCAATGCCACATATGGACTTTTCTGCATGGCGAGAAACACGTCAAGGATGTCAAATCGGTGGAAGGAACGTTGCAATTGGAGAATCTGGTTTTCCAACACCCTGCAGCAGTTGCATCTGTACCACAGAAGGAGTAAGTAAAATTCGAATTATAATTCTCATAAAAAATTAAATTACAAATAAAATTTTTTGCTACTTAAATCAACAATAATAATTTTTTTTAATTGAATTTCGTTTATTTTTTAGACGCAATGCGCATCCCTACGAGTTACCGACTGCAACCAACTTCTTCGTGAGGCTTCAAGAGAGGCAATTTTACGCGATGATGTCTGCACAGCTCAATGTGGTTTTGTTCTTGCAGCAACGGAACCATCGCAAAGATCACAATTCTCCTCCAACAATAATTTCCAAGGATTCAATCAACAACGAAACAATTTACGTAATTCCCACACACCAAGTAGCTTTAATGGTTTTAAATTACCCGATCTCTCGCAATTTGTTGGTTAAAAAAAAAAATGCGAAAACTGAAATTTTAAAGACTCAAAATTATCATATTAGTCTTGAAAGACTCAATCTCAAATATTTGTTAATTTTTAATTTTAATTTTTGCAAAAAATCACTTTATTTAAATAGTCAAAACTTCGAAAAAAAAATTTAGGTATTTAAGTTTGAAAATTAGGAGTGTGAAAGTGTAACTGCGTAAATGTAAATATAGTTGTTAAGATCAAGTCTTGGATATTTCTACACTGATGTTTATAATTTTGTATATGTATGAATGAGAGAGAAGTGTGACTTGTTGACGTTCATCCTAGAAAGAGAAGAAAAAAATAGTATGTGTTCTATTAAAAATATAAAAAACGATACTGCCAAACGTTACATAAAAAAGCAAATACTGTTTTCCTTTTTTTAAAAAACAAAGTATTAGCTCATATCACGTCTGCCGTATCATTAAACCTTTTTTTTTATCCCATTTCTTATTTTGTAATATAAAACTTAAATGTAAATTTTTAATAAATAAATGTTAATGTTAATTTAAAAAATCGTTATTTCGAAAATTTAATTTGAATCTTTAAAACAAAAACAAACAAAAAAATTAATTATTCGATAACAGATCAAATAAATTGGAGATATTGGAAATTTATGGTATAGGCAAAAACGAGAATTGGAGCATTTGTCTAAAAGTCTATTATAATATGTACAAAGGATTTCGGCACAAGTAGATTGTACAAAATCTATATTCCCTGACTTAGTTCTAAGACTCCTCTTCCATTATGAAGACAATACGCAGTGAAAAAGGCCTTGATCACATCAGAGGCAATAATAATTATCGATTTTTGACTTAGTTGGCAGGAACCTCGTGTTTATTATTCATAACAGAATTGTTTTCTTGCAAAATTGGTTGTTCGATGCATCGCCACAGACCGTAAGTTTTACCCACTGTCGTCTGCCACAGTCTCAATGTACCATCTTCAGAGCCACTTGCATACAATTCACCATCAGGAGAAAATCTCACGCAATGCACTGGACCAAAGTGTCCTTTAAATGATTCTACAAATAAAAAAAAAATTAATTAACAAAATTACAAATACAAAATAAAATATTTCTAAAATATTTTTTTTACCAATTTCAGTGCCAGATGTATAATCAAATTTATACATCTTGAGATCTTCACCACCACAAACAAAGATAGTGCAATCAGGATGTAAACTCGCGCTATTTACTTGTGTTGGGACAGTATAATCGCGTATCTTGGTCAGTCTGCAATTTAAAAAGTATAATTTAGTACACGATAAAAGTATTCAAGGTCAATGAGTTGTTTCATTTTCTTTTTTCTTTAAATAAAAAGGAAGTCAAATATCTAAAGGATAAAACAATTTTAAACGCTTGTCACAGATGCGACAGGAAATAAATAAGTTTGCTTCCTATTAGGCCAGGGTCGTACGTGATTCAAGCCAAAAGCCATTGATAAATAAAAAAAAAATCTATAAGGATAAAAACATAAAAAATAAAACAATAAATAAAATCATAAAATAAAGACATAAAAATATCAAAAATAAACGTTTGTAACTAATATGTAATTAAATATGCGAATCTAATTTCAGACCTTGAATTAGTTATAATTATTTTTATTTAAACTGCAAAAGTTAAAAATTTCGAAAAATTGAAAATTATAAAGATTCGTTTTCAAATTCGAATAATTATTAAACAGATATTTCAAAAACAAAAATCAATCTTACTCTTTGCTATCCCAAAACGAAACAATATTGGCATGAGTCGTAGTGAATATCTTTCCATCTTTGGAAACTTCCATCGAACTGGGTATAGCAGGAAAATCCAATCGTTTAATTTCTTGACCGCTATTTTTGTCCCAGACTCTTAGCGTCTTATCATCCGCACAGGAAACTAAATTCGTATCATTGTTAAAAAAGGTAACATGCCTAATACCACTCGTATGACCTGAAAACACCTGAAAAGAAAAAGACGATTTATATTAGCAAACAATTATTTTTAAATTAAAAAATAAAAATCCCTCAACTTTACGCAAAAAAAGGAAACTTTTTTCTTTTTACCTGAGGTGCTGCTTCTGGTTTATTAAGATCATAAATGCGAACGAGTTTCTCGTTGGAGGCAGTGCAAAGATAATTTGAGTCGGAACTAAAGTTAACAGACTTTACAATGTGATTATGTTGAAAAGACTGAATCTCTTCACCCTTTATTGCGTCCCAAACTTTTGCATTAAAGTCTGCAGCTCCAGTTGCTGCTCGGGTGGCCTGAGGGTTTAATGCTACACCCCAAACTGCCCCCTTGTGACCCTCGAAAGTACCGATCCAATCTCCAGTATCGCCTTGTCTTAACATCGGCTTGCCATCTTTAAAAAAAATTAATTTAATTATTTTTCAATAATAGTTATTCAACTTTCCATTTTTTTACATGCTCATTACAGATGAAGGTGCATTTATTAAAAAAATAAAAATATTTCAATAAAATAAACAATAAAAAATCTACTTATCCTATATGTAAATTACATATACGTATTTTGTAAATAATTCTATTTTCTCTAGAGGAAAATCTGATAATTAATTTATAAACGAAAAGTGTAAATGTTTTTATAATCAAATCTGTATCTTAAACACTTTAGTCACGTTGATCAAGGTTATTTGAGAATCATTTAAATCCCGGACAGATCTCCGGTAATCATTTTTTTTTTTTCTCAATGACCTTCGAGTAATACCATTTAAAGTCATGTAGTGTTCCTAACAGAATTCCTACAGGATGCTTATCGAAAATCGCAATGTTGAATTACATATATACACATACGACAACGATTCAGCCTCGAATCCCCTTTAGAGCCTTGAAGTCTCTCCGAAAAACTGGGCCAAGGAGATCGAGACGATCGAGATCACATGAGTATGAAAAAAAGAGCAAAAATAAAAAAGGAAAAAAAAGATCTCGTCCAGACTTTATAATAAAAGAACTACTATTGTAGAAAAACATTTACGAGGAAGTAAAAAATTGTTTTGACACAAAAAGTTTGACAGCTGATCAGAAAAGAAATTACTATGCAAAAAAGTTAGGTTATGTTGTATGAAATTTTATTAAATGAATAAAAAAGCACCAATTAACTTGATATTAATTTAAAAAATAATAAATACTTACCTTTACACGCTGAAATAACATAATATCCGGATTCTGTGACGTCGGAAAACGCTAAATGCACAACGGGTCTTGTATGTCCACTACATGTAAGCGGAGTCTGTCTTACATTCGCCATTATTTACTTATTATTGAAAAAACTAAATAATAACAAATTTTATAAAAAAATAAAAACCCTAACTAATGTGAAAAAATAATATGAAACTTGACAAGTAAACGTTTAATTTATTTTTTTCGTTGTAAGTAATCGCGAGTCCAGTGTACGCGCGATACTGAACTTCGTGACGATAGTTTGTTAGATAACTTCAGACAGGAAGAGAGCAGACGATATTCTGTCTTCTTCCTTCATTCAAATATTTACACTCACCTTCCTTTTCTATTTCTCTCTCGACGACGACCGCGCGGAACCTTGAATTCGAACAATCCCTTCTCCTTCGAATTAATAACCTCCAGTAAATACGTTTTTTTTTTTTGCATTTTCTTTTTCTTTACTGCATCGTAGTTTCCAGCATCAATTTTCAAACCTAAAAAAAAACACACAATGTTAATTATTTCAATTCAAGGAGAGCATTTTATATTTTTGTCGTCTTCATATAAAAATGTATAAAATTATATTTTATTTATCTAATTTAAGGGTTTTAAATATTTGTAAATATTAAATATTCTAAATAATATTTACATTAAAAAAATTATATTCTAAAATTTAAAAATATAACAAATAAAATTTAAAACAAACAAAACTGAAACGAGGAATTAATTTGAAATTACCCACCAGAGTCAGTGTTCTATTTTATCGATATTAGTAGAAAAAAAAAAAAAATTAGAGAAACTTTGCAATTAATTTTAATTTTGTTAAATATTTTTTTTAATCACTTAGTCATTTTTAAAGTTTTTTTTATTTAATTTTTAATTTTTATAAGGATTATATAATGTTTTTTAATTCTTCAGGGTGCTTATAGAAAGTTCCTTCATCAGCCGAAATAGCTCAGTTGGGAGAGCGTTAGACTGAAGATCTAAATGTCCCCGGTTCAATCCCGGGTTTCGGCAATCTTTTTGAATTTTTTTGCTCTATAACTATTAGTTATTTTATTATTATATAAATTTAATTAATTAAAATTTTTTTAATTAATCCTCCCATTATTGAAATTATTTTACTGAGGGGAAAAAAATATTTCAATTTGTTTCTTCTTTTTTTTGGGGATGAAGACTTTCCAATTATTTCAGGTACATTCGATTTATGATATTTGATCCAATTTGTCACAGTGCAGCACTTTAAAAAATTCATCAATGTTATAATCAAATTTTTTTCAATAAAAGCACGGAAACAAATAAAAATAATTTTCGTGAAAGTATTTTTGAAATCTCGAGAGTACTAAAAAAAAAAACTTGGTTTTTGTTCACAGCAGTGTGTTTCTGCAAAAGTTACATAAAATTCACCCATTTTCGTGCTTTGTCATTTAAAACCCTCACGAAATTATGTTATATCATCCCAGAGACAAGTGTTCTCATAAAAACGACAGTGCCACAACCACAAAATGTATATAACAATTTATAAAGTTGACGAATTTTTTAATTATACACAATGTCCGGAGATTCAAAAGTTGTATTATGGAGATTTAAAAAATCCCAATGTAAAAATTAGTTTCTTTTGGTATTATATAGCTTCTGAATATTTCTCCTTTTTATTACATTATTCTCCTTTTTTTTTAATATTAAATAAAATAATTAGCAAATTACTTCTAGTATTAAATTTAAAAACTCTGAAATTAAATTTCAAAGACAAAGTTTAATATTCATAAAGAAGAATATTCCATTTATATGAAAACCGCACTCCTAATTAATCAAAGCCCTTACATTCACAATCCCTTTTCTATAAAATTTAAATATATATATATGTTCATATAATAATTGTTATTATTTTTTACGTATACATAATTTTTTATTTAAATTAAAAAACTTAAAAATTTTAGAAAGTACATAAATACTTTTTTGAAAAATAAATATAAATAATAAATAATAAATAATAAAAATAAATAATCTGTTATTTGACTATTTTCAAATAAATATTTACTTATATTAAATATAATTATAATTTGAGTCAATTAAATGGTATTTGTTTCAATTAGAGAAATTATTTCAAATACAAAAATTATCGGTTCAAATACAGTTTATTTAATTTAAATAAAAATTATTACGTTCAAGTAAATATTTATTTTGATAATAGTCAAATAATTGAGTATTTGAATGAAATAATTTTTTTTTCAGTATAGAAAATTGTAAAAACAATTCCAAGTCTATTTGTTAAAATATATTAGAAATATATCAGCGAAGAGATTCAACTCACTTGATTTATGTGATTATTCTAATTGTAAGATGAATAAAAGAACAATAAGAAATAATTATTCAAATAGGATTTTTTTCAAATTCAAAATTAACTTGAATAATTGAAAAATTTCAAAGTATTTAAAAATTTTAATTTACAAATTGTGATTAATTTTTCTTTTTCTAAATGAATATGTCTAATCAAGAAAAAAAAAATTTTTCAAATTAAAAAAATGAACAATTGCTTGCTTTTGATAGAGAAAATCCTGAGGGCACTGAAAATTCATGTTGGATTTTTCCAGAAAAGCCTTGGATTCATTTCAGAATTCATATGCGGTCTTGAGGGACTTAGAATTTAAGATGGATCTATAAGGATTTTCAACAGGTCTTGAAAAGTGTAACGTTAAGGCAGTCTCATTTTTCACGCGGGCAGCTTTTCTCGGCTTATAATACATTCTGACCTTTCTCTTCTGATTTTAATTGCAACAAATTTTAATCATCCATATATATATATATATATAGTTATTAAAATAATTTTTCAAATTTAACAAGAATTGAAATATAATAATGATAATTAGCAATAAAGTAATTAACAAATTAATTCAAAGCTTCAAAGTTAATTGGATTTCGATAATTATAAATCAAAACTGATTATATCTGTGTTTTAACAATAAATATGTATCAATTGCAATTATATTAACTTTGTTCATAAAATAATAATTTTAATCAAGAATCTAAATTAGATATATGTAACAAAATTATTTACAGATCAAAAAACATCGGAATAGAAAATTAATTTTGATAAAATAAAAAAGAAATGAAAATAATTAATAATAAATAAATATTAAAAATTAATTTATAATTAATATAGTAATTAAAAATTTTAAACAAAATTATTGAAAAAATTAAAAAATTAAAAAAAAAATGCAAGTCTACAATAAAAATTTGTCCTTTTTATTGTTTACCATTATCAAAGAAATGAAACGATATAATTAGAGACAATGAACGAATTAAGTGGACGAGAGGGAAAAAAAAGTGTATAAAACTTTAAAAGATTTTTACACACAAGGGGGTTTGAGAGAAAACTGAGAAAAGTCAGAAATGATTGGGCAAGTTTTGCGAATGCGCATTAGTGTAAGGGTTTTCGCGAGAGTTTGGACGCCTTCACAGTCGGTTTCAGTTGGTTTAGGACACTTTTCTAGAAAGGATGTTATTCGTGAATTTCAGTAATTTTACACAGAAAATAGACAATTTAAAATTAATTAAAAAAATTAATTAATTTTAAAATTGCAATTTTTTTTTTTTTTCATTCACAAATCAAAAATATTTATCAATGATGTTTAAAGAAAAATTATCACCGGTTTTCTATATCGGAAAATTCGCATGACCGGTGTTTTCAATTGTATATATACACACGCAGCGATTCATATCGTAATAGACAAGTTTGCAAAAACAAAATAAAAAAAAAAAAGATCATGATAATCTTTATAACGTGCCTTCTTCTTCTTCTATTCAGTCAATCACTTTCCGGTGAGTTTTTTTTTTTTATCAATGATAGTTAACATAATTTATGAGAAAAACGCTCAATGGCTTCAAAATTGAAATTATAAAGTAAGAATTATTGGAAAAAGATTAGAAGTCGATTTCGAATAATTTCTCAAGTGAAAAAAAATAACTATTTTTCACTTTTTATAAATTATAATTTCAATTTTTGTAAAATTAATATTACATCCCGCAGTTATTATTTATTAATTATTTAATGATTATTTATTTATTTATTAATGTTTATTAAATTCAATTAATTAAAAATGTTATTTAAACTTTGCATAAAGTTTTTAATGCATACTAAGAGATTACGGAAAAAGAATTAAAATTGACAAAGATATAAAAATAAATTTTTTACAATTTCGCTATATAAATTTTAGTATATCTCTTTAAAAAATAAGTTATAAATATCTTTAAATGTAAATTTAATATTCGCTTCTTTAAACAAGAGATATCCAGGACTTTAATAAACTTTTGGATAAACATATCTTTCAAGTAAAGTTTCCATCGTGTTTAAAAAATGAAAGTTAAAAACAAAGTTATAAAAGTTGAAAAATCGAGATACGTACTTAGAAGCAAACTTTTGAAATTCAACTATACTGAAAATGAAAATTTATTTTGACTTTGATAATCAGTCAGTTTTTTATTATCAAATAAATTTATTTGAATCTATAATTTTTATTGAAATTAAATCAATTCGTATTTAAACAAAATCGAATTTTATTAAGTTCATTAATAATTATTTATTTATTAATAAATATTTATAAATATTTTATAATTTATAAATTATCTATTATTCCTATTTATTATTTATTTTCCATTTTTTATTTTTTATTATTTATTATTTATTATTTACAAATATTTGAGAATAGTTAAAAAAAAGAATGCAAATTTTTTTTCACTACAAGTTAATATTTTTTTCCAATCATTATTTTTTTCATACTTAAACTTGCAAAATGCAAATTTTCTTGAAAATTTTCACTCGGAAGTTTACTTGCGAATATAAAGTTTTTATCAAAGTAAAAATAAAGTTAAAAATATAGAATTAAGGTCAATGAAAATTTCACTTTAATATTATCAAATTTCTATATCACATGAGCGAAAGACGATAATTTTATTTCTAAACTTCTTGCAAGAAATTTATAATAAAGTTCAAGTTGCCTTTATAATCAATAATAATAAAGAGTTTAATTTTTATACTTTTCCCTTAAAAAAAAAATTTCAAGAATATGTTTGATTTACTCCAAAAATATCAGGGTAATTATATAAAGAATAATTTTGAAAATTTACATTTTTTTTGTTTGACATAAACTAACTTTTCTTTTTGTATAATATAAAAATAGCTTGAGGCAAATAAAGAGTATATTCCGACGGTATTTTGATCGTGAAATTTTTTTCTTTTTTTTTTCACCATCTCAAAGAGTCACATATTTTATTTTTCACACAAAAAAAAAATATTTGCTTTCAGGCTTAGACTGACTTTAATATTTGTATACGTACACATAACTTGTAAAAGTCGCTTCGAGGCGCTTAGAACTCTTACAAAAAAAAAAAAAAAACTGTCACAGATCTTCAAAATTAAAAAAAAATAAGTTAAAACTTTTTTTTTTATTTTTGAAACACAAATAATTTAAAATAAAAGTTAATTAACTAAAAATTTTAAAGAAAAAATTCATTTTCATCTAATTAAATTATGAGTTAATTATAATAATTTTGTGTGCTATTATTTTTTTTTTCTAACAAAAAAAAGAGAACTAAACATTAAAATGCTTCGTCAACTTTTTTTTTATTACCCACGAGAATAGAGAGAATCTCGGAAGTTTCATTTGAATTTCCTCTTAAATTGAATAGGCCTTGCAATAAGGTCACATGTCAAGTGTTTCACTTTAAGGGAACTTTATTTGAGAATCAAGATTAAAGCATCCAGTTGATAAGAATTAAAATTCTGTTTTATAAAAAGTAAAGCCCTTTCATGTTACAATATTATTAAATTTTAATCAACAGAAAAATTTGAAAAATTCTTCTTTTTTTTTTAAAGTGAAGAGTTTTTATTTTTTTTTAAAAAAAAAGTATAATAACGAAACTACATTGCATATGCAAAATATTGATTTTAAACAGTGTGTCAACATTTGGATATTCGCACTTTATGTATAGACGTTGAGTTTAATTGAAATTTCGAAATCGTATATGAATATTAGAGCAATCTGTTATTTCTCATTATTCTGTAATTAAATCTGCGTTTAATTCATTAAAATATAATAATAAAAATAATGTCATTAGGTACTAAAAAAAAATTTCAAAAAATAAAAAACAAATATTCTCTCTGATGATAAATTAAAAATAAAAATTCAAGAAAAATTCCATATTGTAATTTTTAAAAGCAGAAAAAATAATGATTAAAAAAAAAGCAATTTTCGATTGAAAAATAATTTCCGAAAAAAATACTTTTTATCGGATTTTGTATGAACGTGACATAAAAAATATAAAATGAGGATAAAAATATACATTATTCACAGGAGAAATCAACGACTTCCTTACTGTTAAGGGAGAGTATATTCTTTACCAAGAAAACTAAAGGATTTCCTTCTCGACATTGCGTGTTCAGCGGAAATACGACTTTTTAACCCTTTTTTGCTAAATAAAACCAAGTCGACAGTGAAGGAAATACCTCGAATTTTCTTTTTCAATTTTACGTCTCTATTTCTGTATTTTTGCACGTCATTCTTTTTTTTTCAACGTTCACAGCGATTTTTCCAAGCCTTATTCTCCGCGATCAAAGGTGTAAAATGTGTGACTCGTCCAAAGAGTTACCTGTTATTCGTCGCACGCCTTTAATTTTTTAATTTATCCCTTTTATGTTCCATTGTTCACAAGGGGAAAAAAAAAGAAAAAAAAAAAACTTGACTCGAAATCTACTTTTATATACAATGAAGCTCAAATTCAATCTTTTTAAACGCGAAACAGAAATTAAATTCACGTAATTAACTTCAAATTTTCTTTATGTAGTATACAAAAACCGCACCTTTAATCAGAAAAATAATCATTAAAAAGGAAACAAAAAAAAATACTCTACTAAATTTGCTCGTATAATATTCAAGAAAATATATTTAAGGTATCACATCGGTAAAACCGTTTTCTATAGATTTTCTTGAAAATTTTACCATATGTTCTTATTATCATTCTTGACAAATTTGCAAAATATGAAGAATTTTCGCCGTACGAAACCAGAGATATTAGCAATCAAAGTTGCTTATTTTGCATGGGAGACGGGACTAATGTATGGGGGAGAAGTACATTTTCATAAATATCATCAGAAGTTTTCTATAAATTTTTTTCAAAAACTAATGTTGAATTCACGAATAAATTTGGAACTAAAATATACAAAAAAATTTATAATTTACCGTGCCGTTTATTTGTAATTATAAATTAAAAATTCTATTTCATGACGTCATTTGCAATATATAGCACACCCGCCACTTTGATGTGGCAACATCGCAGGATGGTAACATTAGTTAGAGAGAGACAGTAGTCCACAGTAGTCAAAGCGAGACTTATAGCGACGTTGTCAAACCTCCTACTCCTTCCAATCGCTGCTAGTGTGGGGTATACGTGTACGAGTGTATTTGTAGAAGTAGGTACAGTATGGGCTGAGAGTATAGGGAGTTGAGGGCGAAAGTATACTGCGGGAAGTAGTAATGCGAGCTACAAACTTTTGACTCCGATTAGTGCCGATGTGATACCTTAAATCATTAAATTTAGACTAAAAAAAAATTTATTTGATTCTAATAATTTTTATTTGAATTAAATAAACTGTATTTGAACTCAAAAATTATATTTTCTTCTTCAAGTAAATATTTATAAGTAACCGATTATTTGAATCAAATAATTTTTTTTATTTCTTCAATATTCAAATTTTGAAAAAAAATTTTTAATAAAAAATTGAGAAAATAGTTGGAATAAAATAGTAAAAATCGATAAAAACATTTAGGAAAAATGTTTCAAAAAAATTCCCCCAATATAAAAAATAATCTAAAAACATTTCTGAACTTTACGTTTGACTAAATCCCTATTCTATTTTCTCGAAAAGTGATTGATATGAAATCTGAGAAGAAATCAAAAATCGTTCAAGCGACATTGGATATAAAACCCAGAAGAAAAATAAGCAGTCAAAACAATACTTTAAAGAAAAGTATTTTGTATCGACGATAAATGAAATAAAAGCTCTCTTTTCTTGTATTCGATTCAACGATATATTTATAGCGATATATATCTATATATATATATATAACATCCACTGTGGGTAACTCTTGAAGGTGTGACTAAAAAAGAGGTAAGGGGGAAAGATTTCAAATAGGTAAGTTGAACCTGTTCACGAAGCGCAGTAAACTCTCACCTCGGGATTTCAAGGAATAAATGGTGCAGTGTATAAAGGTAATTTAATGGGCTAAAAGGCAATGTAGCGAGAGTAATTCATCTTTCAAGAAATACCGTTTTTCTGAACGCACCAACAATGAAAAAAAAAAAAAAAAAAAAAATGTTTCTTTATATCGATATTGTATAACGTGTTAACAAAAAGTCATTTTTATCACTTCAATAAAAAAAAATTTGTGTAGGATTAAAATGACAATCAATATTATATAAAACTGGGGAAAAAAAAAATTCGTAAAATAATTATTTTCCGAAAATTGTATTATTCCCTCACGCATCTAAAATTGAATACACTCCACTTGACATTTTGACAGAAAGTAATTACCATACATGCAAATTATTTTGGAGAGATTATGATCTAATCGGTTGCATATTCATGTTTAATTTTGTGGACTTATTTGTTGCGATAAAAAAAAGTTTTAATTTTATATTTTAATAAATTATTTTGTTTTCACAACATTTAAAAAATCGAGACGTTTTCTTTGTTTTGCATTTACTTTCTTTTCTAATAAAAATATTTAATAAAAAAAAAAAAAAAAAAAAAAAAAACACTTGAG